TGGAAGCCCCGAGGAAACCCTAAACCCTAAACCCTACCCTAAACCCTAAACCCTAAACCCTAAACCCTAAACCCTAAACCCTGAACCCTAAACCCTAAACGCGACTCAGCGACGCATTGCGGGCGCCAGCGGCGCCTTTGGGCAGCGAGGCCACGCCACGCGCGGAGAGGCAGCTCGACGGTGGCCCAGGACCTCTGAGCCACGGGCTGTCGATTCTAAGATGGTTTAGGGTTTAGGGTTTAGGGTTTAGGGTTTAGGCTCAGAGAGACAGAGAGATAACCCTCAAGCCTGTACCCAAAACGACTGGGAGTTAAGGGCCAAAAGCTTCGCTTTCCAGGAACCATGATGCGGAACTGTCAAAAAATTTGGATGGGTTTATGCACAAACAACAAATGCGAAGATATATGGGCCCAGCAGACCGAACTGGCTGCCAAGCAGCACCCGCCGCCTCCAGCAAGTAATGGCCAGCCGCATCAGCCCTTGCGGGGTTTAGACCCTATAAACCCTAAACCCCCAACCCCAGAACCTAAACCCCAAACCCCAAACCCTACCTAAATCCTAAACCCCAAACCCTAAAGCCTAAACCCCAAACCCCAAACCCGACCTAAACCCTGAAATCACCACCCGACCCCGCCGCCCCGATTCGGAAACTAAAAGCCCCAACGCATGGCTTCCTAGTTCAGGGTTGAAGGGTTGTCAACCCTAAACCCTGAACCCCAAACCCTAAACCCTAAACCCTAAACCCTGAGGTTTCAGAAACTATTCAGCTCTATTGCGCAAGCGCTGGGATCCTTGGCCTGGTCTCTCCGTGACTTTGGGGCTTAGGGTTCGGAACCTTGGCTGAGGATATCTGGACCCCCACCCATACCAAAAACAAAGTCTCGGTTTGGGGGCAATGTGCTCCAAGCCTTCGCCCTAACTCCGAACTCCTAAACTCCAAAATCCTAAACTCCTAAAATCCTAAACTCCCTAAACCCCTAAACTGCCCCCTACATCCCCTGTGTACCTACACACCCTATACCCCTAACTATACCTACATGTACCCTATAACATATGTATGCATGTATGTATGTATGCATGCATGTATGTGTATATATATATAAATATAATATAAGACATTCCTCCCACTCTCTCTCTCTCGTTGAATATATATATATATATATATATAAGTTTATTTATTTATATTCATATGTACCCATGCATACATAAACCTTCTACATCCCCTACATGCGCCATAGACTGTCAACTCCTCATATATCCGAAACCTGACCATGCACTGACCCAGTCTGCAGGTGGAGATTAAATTGGGGTAGGTCCTCCCCACCTCCTTCCGCCCGCCATGAAGCCTGCTGGCGCCAGAGTCGGAAACCTAGGGTTTCTGCATTTCCGCCGTCATTTCCAGGCTGCAAAACAAGGCTTCAAGGACTACAGCTGCCGGCATCGTAGGAAGGGCGTGAAGTATTCTTTTCGAGATCGGGCCAGTCTACGCCAAACCCTAAACGCTGAACCCTAAACCCTAAACCCTAAAAGGGCTATCAGAGTCAGGCTGGGCTATCACATCACTATAAAAGCTTTAGAAAAAACATACTAATAATAACAACAACAATGCAATTATAACAAATAAAGAAGTAAGAAAACATAAGAAGCTTCTGAAGCCTGAGATCCATCCTAGGCCTGGAATAGAAGCGAGTCAGAGCGTTCGGGGTCTCAGGCAGAAGGCTCTTGGTGTCCTACCATCTTTATGTAGGGGGCTTAAGATTTAAGGTTTCGGGTTTTCTGGTTTAGGGTTTAGGGTTTAGGGCTCAGGAGCTTAAGGAGGTTCCAGAGAGAATATCTCGGAACCGACGGCAGCCGGGGGACATCGGCGGAGGCAGCGGAGGCGCGCGGAAGAGAGGAGCAGCTGCCAAGCCACCCAGGCCAAGTCCAGGGCCTCTGAAACTTTTAGGGTTTAGGGTTTAGGGTTTAGGGTTTCGAACATTTTCTAAGGTTTAGGGTTTAGGGTTACCAACCTGAGTTAGGGCTGGTTGGGACTCCGGGGTGCGAACGGGTTGCTGTTTATTCGGTGGAGGAGGCGAAGCACTCCCTTGCCTGGGTCCCCTGTGGCTGCCTTCCCAACAACCCTTGAATACCCTAGCCCAGAAAGGGTTAACCTTATTTGTAGTAGGATTATATATCACCAAAAAGGTTAAAGGTTAACTACCCAGCCCCTAAGTAAAAGGGCGCGGGGCACTGAAACGTTTTGGCTTGCGGAGGTTGCTCCGTGCCCGTTCCTTTTGCTGGCCCAGCGAGGCCACTGTTGCCGGTAAGTGTAGTTTGGTGTTTGAGATTTCGGGGTCGGGCGAAGGGGATGGTTTGGCCGGGAAGCCCTACCGCCAACACGGCCACCCATACCAAACTCTTGTAGGGTTCAAGGACTACTTGGTTCACGTTCCTCAGACACCCGTGCTCGTTAAGTTTCGCGAGATTGACTATTTAATTTGGGCCTTTGTTTCGAAAGGTACAAAGCAGGCCTTAAGTCACCAACCCTACATATCCGCAATGACAAAACTTGGAAAGACCAAGTTTAGGTTGCAATCCGTGGTAGCCCTTTTTGGGCCTCCGGGTGGGCCCTGCAATGCCTTGCTGGGAAACCCAAAGACTCAAGGGCTTTCGGTCGGGGCCCAATCCTTTGTAGGTCGACACAGAATTCGACGGTGGCAATGAGGCTCCCTTCCATGTCGATTGTTTGGTTTTGCGGAAGGCGAGGGGCGAGGGGCTAAACCCCAAACGCTAAACCCTGCACCCTACACCCTAAACCCTAAGCCCTAAACCCGAAACCCTCACCTCTCCGCGTCCCGCCCTGTCGGACGGTTGAGGTTTAGGGCTCAGAGCTTTGAAGCCCTAAACCCCAAACCCTAAACCCTAAACCCTAAACCCTAAACCCTGACCCCATGAGCTAAGCCCTCACACGTCCGGAGCCTTGCGGTCGAGGGCGGCCCTCCGCCAGAGGCGCAAGAAGCGCCGGAGTTGGCGACCTCGGAGGGCCTCAGCTTTAGTGATTTAGGGTTTAGGGTTTAGGGTTTAGGGTTTGGATTTTAGGGTTTATAGGATTTAGGGTCTAGGGTTTACGGTTTAGGGTTTAGGGTTTAGGGTTTACTTTAAGGGGCCCTTGGGTCGTATAGGGTGAAACTACCCGGCCAGCTACCCTTAGAGAGCTCTCAACTTCCGAGCGTTAGGGCCTAGAGTTTTGTGGGTTTGGGGCTTGACGACTTTGGGGCTTTAGGATTTTGGGGCTTTAGGTTTTAGGGCTTTAGGGGTTTTAGGGCTTTAAGCTGAAGGGTTTGAGGTTAATAGGGGCAAGTGGGGCACGGCCCTGATAAATAAATTACTTGCTGGATCTTAATCATGAGTTTGGGATTTAGGTATCCGGTACCCGATGCAAATCCCAAAAAATTCCAGGGGGGGGGGATATTAGGGGCCCAAGGCCCGAGACTGACTTGTAACCTACTGAGCACTTTGGATTTTAAGGCTTAAGCAACTTGCAACAACTCTCCCCTGCCAGCCTGGTTTGCGATTCAAGGGTTCAGGGTTTTGGGGAAACCACAAATCTCAAACCCGGGGCTCAGGGTTTAGGGTTTAGGGTTTAGGGTTTAGGGTTTAGGGTTTAGGGTTTAGGGTTTAGGGTTTAGGGTTTAGGGTTTAGGGTTTAGGGTTTAGAGTTCAAAATGCTTAAGCACCATGCAGGGAGATCAGCGGCGTTGAGGAGCACACTTTTTATTCGCGCTGCTTGACCCCTCTCTATGCCGTCTGCGCGAGCGTGGGCCAAGGGCGGGCACTCTCAAACAGGGTTTCGGGTTTGGAGTTTGGGTGTAGGGTTTTGAGTGTAGGGTTTAGGGGGTCCGGGGGTCGGAGTCAGTTCTGTTCCAGTTTCGTAGATTGAGGTTCACAGGGGGAAGCCCTGATTTCTTGCGAGAGTTGACAGCACACCATGGTTCCTCATTCTCAGGTGCATAGCATGCAGTGACCCCGCCCCACTGCACAAGAAAAGACCAAACCCTAAACCGCCAAAAAGAACACCATGCTATTTCTGAGTGCTCCGGGAGTTACAGCCTCCCTCGTTTGAGACGCCCTGTGCATTGCTCGGGATCCTCCAGCTGGGTTTCCGAAATCCGAAAACGACATCCAACAGAACCAATTTCGGAAATCGCATCCGGAGAGCTTCCCTGAGGCTGTCTCTGTCAAGCACCAAGTCTGTCCAGGCCGCCCCGGGCCGCCAGTGGGTCGAAAGTGGGTGCTTGGGAACTTTCAAAACTTGCCTTCTCCTTAGGCTTTGGTGATAACACCCTTTCATCAGTTGCTCACAAAAGCACGAGGCTCGCCAAGAATCTAAGAGACCACGAAGTGAAGGGAAGTGTTAAGGGCACCTTTCTTGCTTGAAGCAGGTGGTACAAGGGGGACTTCATCCAAAGCGACCTAAATTCCGAACCGCCCAAAACCCTCACATCCCAGAGAATCTCTACAGTAGGCAGCTTCAAAGGCGGCAGAAGGGGCGGCTCGGTTCTTTGGGCTGAGGGCAGTCACCCTTGGTGATGCTCTCGCAGATCAAACCTCTCGGCTGTCTCTCCAAGAGAGCAGCCGCGCTCCTACGGCACAAAATTTGCATGGGCTGCTGGGGCGGTTGACCGCGGACGTGTACAAGTTTTGGAGCTGTTGGAAGGTCTCCGAAGTCCCCGGCAATCCTGCAGCCTCATGGTTAAAAGCTGCCAACCTTCATTGGGCAGCTTGAATTAATACATGCAGGGAGGCGCTGTACCGCTCCCTGGCCTGTCGTGCATGCCATAAGCGATGCCACGCCGGTCCTCGCCAGCGTGGCCCGAATTCTGCTCCTGTAATTGTTGTTCTCATCAACCTTGTAGCTTTGGTTAGAGGGTCCACTATCCGAACTGAACAAAGCCTTCAACGTCAATTCCTCAAACTAAGGCCCCCCCCCCCCCCCCAGCCCGAGAGTTCCCTATGGCAGCTCAAACCTCCAAGTGCAGCAGCTCGTTTCCCTTCTGCTTCGGCCGGATCGATGCCTCGTGCACCTTGGCGGGCGGCTCATCTAAGCTATGGCTCGATTTAGGGCTTCTGTGATGGCCCTCGTACCGAAAACAAGGACCTGAATTTGTTCAACCCCCACATAGGCTTTCGGCACCCCAAAACCCCAAAACCACAACCCCACAACCCCACAACCGACTTTCGTGTAGGTCCCGAAGAACCCTACAGGTGCTCTAGTAGTTGGTTTGGGGTTTGGGGCTTGCGGCTTAGGGTTCGTCAGGGCAGCTGGCGCCCCGGCCGGGGTAAATGTAGGGTTTAGGGTGGAGCGTGTTGGGTTTGGGGTTTCGGATTTGGCCCTACTCCTCCCTAAATCCTAAACCCCAAACGCTAAACCCTACAAACCCTAAACCCGAAACCCGAAAGTAGACAGGAAAGCCGCGAACCGAACCGCAAACCGGAACCGAACCGCCAGGAACCGCACGCGCAAAGGAACCGTGTGAACGAACCGCAAGCCGCAGCGAACCGCATGAACCGGAACCGTTCCAGAGTATGCACCGGAAACCGAAACGATCCTACACGAACCGTGGCCTTACTGTGTAGAGCTTTGGGGTTCTCGAGTCTGCGCCTGCTCCTCCGGCCGCCAGGATGCCCCCAGTCTGGTCCAGTCACCGCGGCCTTCGACGCGGTTTGGGGGGGTTTGGGCAGGGTTTTGAGGGTGTAGAGGGTTTAGGGGGGTTGGAAGGTTTAGGGGCTTGCAGTAGTGATACGTGTAGGGATGAAGGTAGGTTAGGGTTTAGGGTAGCGTTTGGGGAGAATGGAGGGTTACCTACTAAACACCCAGACTCCGAAACCCAAAACCAGTCTTGTCGTTTGGCGTTTGAGAGGCTGGCCCCCCGATGGCCCCTTGTAGGGCTTTGGGGTGAAGGTTTTCGGGTGTAGGGTTTTCTGGGTTCAGCTTGGGTTTCAAGAGGTTCCGGATCTAGGGTCGCCATTAAACAGCTTCAAGTACCCAGTTTGGCATTGCAGCAGTTTTGCAAGGACCACACACCGACACACAGAAATCCAGAAACCCTATGCATCCTAACTAGAATCCTAACCCCTAAGCCCTAAAACTATGTCCAAAGGCTCTCGGTCCTGCTCTCAGACCCGTGCATCGAATTCAGACCTTCTACGGACACCTGCCTCCGCACGCCCCTTGGAGGCCTTGCACCAAAGCCTCCTGCCAGCTGGTGGTTTTGGGCGGGCGCGGGGGTGCTGGTGGAAGGCCAAGAAGGCACAGGTTTAAATCAACGGAATCTGGAAGGATAACCCTAAAGTTCTTATCTTATTGGGCAACACAAGACACTTTCAGAAAATCAGCGACAGCCCGACCTAAAAGTCATTATCAGGGAAAATTCAGGGTTTTGTGTTTACGGCTTCGGGGTTTTTAGCCCTAAAAGCCTTTGGGTTGATAAGGAGACTGGAGTAACCATGGTCAGTCAACAATGGAGAAAGGCAGCATTTTGGCTACATAACCAGGTTCTACCTTGGGGGACTCAACGAATCCTGAAAGGGCTTGTGGTCCAGATAGGGATTCGGGTGTGTTAGTCTAGTATCCCTTCTTTTCAGGTTCATGTGGTCCCCAAGGAAGAGTCAACGCTTAATGCCTAATGGCCCTAAACCCTATCTGCAACTGTATCTCTGTAGTGCCACCCTCGGAGGCAGGTATCTACTCCACAGTGCTCCGAAGACTTCGTCCGACTTCAACTTAGCCCTCAACTCTGACCCCTAAACCTAAAACCCTTTTCAAACACTCGATAAAACTAAGCTACACTCGAGCCCTGGACCCTAAACCCCAGACTTACCTCCTTGAACCCAATCTCTGGAGCTTAACCGACAGTTAAACCTGAACTGAACTGCCCTTACATCTAAGTTTAAGTCCGTTAGCCCTAAACCCTAAACCCCCTAAACCCCCTAAACACCCTAAACCCTAAACCCCAAACCCCCTAAACCCCCTAAACCCCCTAAACCCCCTAAACCCCCTAAACCCCCTAAACCCCCTAAACCCCCTAAACCCCCTAAACCCCTAAACCCCCCCCAAACCCCCCAAACCCCCTAAACACCCCAAACCCTAAACCCTACACTTAACCCCACAGCAGCTGGACGCAGGAGCCCCGCCTTTATCTCAGGCTCCATCCTCAGAGGCAGCTCGAAGCGGTTGCCCGAGGAGTCGGTCAGGACCAGCTCCCCATTTTCTGCGCGGGGGGGGGGGGGGGTTGGGTTTAGGGTTTAGGGGTTAGGGGTTAGGAGTTAGGTTGGGAGTTCGGGGCTAAGGGTTGGGGGCGGGCGATCGACAGATCTTCATGCTTCACCCTGATAAGGATTGCAAGTTCATTGGGTAAGAGGGCTCCGGGTGCGTCGTCCCTTTCCACAGACACACATCACCCACAAGAACCCTTCAAGCCTAAAAGCCCCAAAAGCCACAAAAGCCCCACAGTACAAGCCCAAAAAGCCCAAAAAGCCCGCAAGCCCCCAAAACACCACGCCCAGTAGTGGTACCATACGTCCGGGTGCCTTTGTGGGCACCAGGCAGGTCAAATATGGGCCTAAGTAACCCCAAGTGACCCCAAGTAACCCTAAGCCCCCTAAACCCTAAGCCCCCTGAGCCCCCTAAACCCTGAGCCCCCTAAACCCTAAGCCCCCTAAACCCTACGAGTAAACCCCCTAAACCTTTAGCCCCCCAAAACCCTAAGCCCCCGAAACCTAAACCCTAAACCCTAAACCCTAAACCCTAAACCCTAAACCCTAAACCCTAAACCCCATGCACCTCTAGCTCCTAAAGCCTCAGGCCCAGACCATCCAGCTCCGCGGTCTGCATCTCCGCAAAGGACAAGCCACGGGCCATTTCGCTGACGCCGGGCCTCGGAGCTTGCCGGGACAGATGCAGGGAGCCCAGCACCCCTTACGCAACTTTCTTGGAGCTTCAGATGGCTTACTTGAGGGTTTAGGGTTTAGGGTTAGGGTTTAGGGTTTAGGGTTTAGGGTTTAGGGTTTAGGGTTTAGGGTTTAGGGTTTAGGGTTTAGGGTTTAGGGTTTAGGGTTTAGGGTTTAGGGTTTAGGGTTTAGGGTTTAGGGCATAAAGCCAAGTTTAAGGTTGTTTTGGGGCTGGTGGAGTTGAGGGTGCAAGGAACATACTGTGCACCATACAATCTCTGAGCGAGGACCCAGTCCTGCCTAAACCCGAAATCTTAGGCCCTAAACCGTAGTGCTGAACTTCAGTAGCCCTGCTCTATCCTGGGGCCCTGTCCCTGAGCCTGTCCGGGGGGGGGGGGGGGGGGTTCGGAGTTTAGGGTGCAGGGTTTAGGGTTTGGGGCTCTTATTGTTGCTCCTTTGATTGATTGTGCTGACTTTGATGCTTGTAATGACTACTAAGGTTATTTCGATGCGGATTGTTGTCATTATTATCATGTGCGTGTGCTCACTGTGATTTCCTTTTTCTCGTCTTCCTACCATGCCCTAAACCCTAAACCCTAAACGGCCCTAAACCCTAATCGAACCTTAACCTCTCAACACTACACCCTGCACGCGGCAACGGGGCGGGCACTCCGTCAGAACGTCGACGCTTGTCTGGGCCCTGGCTCTCAAGGGAAGCTCTGACTGGGGGTGGCCATTCCCTGAGAACTAAATGAACCCAACCAGGGTTGAGGGTCTAGGCTAGGGTATAGGGTCCACATATACCTTAAGAGTGTTTATAGCAGGGTTTCGGGTTTAGAGCACACAAGTACCTTAATAGTGATTCAATGGTTCCGCCTAGAGTGGCGCATGGTACATGATCCCAACTGGTTCGTGTGGCCCCCAAGGTTGGCGGACAGCTTACGTGCCCCTAAGCGTCTGACAGCTCTTGGGAATCTGAGAAGTCTAGGGCCCCCGTATACTCCCGTGAGGGGTTGAACTAGCTCCCTACATAGTACAAGCGTGTGTGTGTGGGGCTTTTGGGTGAGGAGTTTGGACACTTCAATCAGACATGTCGTAAATCTCTCTGCACCCTGAACCCGAAACCCTCACGCGACTACCTGTAGAAGCAACACAAAGACGCGCAAAAACACGCTCCAAACTCGCAAGCGCGACGGCCGCGAACTCCCTAGATTCCGCCCTTGAAGGCCGATGCTGCGCCACACAAACGGGGATTTCGACTAGCCCGTGTCGTCTTAGTGGGTGAACAGGCCTGCAGGATTGCATTGGCATCGTTCTCTGCAGAAGACTGTTGCGAAATCTCATCCCTACCAACACCAGCCTATCCTCCAACGCCAGATCTCCCCCCAAATAACAGTTCTGAAGTCCCAACCGCCCAAAAACACAAAGGCCGAGAAGCTTGAAAATTTGGGATAATTAGGGCTTTTGGGGTTAGCCCCTTCCAGCCTGAAAAACCATCGCCCCGATCCCAAACTGATTTAAAAAAAACCCATCCGCGGCCTGGTCAGCACCTCCTCCAAGGGCGCGAGCAGCTCTGGGAACTCGCGGTCCTTCGTTTAGGGTTTAGGGTTTAGGGTTTAGGGTTTAGGGTTTAGGGTTTAGGGTTTAGGGTTTAGGGTTTAGGGTTTAGGGTTTAGGGTTTAGGGTTTAGGCTTAGGGTTTAGGGTTTAGGGTGTCTACCTTGGGCTCAGGGGCTTCTAGGGTGTAGGGCGACCACAAGAGATGAGCATCACTATGACCAACAAAGCTTCACACCTTTCTTCCCAAACGCGGTCCATCAACAGGGGCCTTTGGTTTTTTGGATCCTGAAACCCATCATCTAAATCTAAGCCCTCAACCCCCAAATCCTAAAAGGGCGTTTCCGATGTTACCCTCTTTTCATCTCATCCCTTTTAAGAAACCCCCACCTAAACCCTAAACCTGAAGCACCAAAATGCCCCTCTGATCTCCATAGCACGGAGCCTTCTATCCCGGGCACCCGTAGAGGACTCTACACCCAGTGCTGGGCATCATAGGTCCGAGGCCGGGAGGTATAGGCTATTTCATGGCGGGGTTTAGGGTCTTAGGGTTCAGGGGTCACGGGCAGACGCTAGGGTTACCAGCTGACTCCCTGATGCAGAAGTGCTTGGGTCTTAGGGTTTAGGGTCATTCTTCCTTGACTTTCTCAAGCCCGCCTTTGTCCAAAGCCCCGGGGCAGAACAACACTAACACAGCATGATGCATTCTACAACGGGGTTCCCTACATGCTGGGCTGCTGGTATCCTGAACATAAGGCGCGATGTCATGTTACAAGTAGGTATCTAAACAAGGGGCCATGACATGGAAGAACATGCCAACTAACAAAACTTGCCGAGTTCAAGGTGAGACTCAATACGTCTGAGGCGGTGCCGATTGGATCGGTCGTCAGGACCTTCCCCAGCGTGCAACCCAACGAAAAAAAAAACCTAAACCCTAAACCCCCTAAACCCTAAACCCCAAACCCTACACCCTTTTTATGGGCTCGGTTTTGGGAACCCCCGGCTAGCCAAGGGACCCATGGTTTCGAGGGCTGACCCACCGTTAGATGGGGCGGTCTTGGGAGCCTTCGGGAGTCTTCAGCAAATTTTGGGGTGCAGTGCCCGTTTTTGGGGGATTCCTGTAAGAAGGAAATGCCCAAGCTTACTTTCCATCCCAGAAGGTTGACTTCAGCCTGAAGACAAGATGCCGAGAGCAAGAGAACGCGCTGGGACTAAGCATCATACATAGGGAAGCATAGATGCGAGTAGTAGCTGGACCCTTAGCGATAGACTATAGCTCCTTATCCTTTTAAGCTTGTCTGGGAGGAGGAGAAGCAAATCCTGGCAAAGGTTATTCATCATAACCATGAAGTACACACCAAAGGAACTAGGCAGACAGACTGCAGAGCTAGCATTCGTTTCAGTATATCTGCCAAATCCCCTGCTGCAAGGCCCCGCCGGCGTCAGTGTGGGTGAAGGCCTGGTGCCAAGTTACTCCAGTTTACTGCAGGGGCCTTGTCTATGCTTTCAAGAGGGTTTTGGGGGTTGCTGTAGTTAGTTATATTGGGACCGATAAGGTAATTCTTCCGACCCCTATATTAAATTACTTGTGAGGTTCAGGGCACGCTACTTGCAATGGCTACTAGTCCCCCAAGCTGCAGTTGTAAACCAGATAGTGAGAGCCCCCTGGGTCCCCGCACACAGATAACAGCCGTAGAGGACCGATCCCCAATAACTTCCTATTTTAACCTTTGACCAGAACGACCGCGTCTCAAAGGCCCGTGAAGCTCCCGGCGGGTAGTTCTCGAATTAGGACCCTTTTTGGGGAATCCTTTTCTAGTAGCTGCTTAAGAACCCCCAAAAAACAAAAGATATTCTTCCATAAGAGGGTAATAAAGGGAATATCATGTTTTTATTCTTTTTGGGGTTCTTATGCAAATAGTAATTTTTCTAAGGTGCACTATGTATGAGACCCAAAAAGTTTTTGGGGCCCTGATTCAGAGGACCCCCCCCAAGTGCGAGCTTGCAGCTGGAGGTCCTAAGGCCCGGACAAGTTGGAGACTTTGGGGCTGCTTGAGGCGTGATGAGGGTCGTAGGGTTTCGGGGTTTGGGTGTGTAGGGGGGGTTGTAGGGGGCTTCAGGCTAAAATTGAAAACAGGGGTTAGGATTTTAGGATTTTGGGGTGTTGGTTGCCGGGGGCGGCCGGAGGTGGGGAGGCCTTCCTGCCTCCAACACCGCTCCCTGTGCCCTCCCTGCTCTTTAGCCAAGCCCACTGATGCACAGAATCCACGATGTGCTGCAAGAAAACGTCTAACAAGCAGACCCCGCTCTTCTGCATTGGCGTTGTTGCTCTCTTTCTTTCTCGAGAGAACCCGCAACCCCAAACCCTAAACCCTAGGGGCCTCCCTCCACACATTTGCCCGGGCTCATGCGGCCAAACGAATGTAAGAGTCATTGTTGCACTTGGCTCTTCCTCGGGACGTTTTGAACCCTTACTGGGTTTATGGTCCATATACCTAAAGGTATGTAGGGTAGATGATCCCAATTTTAGGGTTCATGTAGTAGCAGGGAGCTTGAGTCAGGGTTGGTTTAGGGTTTTGGTTTTTGTGGCTAAACCCTCAACTTTTTTGGGCTTGCAGTAATCCCTTGGCCACCTTGTCGCAGCTCAGATCACTGCCCTGGCGGCTGGCGGCATTGAGAGGGTGGAGCTTCACCTCCGGCGTCGTGCTGGTGCTTGGGGAGTGTGTTTAGGGTCAGGGTTTAGGGTTTAGGGCTTAGGGCTTAGGGTTGAGGGTTGAGGTTTAGGGTTTAGGGTTTAGGGTTTAGGTTTAGGGTTTAGGGTTTAGGGTTTATAGGGTTGAGGTTTAGGGTTTAGGGTTTGGGGTATAGGGTTTATTGTTTAGGGAGCGCCCTTGGGCCACCCTCAACAAAAAGGCTCCACCTTCCGATTCCTCAGCCCGATCTAAGGATCTTGCCCACATGCACATTTCCCAAACTGGGGTTACCCCTCATGCACCCCCCCCCCCCCCGAAGCACTCTACTCCTTATGATAGGAACAGACCACCCAACTCATGTCAGAAACGCCGCGTAGAGACACATAACCCCACTGCCCCCTATACAACACATGCCCCTCGGGTCCTTAAGATCTAAATGCCCCTCGGGTCCTTAGGATCTAGTAGCATAATGAATATATATATATATATATATATGAATATAATGAATAGGCCCCGGAAGCATAATCGCAATCCTTCGTCACATGCGCTGATGAGATCCCTCTTTCGGCGCCTTGGTCAGGAGGAGCTTGTCCTCGGCGTGTAATGCAGGATATGGGTAGTTCACACAATCGACTCTATTGAATAGAGAGGTACCTGAAGTACACCCTCATGAAATATAGTCCCCTTATCAAGGACCTCCAAAACAGGTACCCAACTTGTGAGTTTGAGGAGGTGTTTGGTCAACTTGAGCAACTGCCCTAGTGATCTACCGCTGAGCTTGATTGCCCAGCATGTGGGTCTCGGACAACATGGCCGCTTTTGAGTTGAGGCGGGTATTCTACACCCTAAACCCTAAACCCTAAACCCTAAACATTTAAGGTGCAGTACTTCCGCGGACCGTCAATTGGGCACAGTCCAATGTGCAGACGGAGGGGCGCTGTACAGAAGCAGCACGCTGGCATGGAAGCCATCTGATGCCAGCGGTATGATCTCCTGGTGTGGGCAGTGGTATTTATCCTGCATACTATGAGGCTATTCCTTGTGGAGATGGCATGTATGAGTTATTGCCGCTATTCATTATTCATGTCGTTCAATGACCACCATGATGAACCATATATGAACTCACAGGGGCACCAGTTCTACGAGGTCTTGCGACCAATCTCTCCCTGCGCAGTGCTTGCTGGAGGCAATCCGAAAGTGGCCTGGATCCCCTCTGCGATGGTCCCCAGCTGCTGCGAGATTTCTGAGTGGGTGTGGCTCCAAGAACGCATGGTGCCATACCTGCAAGCATCATTCCGCAAGTGCTCAAGAGCATTACCATTGCGCTGAGCCTGCAAGTAGACTGCTCAGTGCAACTGAGCCCTTGTCAATCCCACTATGCTGGAGCGTAGACCCCAAAGACTGCAAGACCAAAAGCACGATCCAGGAATCAGAAACCTTAAACCCTAAACCCGAAGAAGTCACGAGCGTTCCGAACTTCGCAGCATACGCACATAGCGCAAGTCTGGACCGCGGACTCCCCACATTCCCCGACGAACGCTCCGGAAACCCTGCCGGAAGAACCAAGTTCGCTTTGGTAGGATTCCTAAGAACCTTGCGGGGATTACGGCTTATGGATCAGGGTTTAGGGGAGGTTGGTTTTACGTTTCTTGAAGGCAGAGGCGAAAGCGTCTGCTGCCGGGCTGCTTGCCGAAGAGCATGCGAGGTCCACGCCGTCGGCAGCGCTCGCGACCTCCGAGCGCACAGTATACCTAGACTCTGAATTGTAGGTCACTGTTACGGCACCAAAATATGAAACTTACAAACCATGAAACGAGGTACTCAAAAAAAGGGGGCATATCAAGGGTAAGCAGGCTTGTAGTTCCTTGTAGTTAGGGTTTCGGCTTGGAATGTAGTAAAGGTTAGGGCTGCGAAGGCTCGAGTGAATGTACGGCTTTGATGCCAAGTCTTGAAAGTTTTTGGACTAGAGCATATGCTCGTCTGGCAGCACGCCAAGGCAGCGTGTCAGACTTGAGCATCTCCAAAAAACTATGGGTGCCCACGGTAACCCTTGCGTTTCTTCGTACTAGAACTCCTCACTTTAGAAACTCCCCCCAAGTATGCAGCATCTGCTGGACACTCCCATTCAGGACAGACCCTAAGCCCTAAACCCTAAGCCCTAATCCCTAAGCCCTAATCCCTAAACCCTAAACCCTAACCCTAAACCCTAAACCCTCAACCCGAAGCCGCAGGAGTCACCGAGTCCCAGGCGGCGGCGCTTCGCGGTGGAGTCCATGGTGGCCACTGCGGAGATGCCTTTTGGCACAGTGGAGGGTCTCACAGGAAGGCCTTTCGGGAAGGCTTTTAGGGCTTGGGGTTTAGGGTTTAGGGCAGTTTAGGGTTTAGGGTTTAGGGTTTAGGGTTCAGGGTTCAGGGTTGAAGCGCCATTCCGAAAGAGAAGGGGGCGAGGGAGGGGCGGGGAGGGTGCACGTAAGGATGTTTACCTCAGATAGCCTCATGGGGACGAAGGGTGTATGGTCTATGTATACTGATAGGGATTATAGTAGCACACGTTGTGTGACAAGATAAACAAATACAGTATGGTTTAGGGTTATGGTTTAGGGCTTTGGCTTGAGGTTCTGGCTTAAGGTCCAAAGGGTCTAGAGCTTGAGCTTAGGGTACTCGCGACTCTCAAGGAACTGAACGATTTTTGGACGAGCTGCCAGTGATGATGTCAGAAGTTGCCTGTCCAACACCGACGATGGGCTTGATCACCGTACCTGAGCGCCGAGATATGTTATAGGGTCCCTATCAGGGAGGGGGTTCAAGGAGTGTGTGTGAACCACTACTGCCCACCACTCCGCAAGGCTCCCGAATATGGGTGCTTCACATGTTGGGACTCGAAAACTCTCGAAGAGGGGAAACCTTGATGACACGCCTGCGATTCCCGTGCCCACGCCCTTGGCGAAGCCGCGTACTCCCTCCTGGCAGCATGGGGTTTGCATCAGCACCCTAAACCCTGAACCCTGAACCTGGCACTGAAACCCTAAGCTTCCACGGCTCGGGGCTTCTTGGGGCAAATCCGGCACGAGCCGTTGCAAGCAGGTACTTCCACTGTTTGGTTGGAAACCCTGTTAAGCAACAAGCATGGATATGGGCTTCTGTAAAGCGAAAAACCCATGAACTGCTAAATGCCCCTTTGTGGCTTCAAAGCCCTCACAGCAGAGGCAAGAAAAGGGAACCACTGGAGGTCCTGAACCCAAGAGTACCTTCCGGGTGGATTCGGGCCGGTGCCTTGTTCAAATTGGATTCTCGGACGCAAACTCGTGCCAAACTCTTACAACCTATGTGGGTCTACATATACGTAACACGTATCAAAACTCCTTAACCCGCCCGGAATTCCCCCTTGAGGCTGCAAGCCCAATGACGCCCAATCCTCTCTCTATGTCCCTGCAGCCAGTCCTCTTTGGCACCTTCCACCGGTTTGCGGAATATGTCCTCAGGGCACTCTTCTTTTCCCACGCTTATGATGTAGGGACTTTCTACATTCTTGTGTGTTGTACAAGCACAGACTTCAGCCCGCAGAAATTGGGGTTGAAGGTAACCAGCCTAGCATTGAAGTGCCCACGGGCACTTGACCATGCGAATCCTGCAAGGCGCTATCAACCAAAGGAACCACTTGGGCATATCACATTAAAAAGGTACGCCAAATATACCCACCAAAAAATGCTTTAAGCCCTTTGGGATGGAAGCATGCACCGCTCCGCAAAACCCCCGAATTTCGGAAATCCCCCCCTTTGCTGAAACATCTCTTGCATTCCGGCATCCAGTGCTCCCTCCATGCCGGTGGCAAGGGACTTGCCAGCCTCGCGGGCACAGGCCCAGAAGGGACAAAGGTGGACGGAGACAGGGAGACTTAGAGAGCAACACAGAACGAGTTCCCGTGCAAAGCCGCTCCTCTTAATCTGAAGCCTTAAACATCCCTAAGCCCTAAATCCCAAATCCCTACATCCCTGAACCCCTAATCCCTAAACCCTAAAACGCTTCTCTTGGCGCCTCCTTCAGGCCATCCACGGCACCGTTGATCTCCTTCATCTCCTGGTGGATCTGCTGCTGTTGGACGTAGCCCTGGCAAAAAAAGGGGTTGATAGGGTTTAGGGTTCGTTTATAGGGTCTGGAAGTGTAGGGTTTGGAAGTGTAGGGTTTAGGGTTTAGGGCTTAGGGCTTCGGGTGTAGGGTTGAGGGTCAAATCCTAAACCCTAAACCAGAAGCTCGCAGCTCGGGTCTTCAGCCCCTATGCGTGGAGGCCCCCAAGCAGCCGTGTGACCGTAATTTAAGGAGAATTAAGGTACAAGTTAGGGTCGCGACTTTCACAACATGAGAAACCGAACCATGCTGTGCTGGCGGGCCCCAATGCGTCAGGCCTTATTTCTACCCGATATCTCGCGGGTCCAGTACGCAGCACCCAATAACCCCAAAACCAAAGCCGGATCGCTCATCCACATTTGTGGGCGCGTGACAGCAAAAGGAGCATAGGAACCGCCCCCACCGGCGCCGAAGCTCATCTCAGGGTGTGTGGCTTTGGGGCCTCTTGGGAGCTTTAGCCACCCCAAACCCTAAACCCTAAACCCTAAACCCTGAGCCCTGAGCCCTAAGCCCTAAGGCTTGGTGTTTCGGATCTTGAGGGTTCAGGTTTGCGTAGAAGGGATGAGAAGCCCCATAAGTTGGGGGGTGCCTCATCCATGGCCAGATGCTGCAGCATTCCGGCGCCTCCCCGGATGGTCCTCTTGCACAGAACTTTCGGGCTTAGGGACTTGGAGCTTCTAGGGTTTAGGGTTTAGGATTTAGGGTTTGGGGCGTAGGTTTGAGGGATTGGGGTTTAGGTTTTAGCTCTCTGGGCTGATCAAGGCAGCTAGCTTTGAGCCAAAGAGTCGTGCCCACTCCGTCGGTCACCATGGAAACGGCCGTGCCGCCTCTGCAGCTCGTTGCTGGTGTTCTGCTTTTGGGGTTTGGAGAGGGTTCAGGGCTTGGGTTGCGAGCTTCGGGTTTAGGGCAGTTGGGGGCAGCGACCTGCGATGCAGTAGGAATCTCACTGCTCGCATCCCAAAGAAGGACACCCCAACATCTACGTCATCAGTCTCCCTAAGGAGCTCTGTATACACCTCACCCAAAACTTTGATGCAACATGAACCCTACTTCATATGATCTTGTGGCTTCCGCAGCCCAGAGTTCAAGAAGACCTGAACCCGGAATCTTGAAGTATCCCGAGTTGAAAGTGATAAGGTCGGACCCCGCATCAATTTAAAAAAAAAAAAAAAAAAAAAACGGACATCCTAAGCCGCACGCAGCCAGACCTCAGCCGAAGACTCGCAACCCTACACCCGGCCGGCTGGCAGGTGCACGGCACTTGTAACCCGAAAAGAACGTGTTCGGGAAGTAGAGTGCAACCCAAAACCCTCACCATCCCTCCACCCCTCCAAATAACCACAAAGCTCGGCGCCCGGCCCATGGCCAAAGGAATCGCGCCGCCGTTGAGAAGAGAGCTCTTACCCAGCAGCGACAGCACCTAGAGCTTCTGGTTTAGGGTTTAGGGTTTAGGGTTTAGGGTTTAGGGTTTAGGGTTTAGGGTTTAGGGTTTAGGGTTTAGGGTGTGCATGGTCTCCTCAAATGGTACGGGCACACCAGGGCCCAGCCCATACCAGAACTGGTCCAAGACAGTCTCTTCCGATTTTATGAACCTCGTGGGACCCCTCATTGCTAGAAATGCGCTTGTAGACCCGCCCCCCCCCCCAAAAAAAACCCTAAACCCCCCAAAACCTAAACGCCCGAAGTCCACTAAATCCGATTGTAAGCCCCAAGCCCTAAGCGCCCTCCTGAACATCCCGAAGCCCAAACACACAGCAGCTTGGCGTGTGTGGGTGGGTGGGTGTGTGGGTGTGTGGGTGTGTGGGTGTGTGGGTGCGTGGGTGTGTGGGTGTGGGTGTGTGGGTGTGTGGGCGCATTGGTGTGTGGGTGTGTGGGTGTGTGATGGGTGCAGCACAACGGAAAAGCTACCGCCGGTCAAACCAAAGAGGCGCGAGGCTGTAGGGTAGAGGGTTGGGCTATAGGAGCTACCACTGTTTGCTTCAGAACCACCCAAAAAGTGTCTTCAAAAATATCCTTCCCTATGCGGGTATGGTAGGTTGGGGGGTTTAGTAGGTTAGGGTTCGATTGCAGGCAAGGGTCGATCTGCATCAGCGAAGACCTGCATCTCATTCCAAGCCTACACTCTCAACTTCCTTCCTTTTGAAGGCTCCTGGGTAGTTCCAAGTAGGGATCTAAGCATACCTACAGCTCGTACTTGTAACTCCCTTCAATTTCCGACCCATGCACATTCAAGGATAAGCCCCCTCAACCCAAACCCAAGAAAACCCTAGAAACTCTAAACCCCCGGAAGCTCTAAACCCAAACAAGACCTAAACCCTTATAAACCCTAAACCCTAAACCCCTCGAAACCCTAAACCATACCCCCCCCCCCCACCCCTTGGAGTTCCATCTGCGCTGCAGCCGGATGTCGCATACTCAAGGCCAATCTTGATGGCATAGTCCTCCACGGCCCCTCGATAAGAAGGAAGCTGCTTCCTGGACGGTTTAGGGCTTAGGGCTTAGGGTTTAGAGTTTAGGGCTTAAGGGGCTGAGGGAACTATAGGGCAATTTAGGTTTGTAGGGTTCATGCAGTGCATTAGGACCTCCTGTTGAGGCGTCGGGGGGTTGTATTCAATCCTTCCTAGTGCCGCCCAGTATCTCGGGCAGACGGATGCCTGCGCCGTTCAGGGTGAAGTTGCCTGGATGCTGCTCTGCGTGGAGGTTCGCGGGCACGCGTGATTGCAGAAAAGCTGCACTTGTAACCCGACTGTCTGCCCCCTAAGCCCCCAAGGCCCCAAGCATGAATCCATGCGTTTCAGTGCAGTCACAGAGACTCGACTGTGCCATCGAAGCCATGGATAAACTGTTCGGTTCTTGGACCCTAAACACCCCCTCCCAACAGAAACCGCCAACAAACCCTAGAACCGCATTCCGAGGCCGGCTGCTGCCCACGGAAACCACGCGCAGCACCGCACGCACGGGCGCCGGCAGGAAGTCGAGGCTGGAGACCGGCAGTCTGCCTGAAACAAAAGACAGAATGGGGGTTTAAGGTTTAGGGTTGCGACCGCCATGAATGAGGGCGCAACCTTTCAAGCTCCACGCCAGCTTGGCTTCTGTGACTCTGCGAAGGTTCCGGTGCAGCTTTGCTGGTCTCGCTGAAGCGAACATCGCAGTCAAGTTGCACCACACGGTGAGGTTGATCTCCGATAGCTTCAGCTTCTCCTCGGTAGCTTTCAACGTAGGCTCGGAGTACCGTTTGAACTCAATGAACTGCAGTGCCTTAAGCCTTCTACGATTCGAGCCAAGCCCCTGTTCACGGATCTCCCGAGACGACGCTGGCTCAGTTCAGGACGCAGGGTTTAGGGTTTAGGGTTTATAGGGTTTAGTGCTCAAATTGGTTTGGAAGCCCGAAGTTTGTGCTGAAAGCTGGTTCGGACGAGCGGCAACTGACACGATTGCGGGCACAGCAGGCGGAGTGTAGCCCTCAGCCACGATGGCCCTGCATCTTCAGGTTGGAGATCATATGAAATCATGCCCAGTTCATTGCTTCGGGTTGAGGGCGGCCGTTTTCACAGACCACCACGTCGTTTGCTATGGGCTGTAGAGCAAGTGCTTGGCTGTGTGCCTGGATGCCAACATGCAATACGGGTAGACTTAGGTTCGACAACAAGCCCTTGGCGAACCATCCCAGCATGTAGTACTTGCATTCCTGTTCCCAAAAGAGCCCTATCTTTCGCGAAGAAAACCCATACTCAACCCTTGTTGCGCCTTCCGGCACGCGCTTTCACCTCGTCCCACTGCAAGCCCACGTCAATGGCTTCCTGAATGCTGACATTCAGACATGCACATCTGCCGAATCGGCTGGGACGTGGAAAGTCTCCTGGGTTATAGTAGCCCCCCCCCCCCCCCCCCCCCCGAAACCCTAAACCCTAAACCCTAAACCCGAAACCCGAAACCCGAAACCCGAAGCTCAAGCCACCCCGAAGCACGGAGACTCAACACCCCAGAGGTTTAGGGCCAGTTTCAGGCCGCTTGGGTTTGCACATGGACGTCGCCCTCTCAACCCCCAAATCTACAACCCTAGCACCCTAAACTTTCACACCCGAAACTCTAAACCCGAAATCCTAACCCAAAGCCCTAACTAAACCCTAAACCCGAAATCCCAGCCCTAAACCCTAAACCCTAAACCCCCATCCCTAAACCCTAAACCCTGAACCCTAAATTCTGAGGCACGGCTCCTGCGGGATGGCCCTCTGCAGCCAGCTCAGGAGCGGGGCGAGCCAGTCCTCAAGGTCGGTGGGGTTTAGGGTTTAGGGTTTAGGGTTTAGGGTTTTAATGTTTAGGGTTTAGGGTTTAGGGTTTAGGGTTTAGGGTTTAGGCTTGAGAGTTCAGAGGCTACTTGGGGAGGGGTTCGAGGTAGGGTTGGAGGGTTGGCTGAGGCGTTTGGGGTTTTCACAGGCTCAGGCTTAGGCTGTCGAAGTCGGGGTTTTCAGGGTTTAAGACGATGCCGTTTCACTTCAAAGTACCCCTTAAACCTTGAACTCTGAACCCGAACCTTCAGTTTGCCGACTCAGAGGAAGTGGAGCTTTTTTCGACTTTACAGGGCTTGCAGAGTTTTGGGGTTACCACTCGAAAGCCAAAGGGCGTTGTCAACCGTCACATCCAGCTTGTCCATGAGGACCTCGGCCTTGGGCAAGACAAGGTCCTGTGCGAGTCACGGCGGCTTCCACTTCTACGTAAGTTCTCCTAGACTAGAAATCCTGAACCCTAAGCCCGAAGCTGGAAAAAATCCTGAGCCCTATTTAAAAACCCTCCACTGTGCATCCTAAACCCTGCAAAAACCCTCAACTGTAAATCCGTAACCCTAAACCCGAAACCCACATTTTAAGGGTTTAGGGCTGTTGGGGTTTGGGGTTTAAGGCAGCCATAAACCTCGGAGTTTTTGGGTTCAGGCGCTTCGGGCTACGGGTTTGGGAACCAAGGGATTTAGGGTTTAGGGCTCAGGGAACATCCTAAAAACGCCTCAGCAGGCCACCGGCCTGAGAAGAAGTTGCTTCGCGCGTGATCTGGATATCCAAAAAGTGCGTCCCCTTGTCGCCATGGTTGGCCAAGATAACAGCGGGCTGCTCCTGCGAAGGTTCCCATGAATCTTGCCTGCTGGAAGCAACCACTAACATTCCCAAATGGAAGTCGAAAACATGCAGACTGAGCCCTGAAGGATTGTTCAGCAATGGGTCTTGCCTACAGTATTTAGTAGCGGGACTTCTCCAACAAAAAACCAGTAGGAGCACAAGTAAATGGTTTGATCCCATGCGCTGTATGCCAAGCACACCTATAGCTCCGCGTACAGCCACGATACAAGTAGCCCAATGCATTAGCTCTCGGCTTTCAGGGTAAAGACTTCGGGGCCCGTGTGCAAAGTTTACAAGGTACACATTTTAGGCAGACTTGGGGTCAAGATTCCATATGGGCACATCGCTTGACGAGACTCCTGGCGAAGCACCCCGGCTTTATGCCTTGCGTCGTCCAATGAAAGTGGGCAAATTTTCAGATCATGGGTTGGGAACATACACATGTAAGCCGGCCGAAACACCTACTGTGCAGCATGATCACGCAAGAGAACATGGAAAACTATCTTCCACTCGTCTGGATGCTGATGCTTCTTGGTCAGCATGGAGCCATCCATGCGATCCGGCAGCTGGCAAATGCCCTGTCGAGGCGCATCTGGCTTGCTAATCCAATGAGGTCAGGGGTCAGTGTTAAAAGCCTATGGCTTTTTCATAATTTGATCTTATGCTTGCCAATTCGCACGCTTGGCAATGGTCAACAATTATTCAGAAATTGTTCGGGCTGGACACAGAAAGACTTGCGTGATTCCCGTTTCAGCACCCACGACCTGGATCTCGCCGACCACGAATCGCAACCTGGATGTCCCCGAGCCTAAACTAAACCCCAAAACACAAGGCCGAAACCCGACAACACGCCTAACCCCTGCAGCCCCGATGCCCTCTACTCAAAAGCGGGCTTGCAACGAGCAGCGGAGAAACCCTGAATGAGGCCTGTCCATCGCAGGAACAGGCCCCTGCCTAGCTTTTGACCGCAACTAGAGCAACATGGGTCCCTCATCAGGGCTTCAATCAGGGGGCATTCAAGTTGCAACCGCAAGCAAGGCAGACTTGCGCCAGCCGACTGTTGAGTTCTTGCATGTGTTCGGGACAATGTGACTTTTCAGCGCCAAGTTGGGCGCGTGCTGAACGTTCAGTTTGCTGCAAAACCTTGCAGCCTCTGCATGTAGTACAACGTGCGATGCACACTCCGTCACCGGCACGCGGCTCGCTGCTGCCAGAGGTCAGGGCAGTACCGGCACCGCAGCAGTGGTAGGAGCCACAAACCACCACCTCCATGCCTTCACCATGTGTAGATCTCGTGGTCACGCACAGTTTCCACACCCGCCCTGCCTCCAATCCGAGCCAAGGCCAGCCGCATGCACTCTCTGCCCATTCGGGGCAACGGCGGCACGGTGGAGACAACGAGTTCAGCGAGTTCGCCACCCGCACAGCCACACGACAGGGAGCCTGCCCGGCGCTCCACGCGCAACGCCTGCGAGATTTCTTTCCGCGTATCAATATTGATTGCAGTTTCCCAGCGCATAGCGTACCGTACAGTGGCTGCATCGCAGGCCAATGCTGGGATGGCCACCAAGCATTCGTAGATCGTGTCTCGTATTGCAACAGTAGCTTGAAGAAGAGTTGCAGACAGAACCCTTCGGGTTTACAGCGTCTAAGTGCTTAACCCTCCGGTGCTTCAGTTCCAGATTTGCTGTGCAATACATGCAACTCAGTTCGAGGGGTTGGGGTTTGCTCAGTTGCTCATAGAACTTGTGGTGGGCTAATGGGGATTGAGGCTGGAGTCTAGGAGTGTATAGGGCCGTTTTGGGGTGTTGATCCCAGGAAATCTTCACGCGCACGCTGCGAAAAGACCCAAGCAAGCCCTGTCAAGAGGCTGCTCGGAGTCGGCATCGATGTTCTGGACGTACTTCCTGCTGCCCAAAAAAGATGGCGATGACTTGCATGGTTCTGTATTCGGGATACCTTATTGGGGTCCGTAAATATAAGGGGCCCCTACTATTTTGCGATCTATCTTGGGGGTTTACTATTTTATAGCGATCCCAGAAGGGGGCGTTGCAAATGGGGGCATTGCCATGAACAAACCTGCCACCAAAAAAACCATCAAAGAATACCACTACATTTATAGACTCTTCCAGTCAGTTGAATGGATCATATACAATAGTGAAGGACAAAGCATACGTTCTATCATAATACATGTATTTGCATGTTTTTCAGCGAGACTTCAGAAAGAGAGAAGCAAGAGATAGGGGGCGGTGCAAGGATGGAGGTGAAAAATCGGAGAATAAATAACCAATTGAGTTTGAACCTTTGAAGTACATATATAATATATACCAAAGATGAATGAGGGGTGGCACCACAAAAAATCAAATGCAGATGCGACATATTTGCCATGCGTATGGATATATACATACCATGAGTAACATCGGTCTACCAGACCACTCACCGGGACCTCATAGCCCTCTTTCAATGGGGTGGCCTGCTGCGCTGACTGGCTGTTCGGCTCTCTGGCCGGCTCGCTCGTCGTAGATGGCCATCTTCTTGAAACACTCGTCACTGACTCTCTGCAGTCTGCCACTGCTCGTAGGAAATCCCCTATGGTCTGTAGCTGCTCATGTGACCAACCATTGTAGCCGTCGCCAAGAACAGCCATTTTGTAATGCGTTTACAGACCACCAAACGCATTTTCTGTTGAAGGACAATGCTTTCGGCTTGTGGTTTTGGAGCCAAAAAAAGCCATTGGTACGGTGTTTGCAAGTCTTCTGTTAAAAGACAGTGCGTTCGGCTTGTGGTGTTGGGGCCAAAAAGAGCCATTGGTATGGTGTTTGCAAGCGAAACGCATTCTTCTGTTGAAAGACAATGCGTTCGGCTTGTGGTTTTGGAGCTAGGAACAGCCATTTGTACGGTTGAAAGACAGTGCGTTCGGCTTGTGGTTTTGGAGCCAAAAAAGAGCCATCGGTATTGTGTTTGCAAGCCAAACGCATTCTTCTGTTGAAAGACAATGCGTTCGGCTTGTGGTTTTGGAGCCAGGAACAGCCATTTGTACGGTTATTACAAGCCGCAATTTTTCTGTTGAAAGACAGTGCGTTCGGCTTGTGGTTTTGGAGCCAAAAAGAGCCATTGGTATGGTGTTTGCAAGCCAAACGCATTCTTCTGTTGAAAGACAATGCGTTCGGCTTGTGGTTTTGGAGCCAGGAACAGCCATTTGTACGGTTTTTACAAGCCGCAATTTTCTGTTGAAAGACAGTGCGCTCGGCTTGTGGTTTTGGAGCCAAAAAGAGCCATTGGTATGGTGTTTGCAAGCCAAACGCATTCTTCTGTTGAAAGACCATGCGTTCGGCTTGTGGTTTTGGAGCCAAGAACAGCCATTTGCACTGTTTTTACAGGCCAACCATAAACACAAAACACTAAACCCTGAACCCCCTAAACACAAAACCCTAAACACTAAACCCTAAACCCGAAACAACAAATCCTGAACCCTATACTCTAAACCCCAAAACCAAAGACAAGTCGGGGTTTCAGTTCTTTAGGGGTTTTAGAACTTAGGAATGACAAGTTTTTGCTTAACCCTAAACCCTAAAACAAAACCCTAAACCCCCGCAAAAACCAAGCACTAAACCCTCAACACTCACTCCCGAACCCTAAAGACTTAACGCTACACCCTTTCTGACGTGGAAGTCCGGAAAACGGAAATCACACGTGAGAAATGCCGCTCCGCAAGCTACTTGTGCTTAAACGCGCCGCGTTTAAGCGCAAGTAGCCCTTTCCACGCCGCAGGTTTGGGCAAATCTGCGCTGCAAAAAGGCTACTTGCGCTTAAACGCGCCGCGTTTAAGCGCAAGTAGCTTGCGGAGCGGCATTTCTCACGTTCCGGGTTTTGTTTTCGGGTTTAGGGTTAATCAAAAACTTGTCATTCCTAAGTTCTAAAAACCCTAAAGAACTGAAACCCCGACAGGTCTTTGGTTTTGGGGTTTAATGTATAGGGTTCAGGATTTGTTGTTTCGGGTTTACGTAGTATTTAGGGTTTTGTGTTTAGGGGGTTCAGGGTTTAGTGTTTTGTGTTTAGGGTGTAGGTGTTTTTTTAAGGGTTTCGGGCCGGGGGTCAAGCGGCTTGGATAAGATCTAACACCCTCTCCCTCTGCTCTCTCTCTCTCTCTCTCTCTCGCAGACTCGGGAATCCGTCAGCTGCCGTCTGCAGCCCGATAGGCCATGCTCTCCGACCCTAAACCTTATGAATCCTAAACTCTCAAGTCCAAACCCTAAACATGTGAAACCCCGACTGTTTTTTGCTCTTGGGCTTTAGGGTTTAGTAGGGCTTAGGGTTCCGGATGTTTAGGGCTTGGTGTTTATGCTTTAGGGTGTAGTGTTTAAGTGTTTAGGGTTTCGTGTTTAGGGATTAGCGTTTAGCGTTTATAGTCTGTAGGGTTTAGCGTTTAAGTGTTTAGGGTTTAATGCTTAGTGTTGGTTTAGTGCTAAGGGCTTAGGGTCAAGTTATTGAGGGTTTTGTGTTGAGGCCTTAGTGCTGAGTGCTTAGAGTGTAGTGTTGAGGGTTTCGGGTTTAGTGATAAGGGCTTTGGGCTTAGGGTTTAGAGACTTGGATAATATCTATCAGGAACCTCTGGTTTACGTTGTTTTCTCGGCTAACGTATTTATTTAAACAAAAAAAATCGGCACCCAAGAAAGCGCGTTTACAAGAGTTTTCTCTCGAAATGAATGTATGCTTTAAGGACCGAAACTGGGCCGAAATTGGACCAAAACTGGAGCGCCACCATCCGTTTGTTTGCAAAAATGCCTTATGCATGTTTTCTCAAAAAGAAAGTCATGAAATTTTCTTAAAAATGCATTCATTTCGAAAGAAAGATCTTGTAAACATGCTTTCCTGGGTGCCGAATTACGTTGATTTTTTAAAAATTAGCCTCGTCAGCCCAGAAAGGTTTAGTGTTTAGGGTGTAGTGTCGTGGTTATAAGTGTTTAGGGTTTAGGATTTAGTGTTTAGGGTTTAGTTTTTAGTGGTAAGGGCTTAGGGCTACCGTAAAAATCCTATTCGGCCTACACACAGCAAAACAACAATGCAATTGGCTTGAAAAAACAGTACATTTTCCTGACGTAAACCATTTTCCAATGGTTCTTGGCTCCAAACCAAGCCAAACGCATCTTTCGCCAGAAACATGCATCTGGCTTGGAAAAAACATTTGGCCACCAGAACGTGTGTGTTTATAGCTTGTAACAACAGTGCAATTGGCTGTTCTTGGCTCCAAAACCAAGCCGAACTGCATTTGGCTTGTAAAGACCATACAAATGGCTGTTCTTGCTCAAAAACCACAAGCCGAACGCATTGTCCCTCAACAGAGAAATGCGTTTGGCATGTTAAAACCGTACAAATGGCTGCTCTTGGCTCCAAAAACACAAGCCGAATTTATTTAAAAGAAATCAAATGTGGCCACGGTTTTCTAAAACACATATTTTGGGTTCTGGCACCGCTCCCCAAGCCCGGAGTTTGTGAGGCATTTTGTACCGCCATGTTACACACATGAAAGCAAATTTCGAAGGCGGTAGTCAGAAAATAATTTGTTGTTTGTTGGCTCCGCCCGCTTACGTGATTACATACAACTCGAAGGCGAGATTTGACTAACATAATGGCTTCGGGCTCACTGTTGAGGGATTTTTGGGCCGTCATATATACTAGAACAGCATGATAGTAGCGTCCTGTCCCCAATCCATGTTTTTGATGTCCTTTTAGTTGGTGGCAATGCCCCCATTTCCAACGCCCCCTTTTGGGATCTCTAGATATTTTCGTTCACCCCCACATGGAGGCATGAAGCTCACCCCCAACAAACTACAAACCCCTCTTTTGCTCACGAGGCCCTAAACGGAGGCAGGGCCCAAGCCGAGAGCCAAAGTCCAGCATCCGGCAGAGCAGAATCTTCTCTTGTGGCTTAAACGTCTCCGATGATCCAGCACTCAGACCAACCCTCTTTTGGTGAGGGGGGGGGGGGGGGGCTAGGCCTTCCTAGGAATAGTGTGCCGGGAACTGCATCTTTTGAGGCCTCTGGTTTTGGGGACTCGGGGTGTGTCCATGAATTCCAGCAAGCTGCACGTTGATGTCGCCGATGTGGAGGAAGATGAGCTCACGGGCATGGGGCAAGTCGTCCACAAGGGACACCTTCATTCGCACAGGGGGGGCGACCCTAAACCCTGAACCTCCCTGAACTCTGGACATCTCCGGATGCTCAGTGTGACCCTAAACCCTAAACCCCAAACCCTAAACCCACGGTGGGCTCCGACTTCGGCAGGGAGTCTCAACACCTTTGTCGCGCGGTGAAGTCGGTAACCCCTAAAACTCTCAACCATCGGCGCGGCTCCCTAGGGTTCGGGGCGTGCAAAGGGTTCTAGATTTAGGACTGACCCTCATCCGTTGTATACTCCCAAAAGATTTTGAAAGCAGAGGTGAATCCTTATTGGTATCCGTCAGCTATGCCGGCGTAACCAGGTGAGCAGCACAAGACAACCCTAAACCCTAAACAATTACTCCTCCATGGGCCCCGAAGTGAGGACACTCCCTGCAATTTCATGAGGAGCATGCGCACCACGGGGCGAGAGTGCCATCTCCACGATGCTTCAGACGGACGCATGAGCGAACGTCCACGAGCGGAAAGGGCAGGAAAGTGCGTCACCAGAACCCTAAAACCGGATGACAATGAGAGCTCTCCGGAGCATACCCAGAAGGCCGTCGTTCGCAACTTGAAATGCGCATAGCACCTCTAGGCGAGATCGGCCGGGCCCACCCGAAACACCGAGAGGGTCATCGATTGTCGAGGGTGTCGCGCTCCTTTCCCTGTGCAGTATTCTAAAACCCTCAACCCTAAACCCTAAACCCTACACCCTAAACCCTAAACCCTAAACCCTTCCAAAACCCTAAGCCCCCCTAACTGCCGGTTTTTTGGGGCGAGGCGCCCCAATCTGGCCAAGCTCCAGGGCGACCTCGAGCACCGACTCCTCTTTCGAACCCACCGAAGGCTCCTGGGAGCTTGGAGGTTTGGGTCTAGGGTCTATAGGGTCTAGGGTCTAGGGTCTAGGGTCTAGGGTCTAGGGTCTAGGGTCTAGGGGTCTAGGGTTTAGGGTTTAGGGTTTAGGGTTTGGGGTTTGGGGGTTGAGGGGTTCAGGTTTACAGGCTTCAAGTTCACAGGGCACAGGCAGCTCTAGTGGGTGTAGGGCAGATGAAGGTTTAGGGTGCAAGTCGTGCGTTTCTTGCTAGGGCAAAGGCGGGAGGTTTGTATAATCGCCCCCCCCCCTCCCCCCGAAATTAACTTCAAGGTCCCTGAACCCTTGTTGCAGCACGGGCCCTAGGCATGCTTCTGCAAACATGATATGACCATATCTATGGCATCTCCACCGTTCGTTGTAAGTAGCAATTAACGAGTTACCTCTGTCGACGAAAACCTTTGTTTAAACAGAGGCATATATATATACATGTATATATGTATATATGTATATATGTATATATGTATATATGTATATATGTATATATGTATATATGTATATATGTATATATGTATATATGTATATATGTATATATGTATATATGTATATATGTATATGTATGTATGTATGTGTATATATATATGTGTGTGTGTATGTGCTTTTTTGAGCTCGTCATCATCGAAGCCCTGAAGCCGTCTTCGCTCAAGCCAGTTGTGGTGCGCTTCCGTGTCGACTGTCGGACAGCTCTCCAGGAGTCTGGTGCACTCCTCCGCGTAGTTCTGTGCACCAAGGATGTGCAAAGTCAGGTCAGCATCTTCGGAGCGGAAGGCCTCGATGCAACCACCTTCGGGCACGACAAGCGTGTCCTTAAGAAGACGAATATGAGATGCCGGCTTGCCGATCGCCTGCGCAATGTCTTGTCGGAGCTGGTCGACCGCATAATCCAGAGCAACTTCGGTGGGACCCCAGCACGTCTCTCCTGCAAGGTTGCGAACAGAAAGGACAGGCATGCTGTTCGCTGTCTCTTCGCCAAGGTGAGCTGCAGCAAATGTAAAAGCTCTCAACTTTCAAACCTGAGCCATGTAGCTGATGTGTATCTGCTCAACGGTCCCTCATAGGGTTCTAAAGTGCCAATGCAACGCAGGGAACTGCAAACGAGGGGAGTCGCTTGAAGTAATTCTGACCGGCGCGGTTCCAACAAGATTCGCGTTTAAGTGACAAAAGGGAGCCTTGTCCGAAAAATTGTCAAGAACTCACTTACCCCCCCCCCCCCAAAAAAAAAAATAATATATATATATATATACAGATATATATATATGTATACAATAATAAAACAAATAAAAGTGTGGGAAAACGGGTACCATTGAGAATTCCTGGTCTAACCACGGCGGATTTGGGTGGTCCGGGTTACAACTACACGTTGGTGGTCACTGCACTGTTATTCTTACTAGTATGAATATTGTAATTGCGATTACTATTCAGGATTTATTAGTAGTATGTATATATATATACATATACATATATATATATACATATATTATATCCATATGCATGTTTGTTCCTTTTCTTTGTTTTTACACCGGCCCAAACTCCTAAACCCGCGTGGAAGGCCAGGCGTCACTGGCTGCCCTCTCAATGACGCCCAAGGAGAACATTTCATCCAGCGCCACCTGGGCTGGTCTGCCTTCTTACAGGTTTAGGGTTTAGGGTTTAGGGTTTAGGGTTTAGGGGCCTAAGGGTTTAGGGTTCAAGGTTACCGCTGTGGTAGGTATTAGCATTGAGGATGCATTAATGCAGGTGCTGAGATTTCTAGGTGCTCTCAGATTCGACGTGATAAGGGCAGCAGGCAGGCAATTTGTAAACTGAGCATCTTTAGCTCCTGGAAGCTCCTGTATTTAGGGTTTATTGGGTCTAGGTTTAGGGCTTATAGGATTTAGGGTATAGGGTTTAGGGTTTGAGGAAACTTACACTAAGGGTCTGGTGTCCCAGGCGATGTCTTGAGCTCACTATCCGGTTTCCGCAGTGCCTGACCAACCCAATGGCGAGGGATACGGAGCCTGCACCCTAAATCCTAAACCCAAAACCCAATGGCGAGGGACATGGAGCCTATACGAAAAACCCGAAACCCCAGATCCTAAACCCAAAACCCCATGAAAAAAAATCCTAAACCCTAAACCCGAAACCTTCGTTCTTCTGGACTCAACGCAGCGAAGCCGCCACGGTGTTCTCGCCCACTCGCGACACGGACAGCTTCAGCTTCTGGGCCTAACCCCGCCCCAACCCTACACACCCTGAACACCCGACTATCATCCCTACCCCATGACACAGCCAACTTTGCCTCTAAAATCAAGAGGAAGGCATCCTTCATGTTGAAGGCACGGGTCGCGACTAGGGTTTCGAAACACTAACCCTAACCCATAGGATTCGGAACCGAGGGTCGATAAGATGCAGGTCGCACACCCCTTCATTCACGCCCCAAGAAGAGAACACGAAAGCATGTGAGAGGCCGACTGACGGCTACGACCTTCAACCCCGAACGGCCCTCACACAGGAGCCGATGCATTTGCCACGATTCGTCCCTTTCTTCCCTGCATAATTCCCAAATACCTTTCTGAAGAACCCTAAACCTTAACCCCCTAAACCCTGACCCCTTAAACCCTAAACCCTAAACCCTAAACTCTAAACCCGAAACCCTGAACCATGAACCCTAAACCCTAAACCCTAAACCTAAACCCTAAACGTAAACAGGTCCTGAGACTAAGCAGGCCAGGCATGGTACCTTGAGCTGGATCTCTGCCTTGCGCCCGACGTCCTGATGCGAGGTGCGCATGGGCGGTCGGGTTTCGGGTTCATGGTCCATTCTGGGGGTACGTAGCCCTAAACCCTAAACCCTAAACCCCAAACCAACCCCTCTGCAGAATAACTGGGGCCCTGATAGAGGCCCCAACATGTTGGGCATGTGAGCTCCCTTCCGTGCATGCAATTGAATCCTCAGCTCGCACGCGACGGCGCCTTGATCACGATCTCTTCTCCATCGACGCACACGCGCAGCGAGGCCTTCCTGGGGTTAGGGTTTAGGGTTTAGGGTTTAGGGGTTTAGGGTTTAGGGTTTAGGGTTTAGGGCTTAGGGCTTAGGGCTTAGGGCTTAGGGCTTAGAGGCCGAGGGCTCCAAGGTTTACCTGCCTTTTGGGCGCCAGCGAAGGTCAGACTGCCAAAAACAGGAGGCTGCGGCTCCCTCGCGCTGAAGTAACGAAGCTAAGTGGCTCTTTGACGAAGGGGTTCACCTGCCGCTTGCGAAGGTTCAAATCACAACAACATCAGCAGCAGCATCATCAGCAAGTTGCATGCCTCTACTCTACCATACTCTACCCAAATATATACCATTCGACTCCAGACTACATACTCTACCCGATTATATACACTATACTCTACCAAAGTATATGCCCATGTTTACATGAAGATGCGCCGGGTGGCCCAGCCGATGGGCACCTCGCCCTTTCCACCCCGCACAGAGGTGGGAACCGTGTTCGCCTTCCTAGGCTCGGAGGCTACAAGGGCTTCATGCAGATCGAGAGCAAGCTGAAGAGTTTGAGGGGCACTATCATGACGCAATGATATCCCTAAACCCTAAACCCTAATTAATCCCTAACCCTCAACCCTAAACCGAGTGCCACAATAACTGCTCCTCAAAGGGGCAGCTTCCGAAGGTACGTACACTAGCAGCCCAAGCGATTCGCGCCCTCTTAGCCCTACGCAAACCCTCAGAATTGCTGAGGTACATAGGGTTTTGCATCTAGGGAAGAAGCGAGGGTCTAGGCTACAGGGGGTTTCAAGTTTGTGGACGTTGGATCCCCTTTCCCTAGACCCTTAGCCCCATAAACGCATAAACCCTAAAAGCCGTAAACCCCAAAACCCCAAACTGCGCTCTGAGGCTCGCATCCCCAGGAGCCACCGTCATTTCGGCCTGACGCGGTGTTAGGCTCAGGGGTTTAGGGGTTTACGGGTGTAGTGGTTTAGGAGCTTAGGGTTTAGAGGCTTAGGGGTTTAGGGGCTTAGGGTTTATTACGTGGCATTACCATGAGACAACCCGTCATGGTAACCTACAACATGTTGTAACCTGGACAATGGTACTTATAACCCCACTACTACCTCCCCATGAACTTTGAAGTAGGACTTCTGGCTCTTGGCTTGGGCACGCATGCGCCGGAAAAGCTGTACGTGAGGATTGAAATGACACTGCGGGCCTTACACCCCAAACTCAACATTGACGTGATCCCCTACTGCAACACTGTCGACGTCCCCCGAGGGCCTATGACTGGTACAGGGGAGGGTCTAGGGCTTGCATCAACAAACCCAGGAACAACATGCGAATTGCTTGAATCCTAGACCCAAGACCATTAAACCCTGAACCCTGAACCCTAAACCCCAAGGCCTAAACCCTAAGGCCTAAACCCGAAGGCCTAAACCCCAAACCCCAAACCCCAAACCCCAAACCCTAAACCCCACCCCAGTCGGCCTTCGAGGCCCGGTTTACGGCGCGGCAGGTGGAGCCAGACCTGGTGCTTGGAGGGTTTAGGGTTTAGGGTTTAGGGTTTAGGGTTTAGGGTTTAGGGTTTAGGGCGGTCTGGCAGCGCTTTCGGGGTTGCAAGCTTAAAGAACTTAGGGTCCATGGAAACGTCCAGGGGCTTCAGGGTGGCGGGTTTTAAGTGGGGCCCCACCCTCAACCCCAGAACCCTCAAAAAGCCCAAAGCTGTTTAACCCCGAACCCCTAAACTGCCAGACCCCCATCTCAACAAACACAAAACACCCCTTAATCCTAAGCGCTAGACCCCAAACCCCAAACCCTAAACTCCAAACCCCACCAAACCTCTGGAGCCCAGGGGCTTCAACACGATGGCGAATGCCCCGCTGCTAGGGGCAAGCGAGGCCGTCCACACCAGGGGCAAGGCCGTCTCCTCCTAGGATCAGGCGTCCATCAGCCCTAAACCCTAAACCCCAAACCCCTTAACCCTTCCTTCAGCAACCGAACCCCCCCCCCCCCCAAACAAGGGTTCTACTTTAAAACCAGGTTCTGGAAACCAAAACCGGGTTTTGTAGGGCCAAATCAAAGCCGACGGTTTTGTTATGGGTCTTCGACTTTTTTTTGCGGGTTTTCCGACGGGTATTGATATAGAAAGAGTCCGGTTCTGTTAGTCAAAACCAGGTTTTTGACAAAATCTTCCCAGTGTTTTGGGCACCCAAGGTAAAGCCTAGAGGGAAATAGGTGTTCCCCAGAAATCGCGAAACCCTAAACCCCTAAACCCCTAAACCCCTAAACCCCTAAACCTCTAAACCCCTAAACCCCTAAACCCCTAAACCCCAAAATCTAGAACCCCTAAACCCCAAACTCCAAAATCTAGAACCCCTGAACCCTAAACTCCAAAATCTAGTAGCTTCCGAGTCGAGAGGGCCGAGGCGATAGGAAGAACCTCAGCAGAGCTTGGGTGCCGAAACCCTCCGACAGCCCCGACGTCCACTCTAACTCTGATGCCCACCCTAAACCCTAAAAGGCTAAACCCTAAACCCTAAACCCTGAACCCTAAACCCTAAACCCTGAACCCGAAACACCCCGACTTTAGACTCCCTGTAGTAAGGCGCCCCCCCCCCCCCCCCGTCCCAAGCCAGCCACCCTAAACCCACCTCAGGCCGCCCAGCGTCTGTCGCCGTAAGGAGCATGGAGGAAGAGCCGGCTGCCTGCTCCTGGGCCCGGCGCATCCCCAATTTCTTCTGCTTAAACCCTCTAAACCCTATAAACCCAATAACCTTATAACCCTAAAACCCTATAAACCTATAAACCCTAAAACCCTAAAACCCTAAAGCCCTAAAACCCTAAAGCCCTAAAACCCTAAAACCCTACAACCCTAAACCCGAAACCCTAAACCCCAAACCTTCTTCTGGGTCCTGCTAAAGAAGTGAAATGCGGGGAGATTCGGGTGGTGCCTGTGCCGAACCCAAACCCCTGAACCCCTAAACCCCCAAACCTCAAAAAAACCTACACCCGTCAGCCCAAACCCCTAAACCCTAAACGCCAAACCCCTATATATACACCCTCAAGCCCACAGGCCCCAAGAGAGGAGGCTGCGACTCCTGGGCTGCACATTTCGACTCCCCAGTCTACCCCCATTAAACCCTGCAAAGCCCTGCAAAAAGGCCTCTACGCAACTCTCTGAGCCTCAGACCCTAACACTGGCCCTCAGACCCTCAGGGCAGATCCTCAGGGACAGCCCGTGCAGCCCTACCTACACCCTGAAGTACTGAAGCCCCAGTGGCACAGCAGGGAATGGCTGGGGACCAGCCGATCTTGCCAGCGCCTCCCGAGAAGTGCTGGGAAGAGGTTGGGAATTTCATTTCAGGGTTCTGGGGTTTCAATTGGGACTCAGCGGGTCAGAGGTTTAAGTTCAGAGCTTTGGGTTTAGGGTTTACGGCATAAGATTTGGGCTTAAGGATGTTCGGTTTGCGGCTTGGGTGCGCGTTGGAATCTAAGGTCGGCATCGGACTAGAAGCCTCTGGAATTGCTGTTTTCATGGCTCATTTCCGTGGTGCAGAAGAAGCCTGTGATAAAAACCCTCAACCCTGTCCTTGGAGGGAGGTTCCAGGAATAAAGATCAGTAGGATTATCAGTTATATAAGCAAGCTACCAATGGTTCTGCCTGTGTATAAACCTTATTCAAGGTAAGTATAACCCTATTTTTACAATGATCCATGAAACCCGGAACCCGAGGCCCCCAAACCCGCAGCCCCTGCATCCTGGCGCACACGTGGGGCCTCCGGCTGGCCGCAGCTTTAACTCCGGGGCGCCCTGTGCTTGGTCGGGGGGGGGGGGGGGGGGGGGTGGTGGCGGCGGTGGCAGTTCAGTTTACAGGCCTTGAATTTCGGCTTTAAACTTAGGGTCCAGTAGGCTTAGGGGAAATTTTGAATGAGCGTAACGCCACCTCATGAGCATCGCACCCTTTGTTCAGTCCTTGGACCCAATACCGGGTTCAGTGTTTAGCCGGATTGGCGGACACCTGCCGCAACAAGCTCCCTGAAACTTTTGGCCCTAAACCCTGAACCCTAACCCTAAACCCTGTATCCACGACAAGACACACCCTCAACCGAACTCAGGAAGCTGGGGGGCTTCCCATGGCTGATTCATCTGTCTCATTTCTCGATCTCAAACCCTAAGCCGTAGGGTTTGAGCGTTTCGGGTTTAGAGAGGCATGTTCACTCCCCTCCCTTCGTGGCCATCCTTGGCATTGACGGGCACATGCCAGTGAGATGGACGAGACTCCTGCACCGGACACAAAACACGCGAAGGGTGTGCGCTTTTGCATCTCGACCCGGTGTGCTTCTGTCAGCGGTGCCTTGGTCTCCCAAGTCATCTTAGTCATCTCATTCGAGTTGGTATCATAAGAGCAAAGTTACCTCCGAACCAGAACCCCGATGTCTGTTTCTCTTCACTCGGCTTGACCTACAGGCACTTTTACCGCGCCCTAGCTTTCGGGGATCTCATCCCGCACGCTTGCAACAGGCGAAAAAGGAGCGCATGTGCAACAAACACACTTACACCCCGTCTCGCGAACGCCAGAAGGAAACAACGAAACAAATGACATCTCAGCTCCTTGGCCGCTAGTATCACCACGTGTCCGTCCGGGGACAAGAGCTCCATGTCGTGGTCTGGGCAAGATGAGAACTTTGAAGAAAGAACCCCGCCGGCTGATAACAAGCCGAAGTAACAATGATAAACACCATCAACGATGAGGATGGTCATCCCAAAACCCTAAACCCAAAACACCCATGGTGATGAGGATAAAGATCATAAGCCTCAAGATCCCTTCACGCCTATCTGGAGCCCGCTGTCTCAGCCACGCAGCCAGAGTCGTTCGTCACCACCAGGCGGGGTCGCAGGACCGCGACCTGTTAAGCATCGACTTTGGCCCAGAAATACTGACACCTCATGGGGATACATAAAGATACATATGTGTATACATATATACGAATACATATAAAGCCCGCTTTTGGCAACTACCCCTTTGGCTTGGGAACTGAGGCCTCAGTGGGGCCCGCAAAAATCACAGATAGACACTCTATTGCCAATCGTGGTCAATCTCAGAACAGTGCTGTTTTGATCAAAGGATATCAGACCGTCTTTATATGACATCGTCATTAGTATATAATGCAGAGGAAGGTGTGTCGCTTACAGTACTTTTTCAAATCCACTAATGTTGACTTCACATTAATGATTCCCGCTACAATTATAAAATCCAGCTGCCGGAACACAATAATGTAACCCCCCACAATCATAAAATCCAGCCCGGAATATTTTTCTTACGGGCGATGTTATGTAATTAGCTTAAACTTATAAGTTTCAGGGTGTTTGAAGAATGAGTTTAGAGCTTGCTGGCTGCAGACACTCTCTTTTGCAGTGGCAGAGGCTCGCAGTAGAGGCTCACTTAGCCCACTGTGGTGGCACCGGGACAGCTAGATCGGAGCAGAGTTGCCTCATGTAGAATCGCTCCCTTCGCCCCTCAACCCTAAACCCCTAATTAGGCCCTGAACCCTCAACCCTCACCCCTCAACCTCCTCCTCCTCCTCCTCCTCCTCCTCCTCCTCCTCCTACTACTACTACTACTACTACTACTACTACTACTACTACTACTAGTGGTATCCTACCAGGATTTAGGCGAATATAATTGAGGAGGCCCTGGCCGGAGAGATTGATCAATCAAGGGGGGGGGTTATTAATGCGAAGTCAACATTAAGGCCTCTGTTTCCAAAACCAAGCCTTAGTTACCAAAAGCAGGGTGTTTTGTATGGTCTCGGGCTCCGGGCCCTACCCCTCCCCCCCCCCCCTGGCATCTCACCCCCCCTCCCCCAGGGTAACCCGCCCCCGCACCATGGTATCCGACCTTATAAACCAACCTTAAACCTCACACCCTTAGCCTAAACCGTAAACCTTCAACCCCAAACGCCAACCCCCCCTTCACAGCACATGCAGGGGGGATAAACTTTAAACCCTAAACCCTCACCCCCCAACCACACCACACCACGGGGGGGGGCGGGTGAGGGGGAGTGGGGGTAGGGATCCAAGGGAGGGGAGGGGGGATAGTGGCAGCTCGAGACCATATAGAAATATGTACATATACATACATGGGCCGCGGGGCCAGGTGTAGTGTTCAGGGAGTCGGATTAGTGTAGTGATCAGACTTACACCCAAGAACCTAACATCATGACTCCACGTCCCCAAATCGCGAACTTGACGCACGTTCAGTCCTCCCGCCGCCACCCCCCACTCAATCCGGCCTGCGGTTTCTACTGCAAGCTCGGAAGACTGCGCCCCAAACCCTAAACCCGAATCCCGCAACCCGGAGACCTTGCAGCTTGCGCCCATGAGGCCGGATGAGGCCATGTCCTGCGTGGCTTGTGGGCGTTAGGTCTCAGAGGGGCTAAAGCGGGTGTGGGGTTTAGGGGTGTGTATGTATATATATATATATATGTATATATATATATCTATAGATAGATACATAGATAGATAGATAGGCGTATAGATTACGTCAGGAGTGTAGGGGTGTGCAGGGTATAAAGTATAAAGAAGGTTATGGGGTTTAAGACAATAATAGGCTATAGAAGGTGTGGAAGAGCGTATAGGTGTGGGTTTAGAGCTGCGAGAGGCTAAGAGGGTTTAGGGTGCAAAGCAGTATAGGTTATGTAGGTTATGTAGGGATGTAGGGTTCCTAGAGTATAGGGTTTAAGGGCTTATGTCATAGGTCATAGGGTTGAGAAGGCTTCTGGTGTTTGAAGGCTTTTGGGGCTAGGACGTCAGGTCAGCAGTGTTTAGTTTCGCCTCTGCAGAGGTTTTGCGCTCAGACTTAGCAGAGGTGTAAGGCTTGGGTTCCAAAATCTGTTCCAGAGCAGTCCCGAGCTTAGTGGGTCTGAGGCTTCCGACGCTCGAGTCTTTACCCGAAACCCGAAACCCGAAACCCTAAACACGAGGCCCCTGAGCCTTAAAGGCTCATCTTAGATACACTCCTCGCATTGAACGCAGTAGTACTCGGTTCCAGAGGGCGTCTTCCAGTCCACTGTGTCGAAACTCGCCTGTGGTAGGAATTGAGGGTTTAGGATAAGTTCAGGGCGTAGGGCTCAAGGCTTGGGGCTTAGGGCTTGAGAAGGTCGGTATGCTTTGCTGCCCGACTGCCTCCAACAGAATACACATTAGAGCCCTTGAAGCCTTAAGCCCGACAATCCTTGAACCAGAGCCCCAAACCCTCAAAAACCCTAGCGCTCCCCCACCCCTCCTACCCTAGACCCTAAACCTTAAACCCTACACCCTACACCCCCCACCTCAGGCGCTTTCAAGGTTTGATGGGTGTCTTTCTGCCTCTGGCCAACCAACATGTGGGTGATTCTCCGATTTCGGGTCCCTGTAATTATAAGGGGCCCCTAACTATATTTAGGGTACCCCAAAAGGACCAAAACGTTGAGAGATGACAGGGTTTACGGTGAGGCTTTCGGGGTTTGGGGGAGAAGGTTCAGGGTTTAGGCTTTAGGGTTTAGTCACCAACCACGTCTTCACCAACACAAGCGGCGTCCCTGCTTGTCCGGTTTCCGGGAACTAAACTTAAGCCTCTGGCCTTTGGGATAAGAGATGCGGGATTGCACGATGTTGCTCGAAAATCACACAAGGACCATGCCAGCTTATGACTACCGGCCTAAACCTTGTAGAGGACCTCAGCCCCACCAAAACCCCATGCCTTGAGGCGGCTTCAGGGCGGCCAAGGAGCCGGAATCACGAGGCTGTTCTTCACCGCTTCTGCTCCCGGCCGCTTGACCACCACCTCCCGGGACATTCTCGGACTTCAAGGCGGGGAATACTTGTGATCCTTCTTTTGGGGGGAGGGAGGGGGGGAGCAATGTGCCTACATAGAATCAAAACCATAATCTTAATGATGATAACAATTATCCTTACAATTGAAGATTTGTTAATAATCAAAAAAAACAATACGAATAATAGGTCGTTAAAGACATTGTAACAGAGCGGCCTCACACTTCTTCGTCTCGCAGTTGTGGGGCAGCATAGTCAGCCCGGCCATGGAGGGAAGACGCTCGCCGCGATACCTGAGCTTGGTCTGGGGCTTGTAGGGCGGCAAGGTTTCAGGGTTTCAGGGTTTCAGGGTTCAGGGTGTAGGTTTCAGGGTGTCAGGGTTTAGGTTTCAGGTTTCAAGGTTTAGGGTTTAGGGTTTAGGGTTTAGGGTTTAGGGTCAGGGTTTCAGGGTTTAGGGTTTCAGGGTTAAGGGTGTCTGACACAGGCGAGCTTTGAGGCTCTATGTCGCTTGTCGTGGCTTGAGGGATGTGAAAACTGTTCTCGGCCTTTGTCCCAAATGGCCACCATGAACAACAAAGCAGTAGGATTCGCTCGCCAGAAACTGTCCGACTGACATCACTGCGGCTCGCTGACTGCTTCCTGGTAAGCATGCACACTCTCCAAAGGGGATAAATACAAAACACAAAGATGTGTGTGTGTATATATATAGATATGTCTCTTGTACTATATCCATTATACACACACTTCATGTCTTGGATGCTTTGGTGGGGCATCCCTCTGAAGGAGAGGTTGGCGTTCGACTCCCCCCCCCTCACTCGCCCGCCGCCCTCAGCACTTAGGGCCTTTAAACCTTAAAAACCCTTTTAATTAGGGTTTTAAGGGTAATTTAACGTTCAAAAACCCTTTTAGGGTTCTAGGGTTTCTTAATGTTAATAATTCTTTTGAAAAAAAAAGCTCAACCCTGGCCAGGCAACAGCACCTCAACCTCGTCGAGGCCCAGGTCCTTCCGGGCTAGTGGACCATGATTCCTCTTAGGGCTCGGGGGGTTCTTGGGGTTCTTCGGGTTTGTAGGGTTTATTAGGGGTTTATTAGGGGTTTATTAGGGTTTATTAGGGTTTATTAGGGTTTATTAGGGTTTATTAGGGCTTATTAGGGTTTATTAGGGTTCGGGGTTTGGGGTTCTTGGGGTTTAGGGTTTAGGGTTTAGGGTTTAGGACCTCTCGCGCACGGTCCCTGCACTGCTGCGGAGTGCTTCATTCCGGTCCCGGGCGTTCAAAGTCATCTGGGACGGATTTTGCGCAGTGAAGAGCTGCTTGACGCGGCGAAATCCTTGAGCCTGCGAGTCCACAACATGGGCCAAGACTTGGAAAACACTCGGAACCCGGAGCGCAGCACGTCGAGGCTGTTCCTCAGCACAAGCTGAAGGACCTCAAGAGGCAGCCGGACGCAGACAGCCTTGTTGGCTCTGTAGTTCTCAAATTGGGTCATAAAGCAGAGAGGAACAGCAAGAGCCAAACTCGAGCGGAAGCCCCCAGTAGCTACACTATACCGAGCTGACCGCCATGTCTTGCTCAATGGACACGTCTCCTGGCACGGCGCTAGGGGACGGAGGGGGCGGAGGTGGCGGCGAGAATAGAAGTGGGCAGAGCTCTTACACTGAAGCCTCGGGCCTTGGTGGATAGTATACTTCCGGCATATTTGGGTGTATATTGGTCACGCGGGGTCGCACGCAGGCTTGCAGCGTTTTGCTTGTAGATGTAGAGGGCTACGTGGCACGCGTATGCGCAGAAGCCAAATCCATTCATGGTAAGAAGAAGAAGTATAGCCGACAGCCCTCCTTCTCCGGGCGAAAGATGCACAACTCATCACCCTGATGGTGGCAGGCTCACTGCACGGCGGAGCTCAGACGAGAGAGAATGTACCGAAGGATGGCCGAAGGCATGGCAATACCACCTAGCCGGGCCTCACGCAACCGGGACGAAGTCCCCGAAGCAGGAAGGGCAGCTTGTCGCTCGTGCCAGGCAATTGCCAATACAGCCCCAGTGTAAGAGCCCGCCTAAAAACCCCGAACACGAACATTGAATTCCCAGCTCCTGCCGCAGGAAGGGCGATGTGCAAGGCAGCGACCGCAACACTACAAACAAACAGAGCTGCCGCACGCACGCCGTCTTTTGATGCGCTTGCTCCAAATTCATCGGCTGAAACCCCGGGCCTGGTAGACCCGGACCGTAGGACTTGGCACATCAGCCGGGAAGCATGTTTTGCATCCCTGGATCAAGCAATAGAAAATCAAATCATGCAAAAGCATACCAAGCTGATCCTCACAGACAGGGCCCGCGCATGCAGAATCGCATGGACAAGCACCGCAGCAAAAAGAACGCATGCGGTAACCTGACGAACACTTGCGCCGAAGCTAAGTCTTTGCCCCACGCTGCGGAAGCTGTGCGTGTTCTTTACAATTCTTGGTACAACCAGCCGTCTCTTCAGCCTCCAGGAAGATCGTATGCTCCACCAGATCCTCGCCAGTTTGCTCCCGCGGGTCCTCGCTCGCCTGCTGCTCGGGGGCGCTGGGCCTATTCGGGGCGACACGACCCGGAGGGAAGCTGGGAAGCGTAGTTGAAACAGCCGTGAGCTGGTTGCTGTGAGAGCACTGAGACGCAACTGTCCATGGTTGTGAAGGTTGCTTGCTTGACGCTAGGCTCGGCGAGATTCACCTAGATTCGGCTCGATTCGCTAGACTCGGCTAGACTCGGCTGGAAGCCAGCGAAGATGCAAGTGGAGCCCCATCCTCCGAGACAGCCCGGGTACAGTTGACCCCGGAAATCTCGGCCACGTTGCAACAACTTCACCAGAGACCTCCTGAAACCGAATAAACCCTGACTGAAAGCTCAGGAGTGAAACAAGAATCCCTACCCCAAACACTATACATCGCCCACAGCAACAATCCGGCAGAGTTCTCCGCCTGAGTCTTTAACGCTACATTTCGGTACATTGCCGGCCCGATCCTCCCCGTCCTGCCAATACGCTTGCCCTCGCTTTGTTCGGCAAAATTTCGGTTTCTCACGCAGGCCTCCGTGGCCTGCTAGTTCAGGCAAGATTCCAGCACAGTTGCCCGCCTGATCCTCCCTGGCATGCTTCAACGGATGACATTCCGGCACGCGCGCCGGTCTTGTGTCCTGAATGTTGTACTGCCTACCGCTCTGCCTGCTGCCATAAGTACGTCGTGTCACACGACGCAAGCCTCTTTGCGGCTAGAACCGAATAACCCCACTTGTCGAGTGGGAAAAACACAAGACGTTTGGGCATTGCTGCGTAAGGCCCCGGCATTTGCTCGTTGTGTCGGGACCTTAGACCAAAGCGCTCCGACAGCGCCACAGCACAAACCAGAACGAAGCAGCATCCAGAACCCAGAACAGAGGGGCACACAAGGAAAGCAGGAGATGGAAGCTAGTAACAGACATATACAACACACAAAAAACACATCAATAATACCAAGTTTGTAAGTGTCTGTCATTCTGTTGCATCGTGTGCCGTCTCAGCACGGCACAAAGACGATGTTCACAGTTCTGATTGTGTTTCCAGTATTGGAACTTCGCGAATGAAACTTCGAATGGAAGCAGGAGCTGAACAGCACCTGAACAGCAAAACGACACGGTCGGCCAGTGACTAGCAGTAGGCCCTCAAGGCACTTAGCCGAAACACGGTTGTCGACCACATGATCCACACAGGTCGCGCTAAGTTTGGGGAGTTGCACCATAGAGTTGGGGAGCTTGCCAAGTTGTAGGCACCCTCTTTCGTAGACGCAGGCACGAGGCAGTCGTGGGCATAGGCACCCTCTTTCGTGGGCAAAGGTCCGGAACGCCTGTGCCCCAGTGCGCCTATGCTCACGAAAGTGTGTGTCTAGTAGGCCATTCATTGGGCACACTTTTCGTGGGCAAAGGGACACTCTTTGGGTATTGGTACATCTTTCGTGGGGCACGCCGTAGGTCAACTGAGGCCGTTTTGGGCCTTTAGGGTTTAGGGCATACTGGGTTTGAGGGGTTTAAGGCCAGTTCGTCTTTGGCTTTAGGATTTAAGGTCTACTGGGCCTTGGGCTTGAAGGGCTCTTGGTCTTGGGCCTTGGGATTTAGATTAGGAGGGTTTGCAGGGTTTATAGGGTTGAGGGGACCGATAGGGTTTATAGGATGTGTAGGGTTTATAAGGTTTGTAGGGTTTATAGGGTTTATAGGGCTTACAGGGTTTTAGGGTTTGTAGGGTTTGTAGGGTTTGTAGGGTTTGTAGGGTTTGTAGGGTTTGTAGGGTTTGTAGGGTTTGTAGGGTTTATTGGGTTTATAGGGTTTATAGGGCTTACAGGGTTTAGGGTTTAAGTCTGAGGGATGTTGTGCTGGGGTAGCAAACTTCTGGACCAACCCACGCCGCACAGCATCAAACGGCGCAGTTCTGCCGCGTTGCAAGAAGCCAGATGACAGATTCACACATCTCGGACACTGGCACCAAAAAATGCAGCTCTTATGCGGTCCTTAGGGGAGTGGAATCCAAGGCGAGGGGAGGCTTCTACACACGCTTGGCAAGCACTAGGAACGAAGAACATTGCCCTTCTCGCCCCCCCCCCCCCCCCCTCTGGATTCCCTTCCGGGTTTCATTTTAGGGTCCTTGAGTGATGGGGGTTCAAGGGGTGTCTGTAACCCAAGGTGCCCCAATACTCCCCACTACTCCCTAAGCCTCCCTAAACTTCCCTAAGGTTCCCTAGGAACCTACCCCCCCTGTGAACCCCCCTCTCCCTTAAGAACCCTCTAAGTTAGGGCATTGGTGAGCTGAAGGTGTCCAGCCGGTGCGTGAAGATGCGTGGGCAGGAGATCCTGGCAGGAGAAGATTCTAGGCTCGTCGTGTTTAGATGTGGGAGGTGCCTGTTTTTGTCACAGCTCTGTGTGGGAGCCTGAACCTCAAATGCAAGCCCTCTGCCAGCCTGAACCCTGTAGACCAAGCCCTTGTTGTAGCAATAACCTCAGAAAGATCTCCTTAAAAACGAACAACGTCCTCAAGGCCCTGAAGCCCTGACCCGCAACCCTGAGGCCCAAAACTCCAAACCCCAAAGCCCCCAGCCCTAAACCCCCTGAACCCCTAAGGCCAAACGCTACAGCCCGAAACCCAACAAGCCCCGATCTCCTCAAGCGGCCGTCTCCCATGGGTTGGGCGACCAGGCCGCAAGCCGCGCCTGGGGTTTTAGGGCTTAAGGTTTAGGGTTTAGGGTTTAGGGCTTAGGGTTTAGGGTTTAGGGCTTAGGGGCCTAGGGTTTAGGAACCCTTGGGGTCCAGGGGGTTTAGGGTTAAAGTTTAGGCCTTTCATCGTTCTCGCACGGCGGTGCAATACTGTTGGGGGCCGGGGATAGAAACCTAAGCGATAGGAGGAGCTCCCTCCGTTCTCTAAGCCGTAACCCTACACCCTAAAGCCGAAACCGTCTGCGGACTACGAAGAAAACGAGCGAGGAATGGAAGGAGGAGGAGGCTAGGAGAAGTGCAGGGTTGATCGAAATTGTGGGCAACTTTTGGCACGCTGAACTGCAAGGAACATACGGTCCTAGAGATCCCCTCCCCCAAAAGGGCCCAAAACTGAACTCAGGGTTTAGGGTTTAGGGAACATCCCCCAAGTGGCGCGAAAGGACCCCCTTTGGCTGAATCATGCATCGCGCTCGCGGGCCTGAAGCCGTCTGGCGCACATCCATCTCCAGCATCTCCGCTTCGTAGCCTTGCATGGCACACCCTCCCTTCAACAGGTGCCTGAAACCCTGAAGCTCTCAAACCCTGGGATGTTCCCGAAGCTCTCTCTTAAGGGAAGCCTAAGCTTCCTGTCTGCAGGCTACGAAGGATTGCGAGACCTCTCGTGACAGGTAACCCTAAACCTCAAACCCCAAACCCTAAACCCTACACCCTAAACCCTAAAGCCCCTCGAAGGCAGCTGTACCCGACGCCGGGTGACGCAACGCCGCGGGGCGCAGCACCACTGGCGAGGACCAAGCCACACTCGAATCGCCTGGGCCGTGCTACTTACGCCGTGTAAGCCTTGTGTAGGGCTTATGTATACACTATATCTATATATATATATATACATATATCTATATATGTCATTATTATGTATGTATATACATACATATATATATATATAAAGCCGAACATCGTCGAGCCTCACATGATGAACATCCGGTGAATCGCTGCCTGTCCCTGCCCCCCCCCCCCCCCCCCGGACCGCACACACACACACACACACACACACACACACACACACACACACACCACACACACACACACACACACACACACACACACACACACACACACACACACACACACACACACACACACACACACACACACACACACACACTCACTCCCCAAGATGCACTAGAACCCTAAACCCTGCGCCAGCGAAGTCCCACGATCTGGGGCCCTGACCCAAACGTGACTTCACCTCTGCCCCCGCCGTCAATGCGTTCAGGCTGAGGTCGTAGATGTTTACGCAGGCCTGAGACCCATGTTTGCTGGATACTTAGTAGGGCCAGCTCTCAAATATATATGTGTGTGTATATATATATATGTACTGTGTGTACCGTGTACTCGAGAGGGCGGCATAAATTTCATAGCGACTCAAAAGCAAACCTTTTACTTTCAAGGGCTGACCTTCTCGACACCGACGCTACTCAGCATGGACTCAGTCATGAGGTTAAAAAACGGCTCCTCCCTCAGATCAGCAAACAAGACTGCAGCTTGCAAGCCCCCTCCATTGCTGCTCAGCGGCCATGCTGGGAATGGTCACCTGAAAACATTACAGATTTGGGTGGGGGCGCGGGGAACTCGAAGGACTTTGAAAACCTCAACCCTGAACACTGCAGGCCTCTCAGAATCCTCCGGACCCCAGCTTCTCCATCAGTAGGCTGGCTTAACCTTTTAAGAGTTTTGGGTAGGTTATACTAGACTCAAAAAGGGGCTCGACTGCCTCCTGCCACTCCGTCATATCGCGCAGGACGCCGGTTCGGATCATGGCCTGTTCCGGTCTGACTTTGGGTTGCTGGGACATCCTCTTGCTTTCGCGACAGGTTTAAGGCCGGCCGAATGCCTAGGGCCTTGCAAATCGCCATTCCCCAGCTCGCTCGAGTGCGAAGGCGATGAAATACGCGGTCTCTGCTGCACATGCAGGAAATCAAGATGCTACTAAACTAAACCCGCCAGCCGAACCGAACTCGAACCCAGAGAGCCCAAAAAGTAAGGAAAGGAAATCACCGAAATCAGAGCAAGTATCCCCATAGGGTTCACGGCATGTCTTTTCGGCTCTCTGGGAATTGCTTCCGCCCCCCTCCCAACCCCTGTGCCCCCTCTCAGCGAGCCTTGGATCGGGTGCGATACGCCACCGACAGCGACGCTTCGGGGAGGGCGTTCAGGAGCGAGAGCATGGGGCGGAGGACCAGCCTGGGTTTGTACAGTAGGGTCTGGGGGCTTCAAAGGGCTCAGAGCTTGAAATTGCTTCGGGCTTGGGAGTTTAAAGGGTTTGGGATTTAGGGTGAATGTATCAAGACACTTCGCCGCTAACGTCAATGACCTCCCGAAAGCCTGAACCCAGAGTTTAGCGCCGCCTCACTTTTCAACTCCAATACAAACTACTCGAAATAGCGCCTTTCTGATTGGATGGGCCCTTTGTCAGGGTCAGGTTCTCTCTGCCCGGCGGCATGGTCACATTCCCCAGATCGTGCAGCTTGCCGCTTTGCCAGAAGCGCCCAGACATGTGCGCAGCGTCCTCCTTAGAGATGCGCGAAGCCTTATAGTAGAAAGGCCTCTGAGCCCTGTAAGCCCCTAAACCCTACACCCTCTAAGCCCGAAACCCTACAACCCCATAAGCCCAGGGCCTCAACAGCAACTTGCGGAAGATTCTATGTAGCCCTCGAAACCTCACACACTTTGCCTTGCAGTCCCCCGGATCTTTTGCGAATCCTACCAGTACATGTTTCATTGGCCCTCCACGTGAGCATCTCCAGCGCCACATGAAGTCACCTCGAGTTCAACGTTAGTTAGTCTGAAACTTGTGGAACCCGAAAACCCTAAAACCCCAAACCCTAAACCCTAAACCCTACAATGATGCTGCCCTATCCCTGCACCACAATTCCAGCCCTGGCCCCCTCATCCACCATTTGCATGCTGCGGAGACTCCTCCTCTGGCGCTGCCTCCTGCAAGCAGCGCTGCTTGTGGCAGGCGAAGCTTAGTCACAGTTTCAAGGTTTGGGGTTTGGGGTTTAGGGTTTAGGGTTTAGCGTTTAGGGTCAACATTGCAGGGAAACTGGCAGGAGGATTACGGGACCACCCCAGTTCGAGAGCCTCGCTGCCGAATTTCTGGCATCTATGGGATGAACTCCGCACACAGCAGTCTCGCATGCTAAGCTTCTTCTTCGAACTTCAAGCATTGCAAGCATGAAAGCACCTATGGGTAGTTTCCTAAATTAGGGTCCCGTTTTGGGTGCGCATTGTAAGGCGGCGCCCTTGACAAAAGGATCCCCAAAAGGTGACACTAGTTTAGAACTACCAATATGCGTAAACTAATGAATAAAGCCTGAAGAAGCTCCAAAACCCGAGAAATCCTGCAAGTAACTGCGAAGTCCCTCTAAAACCACCGTTAAACGAGTACTCACCCCAAATTCCATAAACTCGAAACTCCTCAAACCCCACCAAAACCCTAAACCCCCAAATTCCCAACACCCCCAAAGCCCCAAAGAACCTGAAGCCCCACAAGAACTTGAGACCCTTGTCGCGTCCTCGGGTTCCGAAACCTTCGGTGCTCCCCTGAGGTTGAGCAATCCGAGGGGGTTTAGGGGTTTAGGGTCTAGGGGCTTAGCGTTGGTTTAGGGTTTTGGGGGTTTAGGGTTGTGGGGGCAGGGCTCAGGATTTAGGGTTTCACAAGGTTCGGAGACATGTCGGCTATGCTATAGGGGTTCGCAGCTTAAGCAGGACTCAGAAGTAGGGTTCTTTAGGCAGTTATGGGGATTCAAGGTTTCACTGGGGTTGGGAGCTCGAGGATGCCATTTTAAACCCCTACAAACTCCAAGCCCCCAACCGCAAAACCTCTCAACCCTAAACCCCAAACCCTATAAGCCCTAAGCCCTAAGCCCTAAACCCTAAACCCCAAAACCTCTAAACCCTAAACCCCAAACCCTCTAAGCCATAACCCCTCAAAAGGCCCAAAGCTTCTGAGATTTGCAAGGCCCAGGGGCCCACAGCAGGGGGCGCTCTTCTTCTGCGTCTTGGTCGGAGCAATGGCGTCCTCGCCGGTTTAGGGTTTAGGGTTTAGGGTTTAGGGTTTAGGGTTTTAGGGTTTGGGGTTCAGGGTTCAGGGTTCAGGGTCAACCCCTGCGGGCTGAGGGCTTAGTCCTCCAGCAGCATGTCCGTCCGCAAGTTGCGGAAGCGAGGCTTGGGGACCGGCGAGTCCTGGCGGCAAGAACTTTGGAGCCCTCAGAAGCCTCACAGAAAAAGCCGCCCCCAAGCCCTGCAAACTCAAACTTTAGGGTTCAGGGTTTAGGCGACGATGTCACCGACTTATTTGAAGCATTCGGGTTCACGGGTCTGAGCTGTACAAGCACTTGGACCTCTGAGCAGATAAACCCAGTGATCCCAGCAAACATCCGAAACCTTGAAACCCCAAACCCTAAACCCCAAACCGGTTGTTAAGGGCCCCTAAACATCCGAAAGTCTAAGCCCTTCATGCTCAGGGCCACTGCTCGGAGCACACCCCAAGATGCGAATTAAGCGCCTGGAATCACACTCAGATTCGGGGCAGACACCGCTGCATTCCCGAAGCCCAATAAGGACGACAGGGTTTAGGGTTTAGGGTTTAAGGTTTAGGGAATCCCAAAAGCAGATCCCGCTGTTACCTTTCGCTGAAATTCCAGGGTACAAAGAAGTCGCTGAGACTCTGATGGTTAGCGCTTTGCTGTGATAGCGGGCACCCTGTGAAAACACCCTTCTCTGCGGATGTTGAAGACCCTTAGAGCGCTTGAAAGAAATTGCCTGCCTTCCCTTGACTCGAAACCTACGTCTTCCCTAAGCCACTCCATTTGCAGCTTTTCAAAAGGGAGTGTTCTAAGAGCCGTCTGTAGGCCAAACTTACTGTACAGATCGGAGCCTTGGTAGCCCAGTCAGGGTGTCTGCGCGGTCACTCCTACTTCTGAGGGCGGTGCTAAGACAAACGCACACACAGCTCAACATTACAGGAAGCCCGCGCTAGGCGAGGCAGAGCACCGCCAATTGACGGACTGGTAGCCACATCCTAAGACACTTTGTAGCTCTAATCCTAGCATATCAACATATATCAAGTTGCATTGCCTTCACATAGAATAGGAAACTCTTATGCATGCCACATCTTTACGCAGTTCAGCCACCACCCAGGCTGGGACTTGGGCGCCCAGCGTTTCCAATCAAAAAATAGAGCTCCGGCAACTCGTCAACACGGATGCGGCAGAACCTCTCAATGTCCTTCATCAGCTTCATATCACGGTCGGTGAGAAAATTGATCACCACGCCTTTCTTGCCGAATATGGCCTAGGTGTCTCAGAAAGCGCATGCTTACCCAGGGATTCTGAGCAATAGCATTGTCATCAGGAAAATTGTAATTGGGGTTTGAAAACACTGACTCTAAAACCCCTGCCTGAACCCTAAACCCAAAGCCCTAAAACCCTCAACCCTAGAACCCTACACACCCGGACACCCCAAATTCGAGAACCAAAAAACCAAAACTCCAAACGCTAAAGCCTAAACACTAAAACCCTAAACCCTAGAACCCCACACCGCAAAAAACTTTACACCCTAAACCCTAAACCCTAAACCCTAAACCCCAAACCCTAAACCCTAAACCCGGAACTCCAAACCCGGGGATCCTTGCTTGACGTAGCTGCACCTCCAAACCTTAGTGCTTTGGACCTTCCTGTCCGGGATTTTTATGTAGGGTGTAGGGTTTAGGGATTGAGGTTTCGGTTTAGGGCCGTGTAGGGTTTGAGGTTTAGGGTTTTAGGGTGCGGGGTTTGGGGGCTTGGGGTTCCTGTGTAGGGCTTCTACATATAAACAACTGAGAACTGAATGTGTATATAGTACGGATACATGTATGGAGGGCTCTAGGAAACCCGCTACAAGGCTCAGAACAGAAGGGTTCGAGGCAACGTCCTGTGACGTACTTCAAGTGACCGGCACCTGTATGTTGCTTGTCTGAAGGCTGAAATCCAGATCCCCCCCCTAAAAAAGGCTACCACAGGTTTGCCTGGTGACACTGCGGTGACGGTAGTTCTCCAAGCTCGTGTGTCCTGGAAGGTCGTAGTTGATGATGAAGGAGGTCTGTCGGACATCGATTTCAGGCATCGGCCGGTCTGTGGAAAGCAAGATCTGGACACACCCAGACAGAAACTCGCGCATGACGAGGTCCCGCTCCTTCCTGTCCAGCTCTCCATGTATGCACGAAACGGTAAAGTCCCGCTTGGTCAGCTGGTCCTGTACCCAGTCCACTTTCCTGCACGTGCTGATGTAGACGACGGCCTGTGAGCTCCCCAAGGACTCGCAGAGGTCGCAGAGCGTCTCCAGCTTCCATTCCTCCCTCTGAACGTTCACGTAGAAGTGCCCCACATCGTCCAGCACCAGCTGCTGCTCCTTTGCAGCAATATGCACGGGATCGTACATAAGCTTCGAGCTCATCGCCAAAACATCTGGTGGCAACGTGGCTGTGAAGAGACAGACCTGAACATGATACGGCAAGCATTCAGAGATGCCGTAGATTTGGTCTTTGAAACCGAGCGTCACCAGTTCATCCACGTCATAAAGCACGAAAATCCTGAGGCTATCCACCTGCAAGTTGCTGCTTCTTACCATTTTGTGAATATGGTCTGACGTGCCCACGACTAACTGGGGGCCATCCCAGAGCTTGTCCACGTCCTCGTGTATGGCAGCCCCTCCGATGCACACGTGGTTCCTCATCTGCAAGTAGCCACCTAACGCCAAGGACACTCTGTAAATGTGGTCGGCCAGCTCGCATGTGCTGGCCAGGATAAGGGCCTGCGTCCGATTCAGCGTATAGTCGATTCGTTGCATGCAGCCGATGACGAAGGTCACGATCATGTGGATGCCGGCCTGCCCTTCGCCAATCGTGTCGCGCCCATCCACAATTGGCTTAATTCCACGTCGCTGCATTGCTTGCGGCTTCTGAAGGCCGAAAGCATGGATTCCACGCAGGAGATTCTCCTCCAACCCGTAGTCCTCAAAAGACTCGAACGCTGGATACTCCATAGCTCCAGACACAGCGACTCCGTCGGACGGCATGGCTGTCATGTGGCTCAAGGGAGTATACTAGGGTATACTCGGGTAGAAGTATGAAGGGTATGTTAAGGTATATTAAGGTACGTAAGACTATCTTAAGGTATATCAGGGCATATTAGGATACTCTGGTATACGACGTCGGCCAGCAGAGATGTTCCGAAAATCAAGGGACGACAATGCAAACCCAGAGAGCTAGACATCGTAGAACCCTAGGCCTCAGAATCCTTTTAAGACCTCAAATATCCTGGTACTTGGGACCAAAGTCCTACATCCAATAAGTCCTTAGAGGCTTAGAGGAAGAGGAGCGAGCTGAAACCGTGAACCTGGCTCTAAACTCAAACCGACGGGAATTCGCTGAGGCGATCCCGCTTCAGGGTGTTTGGAACCCTTTTCTACCCCCACCTACTCCGCGTCCCTTAGGGTTTAGCATTTAGGGTTTAGGGTTTAGGGCCCACCTCCCCCCTTCCCACCTGCCTTCAGGTCATGGGCCTGTGGCCGTGCAGCCAGCAGCGTGGGCAGCTCTGAGCCCTGCGCTGGCGGACACTTTTTGAATTGGAAGATTTGGGTCCCCGAACCCTAAACCCAAAACCTTAAACCCTAAACTAAACCCTAAGCCTTAAATAACCTTGAACCCTAAACCTTTTTGTCTTTGATGGTTTGCCTCTCCACCATTTTGGTGGTGTCTGCAGACTCTCACCCCTGCTTCGGCCACCGTCACAAGAATGTAGAGGGCTAGGGCACTACGGGTAGAAGCCTATCCTGGTGTTCCCCCAAAACCCTAAACCCTAAACCCTAAACCCTATACCCTAAACCCTAAACCCTAAACCCTTACCGCGGCCTTCGACTTGGCGCAGGAGAGGATGAAATCCTCCAACTCCGAGGAGTTGAGGATGGACTTGGAGGACAGCTCGAAGGGGTGGCCTTGGCGGTTTAGGCTTTAGGGTTTAGGGGTTCAGGGGTTAGGATTTAGGGTTTAGGGTTCTAGGGTTCTAGGGTTCTAGGGTTCCAGGGTTCCAGGGTTTAGGGTTCTAGGGTTTAGGTTGGGTTATCGGGTTTCAGGGTTTTAGGGTTTACATTTTAGGGCTCTGGAGCCGGAGGTTGGAGGGACAAAGTTCTTTTTGTTCCTGCAGAGCTGCTTAGTATCTATATGTACACAGTATTGATAAACTTGTTGAAGTCGCGACTATGTATCCGAATAGCCAATAACAAGACAAAACGGCAAGGAGAGAGAGAGAGAGAGAGAGAGCGAGCTCAGATGCACATCGACCCAAAACCTCAAGCACGGCCCCTGCCCCGGGCCCAAGAACCCACCGGAAGCCGCCTTTGATGCCGGGGCTCTCCACTCGAAGTCGTCTCCCAAGCCGAATCGTCCCCGAACGGTCGCGGCAACATGCCCGGCCTGTCGGCGAATCACTGAAGCTCTCGTTAGTGTTCGCTCCGCAGCCAGCGGCACTTGCAGCTTTCTCGCGTCCACCCATTGACCACTCGGTGACATGCTTGATCTCTCAGTGCTAGGCGTTTTGAGGGCTGAAGCTTTCAGTGCTTTAGCAGGCGGAGGGCCCTTTTGGGCTTCTAAGTTCGGGGGTGTCTATGGGGCTCCCAATAAGGGATCCCAGTACTGCGCACGACGCTCGGGAGATCTCAAGAGGCGGGCCTCTTGCCGCAGCAGGGGCTCTGGAACAGCAAAGATCTCCTGAGCTCAACGAGGATTGCGCAACTCATTCTTGCGTTGAGATGCAGACATGATGGACACCCCCCCAAACAAAATTAAAAAAATGAATAAATAATAATAATAATGATAATGATAATGATAATGATAATGATAATGATAATAATAAATAACACACACCATTACCCTGATGTGCCCGGGGACATTGGGCATGATCGCCACCACGCGGTCTTGGTGTTCTCCACTCGCCGGCAGATGGCTCTCAACGCGGTAGCTCGGAGCTTGATGGCCTTCAGCTGCACACCCTGAACCCTAAACCCTAAACGCGATGGCATCATGCCATTCGGGTGGGGCGCTGAGAGTCACAGCCGTCTCAGTCTCTGTGAGGCGACTTCCTGTGTTGGACCCTTCTTTGCCGGAGCCTTTCGATAGAGACAAGCTTCTAGCTCAAACATTGTCCAGTAGCTCTGCTGGGTGGTCTGGAGGCGGCCCTCTTAAAATACAAGAATTTATCTGGGGATTGTAACAATTTCTGGGGTGGCGAACCTTCAACACCAAATGCCGGGCTCCCCCACTACTCTCAAGTTGGCAGGGAGAAGTGGCTCAGGGGGTAAAGAAAGTCTCCCCACACCTAATAACCCAACACACCAACCCTAGACCCTAAAACCCTCACTCTAAACCCTCAACCCTAAACCCCAAACCCCAAACCCTGAACCATGGGTCTACAGCTTCCCTCTGCCGGCGCACCCAGCACTGATGCTTGGCAGGTGAAGGTTCCCGTTGGCTTGGCCTCAGCAGATGTGGGTTTCCGGGGCTGGGGAGTTCGGGCGGGGTAAAGGGAGTGTTAGGGTTTAGGGTTTAGGGTTTAGGGTTTAGGGTTTAGGGTTTAGGGTTTAGGGTTTAGGGTTTAGGGTTGTGGGAGACCCCAACCCAGGGTGGGTCACCTCTGGCTGCACCGTTTCTACAGCAACCACGCACTGAGCCCCCCATCCGGCCTTCTGGCCGGGGAAGGAGAGCTGCAGTGGGACATCGCCTTCGGTGTCTCCGGGCTGTGCAGGCTTAGGGCTCCGAAGGCTCTGGGGTTGATATGCGTTTAGGGTTTAGGGTTTAGTGCTTGAGGTTTAGGTTTGAAACTTTAGGGTTGAGGGAGTTGAGGGTTGAGGGCTGAAGCAGTTTGAGTCTAGGTCTTAACGGGTCTGAAGGTTTGGGGTTCAAGCTTTAGGGTTTGAAGGTTTTAGGGTTTGTGCAGAATAAGTGTGCGTTTTTTCCAAACAGTCAGGAGTCTCTTGACTTGGGGATTAAAAGGATTCCGCATTCTGGGGAGTTTAAAGGGTCCCCTACATTTCAAAAATACTCGTAATGGTTGAGGAGCTGGGTGGTCACATGTCCACCGAGAAAGCATAAAAAAATGCTCCTTGTGCTAGTAGCCTTGCTCAAGCCCTAGGCCGTGCGGTAAAATACTCAGTAAAAGGTATGGTTGTTCTTGAAAAGAAAGCATAAGATATCGCTTGGGTCCTTGTAGGACAACCATCTGCGTAGGAGGTATGTCACTTCATGTTCTGCAACCACACAACATCTGCAGCCCGCGCTGCAGGTGTTGTGCAGACGCAGCGGTGAGGCCAAGAGGAGCATCCGGGCTCCTGCGACACCCGACAAGGCACTGGCTTGAAACGAGCAAGGATCGCCCTGGGTCCCGGGGTCTGTAACGCCCACATGCGACTTGCAAGTGCCTTTCTTCGTTTGGAGACCCCCAGGCAGACGTCAGCAAACACGACCTCGGTGTCAATGGTGTCAACAGCAGTTGCCACCGACTCCGCAACCACAAGCCCTACTCCCTAAACCCTAAACCCGTGAAGCCCCAGCGCGCGCGCAGATGTCCTGGCTCCGGCGCGCGCATCTCTGCGACACAGAAGCTGCCGGGCACCAGCGCCTGGGTCTCAAGTGCTCGGAGAGCCCCGTGACAAGATGCGCACCGAGATGCTGTCCTTGTGGTCATCCAGCATTCACACCCAAAGGCCCCTTGTAGCCTTCTAAGCCCTGAACCCTAAACCCGAAACCCTCTGAACCCTGAACCATCCCCATGTATACCTGTGCGGAGTCTGCGAACCATGCTCAGACCGACCCAAACGTACCCTTCAAGCTCAAAGCATACTGCCAGCCGAAAGAGCCGTTTCCGTGCACTCGATGGAGAGAGGCCTTCGGAGCTTCCAGGGCTTTTAGGGTTTAGGGTTTAGGGTTTAGGGTTTAGGGTTTAGGGTTTAGGGTTTAGGCTGCTTGGGTTTACGGTTTTTCTTCCGCATTGTGGGGTGGAAGGGGTGCGGAGAAACATGGAAGGGCTGTGGGTTCGGGCAACTTTGGGGTTTTGGGGCTTAGGGTTTATAGGGGTTTGGGGTTTAAGGCTTAGGAGTTTCGCTTCTTGCTGAGCCTCGACAATCTGGAATCTGGAGTTGACAGCTGAAGAAATGAAGCATTTCCAAGAGTAACAGGGGCTACCAGTGAACTCCCCTAATAATAGAATAACGGAGTGAATACAATTTAATAATATTAAATGTAATGACTGAAAGGAAGCACGATTTAATATTACAATTGTAAGAACGAAGTGCGGCGCTTTAAATGAGTCTTGTAGTGCGCCCCTAACCTCTGTTCTTAGTTATAACCTCTCTGAACCTATCTTTACAGGAGCTTTTTATGAGGCTAGAAGTGAGCTCACCCCGTCATATTAGATTCACCCCCTTGTCTTGTGCAACAGAACTGCAACAGACGGCCGCAGGAGCCGTACGCTTGGGGCACTTGTGGGGCTCAAGCTGACAGGCTTGCAGCCTGGAACCCTCTACTTGGAGGCTCACAGGTCTTGTAAGTAAGGTTGTAAACAGTGTTATGGTTCTCACAGTATTTAGGGTACTTCTAACCCCCCGTATACCAGGGCCTAAGCCTACCATGCCTACTGTTCCCTTGCTCTGGGGAGTAAAGACCGAAAGCAGGGGTCCCCAGCCTCGAGCTCTCCGTGCTCGCGCCCTGCAAGGGGAAAAGAGGGAAAGTGGAGAGGCAACCTTTAGGGTTTAGGGTTTGGGGTTTGGGGTTTAGGGTTTAGGGCCTTCCAGTTCGGTGGCTTCCTAAGGGGGGGACCCATACAGTAAGGACCCCCCCCCCCCAAGCCAGAGAACACCCAAATGAGGGTGAGGGGAGGGCTGTCTTGCTAGCATCCCGAAAAGGCCACCCCCCCCCCCCCCCCAAAAAAAAAAAAAAAAAACGCGCCCAACAAAAACAAAGAATGTAGAACCTTTACCTCATATTGAGATCGGGTTGGGGCATGGGCCCGGGCCCATTACCCACTACTCCAAGTACTTCGACGTGGGGCTTTCGGTAGGGTACTTAAAGCCATGGGCTGGCTAGAATCTGGGTAGATATCGTGACATGGCCCCGTCTTCTTGACATCCATGAACCTCCAAGTCAAGACGCCCTGTGCTAGGGCCGTCGCCGCCGAAACTCAAGATCCCACCACCCTCTCGAACACCCCGAACCCTATCCACATCCTAACCCTAAATCCTAAACCCTAAACCCTAAACCCTAAGCCTCCCCAGTAAAAGGCCTCTTTGAGGCGCACCGCGACCTCGCTGGCCCTGCACAGAACTTCTTTCGAGGTATGGTTTTTTTTTTTTTTTTTTTTCCGGGGTTCTGCGGTTTTCGTGTTTAGTAGGGTTTAGGGTTTAAGTTTTGGGTCTAGGGTTTAGGGTTTAGGGTTTAGGGCTTAGGGCTTAGGGTTGAGAGTTTCCGGGGTTTTTGGGAGTTTTCAGGGGAGTTCTGGGGTCTCGGCTTGCATGCGAGTGTGTTTGCTATGCAGCATACAGTCTACGGAGTTCGAGGCTTACATCTGCAGGCTTCATCCCGGAACACAATCCAGGAATAGGAATGATGCTGACCGTTTTCAAAAAGTATGATTGAATCACTGCACGGTCGTGCGCAAATCCGCGCAAAGACGATCCACAAGGCTACCTGGCGTCACTTGACTCTTTGCTTGGCGCCACAAGTCTTCATCGCTCGTCTTCACTTGGCTCGGCGTCACTCGTCTTCACTCGGCGTCGCTCGGCAGGGGCATTTCGACCATGCCGCAACTCTCAAAAGCTCTGAAGGTCCCTGCCGTGTCATGTGAAGCCTTGGTCTTCTGCACTCCGATATCTTCTGTGGGAAGCAAAGGGACTTCCTCACAAACCACTGACGAAAGACTGAACACTCCCAGACAATCAGGTTTTTCAGGCGGGTAGTCTACGAGTGCGGGGTTTTCCAGAGTGTGAACAGTTGAAAAGACCCCTGGAATGGCGCTGGGCCTCCCCAGGAGGTTGTACTATCTTTCAGTTTTGATCGAGAGCCTGTGTCTTTCTCATTCCAAGTTCAACATGACACGCTTTCCCCCTAAACGCTTTGAGGTTTAGGCCAACCATGGGCCACCCTACTTTTCGCAACTTTTCCGAAAGACGATTAGAGGAGCAACAGCGAGGATTAGGTTAAATCCGCACGACAGCACGTGAGAAAAAGGAAGCTCCATGAATATTCTGGAGCCCCCGAGTCCGAAACCATCTCAAATCACAACGGTCTCTCTGAATCCCACCGTAGGACCTAAGGTGTTTTGTATTTGGGGCCCAGTTTGGGGTTTAGGGTTTCGTGCGCGCGTGCGCGCGTGCGGGTGCGGGGGCGGGGATGGTGCGGGTGCGGGTGCGGGTGCGGGTGCGGGTGCGCGTGTGGGTGTGGGTGTGGGTGTGTGTGGCTGGCTGTCTGACATTCCTAGGCATGCATCCCAAGAACCCACGCGTTGGATGCGGAGGATTCTCCAAAGTAGGGTCCTTTTTTGGCGTTACTTTTTTAAGGCGGCGCCTAGTATTTAGGGTACCCAAAAGGGGTACAATAGTTTTGAGAATATGACCATATGTATATCGGATGCTCTTCATGCGTTGGCCTGACCCCCCCCCCCCAGCCCCAACTTGAAGCAAACCCACATGGAAACCCTCACCCAGCGGATGCCTGTGCAGGAAGATTTCATCCTCGAGGCATACCTGCAAGGGCGGGGTGCAGTTGAAGGTACTGGGGGCCTGCGCGGGAGATTTTGATATTTGTGTTTAGGGTCTAGGTGTTTAAGGTGCACTTGCTCTGGCTAGCCCAAAAGGCAACCAAGATGTACAAGTATCAAGACTTTAAAGATCGGAATATATACACTCACTTCATGTGCTTCGACTTCCACACGCGCAGGCCTTCTCGCCAGTGGGCGGAATCTCTTTGCAGACGAGCCCGCCTTCTCCACAGGACAGGGACCCTTAACCCTTTACATCCCTTTTTGAAACTGGACTTGCTGACTACAGGTAAACCCTCTTCTCGAGAACCCTGCCATCAGCATACTTTGGGCTTACGTCATGGGTCCGTTTCCCTAACCAGCAATCAGACAGAACCCCGCTTGTCATGGCCCGGCGGCTGGGGCAATGGAACTCCAACACCATCGGCTGCCCGAAGAGGTTGACGACGCCTCGCCCGCGTGAGCTTCGGGGACGGGAAGGGTTGAGCTGCACCTCTCAAGGCCCCCTGAAGCTGCCTATCAGGGTTTTTTGGGTTTAGGGTATAGGGTTGAAGGTTCTACTGGTTTCTGACCCCTAAACCCTGAACCACAAACCATGGAACTGAGCTTGCCTCTCGAAGCCCGACCCAGAGACCTGCCAGGACCCCTGCGAGAGGCCCCCCTTTAATGGGTTGACGACTGGAACTTCTCTAAGGCCCATCCTGGCCAAACTTTATAGAACCTATAAACTCTACAAAGCCCTATAAACCCACAAACCATATAGACCACAAACAATGAACCCCAAAACGCCCAAAAAACACCCTTCAAATCCTAATCCCTAAACTCCCTGAACATCCCTAAACCCTAAACTCCCGAAGCATCCCTAAACCCTAAACCCTAACCCCTAAACTGCCTAAACATCCCTAAACCCTAAACTCCCTAAACTCCCGAAACATCCCGAAACCCTAAACTCCCAAAACATCCCTAAACCCTAGACTCCCTAAACTCCCTAAACTCCCTAAACATCCCCAAACCCAAACCCTAAACTCCCGAAACATCCCTAAACCCTAGACTCCCTAAACTCCCTAAACCTCCCAAACATCCCCAAACCCTAGACTCCCTAAACATCCCTAAGCCCTAAGCCCTAAACTCTAAACATCCTAAACCCCCCGAGGCCGGTGCTGTACCGCGAAGACCCGGTGTCGCTCTTCCGCTCGATGCTGGCCGCGTAGACGGGGCCGAGCTGCGCGAGCCTTTTAGCTGTGGCTTTGGGTTTAGGGTTTAGGGTTTAGGGCTTTTAGGGTTTAGGGTTTAGGGTTTGGGGTTTAGGGTTTAGGGTTTAGGGTTTAGGGTTTAGGGTTTAGGGTTTAGGGTTTAGGGTTCAGCATGTCAAGTTCGAGCATTTACTAGGCCAGCAGTGTGTGTAGGCAATGGAAAAAACCACCCGCCCAAAGAATCTCATAACATTAAGAAAATAAAAAGTTTTCTCACTTTCTGTTCAGACGCACCAAGAGGCCAAAGAATCACACGGTCAGACGGGTCAAGACGCCATATTCGTGCTGAACAATGGGGGGCCAAATGGGCCAGACGGGTCAAAACGCCAAATTCGTGTTGAACAATGGGGGCCAAACGGGTCAGACGGGTCAAAACGCCAAATTCGTGCTGAACAATGGGGGTCTAAACGCCAAATTCGTGTGTAACATGTAGGGTTATATGGTAGAGAGGTTTAGGGTTTAGGGTTTAGGGTTTAAGGTTTAGGGGGCTGCGGCTTAGGGGTTTAGGAGTTAAGGGGTTTGGGGTTTGGGGTTTAGGGTTTGGGGCTTTAGGGTTTAGGGCTTAGGGTTTAGGCGGATTTTGGGGTGTCCAAGGTTTATTAGGCGTTTGGGGTTTATAGGATCTGCGTTTTTTGGGTGGAGGGTTCAGGACTCTTCAAAATTTTGGGTTTTGGGTTTATACGGCTTTGCAGGGCTTTGCAGGAATGAGGGGTTTAGGGTGCAGGGTTGTTGAGGTTTGTAGGGTGCATGAAGCTTCTGGGGCTTGTAGGGCTTTACGGGTGATAGGTTTATAGGGCTTGTGGTGCTTTCAGGGTGCGGTTCTCAAGGCATTCGCTGGTTAGCTTATGACCCTAATTCTCATATAAATTCTCACTCTTTTCTAGTTGATAATTAATTTAAAATCAATTTAATCTTTAATGTTTGCAGTATCATGTATTTAAGAATCATGTACATCATGATCAAGGTCCTCAATTAACCTAATGATTATCATTTTTACACCTTTCCTTTGCTCTTACCTTTTCCTTTACCTTTGCAATGAAAGGAAATATCTTATCGATAACTTTACTATAACATAAACTTTCACATAGAAAAAGATTCTCCATGGATTTACCTCTTCATCTATTCTTTTTCATAGGAGTATCATTCATAAACAAACTTACTAATATTTCTGGGGAGATAGCGGTGCAAGGCCCGGAGTGTTTAGCTCGGATTCTGGTTCCTGAACCCCCCAACTTTCAGTTCCTTTTCTGAATTTCTTACGCTGAAACATCTGGAGCGTCCTGGTCCTGCCTCGACAGTGAGGGCGCCGCAACGTTCAGCAGCAGGGGCTTGTGCGCGCTGACGGACCTGGGTGTCTTGAGGCTCCAGTAAGTCGCTACAAGGGCCCCCGCACGCCCTCCCCCCCACCCCGATTCCCCAGAACGCCCAGAGCCAGAGAGAGAGAGAGCGAGAGAGAGAGAGAGAGAGAGAGAGAGAGAGAGACAGAGAGAGAGAGAGAGAGAGAAAGAGAGAGAGAGAGAGGGAAACAGAGAGAGAGAGAGAACATCACTGTTCCAATCGCCCGCACCTTCCTTTTAACAACTTGTGTTGTTCGCTATCCCTTACAGACTCCTAACCCTCAGCCCTAGCAGCCAAGGTCTGAGACTAAGAGTCGGGCACTTTGGTAGCCAAAGCCGAGGATGTCTTGGACATGGACTGGAGCTGCACCTCAGGTGCGCGGCTAGGGTTTCAGGTTTAAGGCTTCGACGGTTTAGGGTTTAGGTTTACGGTTGAGGTTGAGGGTTTTGGGATGAGGGAGCCACAGGGCTTACTGGTGCGTGGAGGGAGTGAACATAGGCACTACCGTAGGGCTAATCTCTCTGCGGATTATATCAGGAACTGCTCCTCCACACCTGCAGCGCCAGCCACATCATCAGTTTGCAACCCTATCCTTCTCAAACATGAGCCAAACCCGAAGCCCCAAACCCTAAACACGGGCAGTTCTCTGGACCGGGGTATCAGATTTCCCACCACACAGGGTGGATTCTCATACCCTACACCCTTCAACTAGGGGTGCCCAACAGCAAACGAGGGGACAGAAGTCAGGTGACCTCGTCACGACCTCAGATTCACGTACGTAGCCTTCCTTACGCCCCAAACTAACGGCAACAGTCGTAGCAATAATCATATCAAAATATCAAAACAATGATACCGTCCATAATGCCACCAAGAGTAATACCAATAGAAATAATAGTTACTAATCATACTAATAATACTAATAATACTAAATAATACTAATAATACTAATAATACTAATAATAATCATACCAATAGCAGTAATCATCGCGACAATAATCAGCCCTGCTCCCGAACAAAGCTCTGCCCGGCTGCAGAGGCCCCAATGTGGAAGGGCTCCAAGAGGGGCTCCCACTCCTTGGAGGGTTTAGGGTTTAGGGTTTAGGGTTTAGGGTTTAGGGCCTTGGGGACGTGCGGTTCATTTGGGGCTTCCTATGGGTGGAAGACCTGGGCGCCCTTCTGCAGCTGCAAGGGAGATGACGCCAACAAAGCCCAAAGAGGTCCATAGTTTGCATCAACCTCCTTAAGGCTGCTCGGGTTTAGGGTTTAGGGTTTAGGGTCTAGGTGCTCATTTAGCAATATCTTATATCTTCTTCTATCAGTGGCAACAACATTCCTAGAATGGCCCCAGTTCGCGTGCGCGCTCCAAACCCCAGCTCCAGACGCGACACCCAAATCCCCAGGAAGGCCCCCTAAGCCAAACCCTACTCCCCAATCCCTAAACCTTATTAGTCCCAAAAGCCCTTTAAAACCCTAAAATCAAAAAACCTTAGAACCCTAGAACCCTAAAACATTGAAACCCTACAAACCCTAAAACCCGAAACCCCAAAACCCTGAAACCGTAAAACCCTGAAAGCCTAAAACCCTAAAACTCTGAAAGCCTAAAACCCTAAACCGCTAAAACCCCCCCAAACCCCAAAACCCCAAAACCCTGAAACCCCAAAACCCTACGTTTGCATGCCAAGGCGCATGGGACCGCGGGCACTTGGCGAAGGCCTTGAGCGCCAGGTTGTCGAGCTTCACGCTCGTCGACATGTCCTGGCCGGTCCTTGCTTGGCTCATGTGGGGTTTAGGATTTAGGGTTTAGGGTTTGGGGTTTAGGATTTGGGGCTTAAAGGATTTCGGGTTTAGGGTTTGGGGTTTTGGGTTCGGGGTCTTCCGGCTGAGCCTGGCGCAGCTCTGCAATCGTCGACAAACTCCACCCCACGAGAACCGCTGATGCACTCTGAACCCCCAACCCCTCAACCCCATAAACGCTAAACCCTAAGCGCTAAACCCTAAACCCTAAACCCTAAACCCTGAACCCCAGCCCAAAACATAAACCGACAAGCCCCTGCAACCCTAAACCCTAAGCCGCCTAAGCCCCACAACCCTCAGTCCTGAATTCCCGAAGTTCCCTAAACTCCCGAAGTTTCCCTAAGTTCCCTAAACTCCCTCAGTTTCCCTAAGTTCTCTAAATTCCCTAAGTTTCCCTAAGTTCCCTAATCTCCCTAAGTTGCCCTAAGTTCCCTAAACTTCTGAGTCGGCAAGAAATCGCGGCAGGGGCTCAGGAGGCTGTCGTGGCACAGCTGAATCCCGGGCCCCATGACTTGGCACTGCAGCGTCACGACCGGGTGCAGCATGTCCAGGACCGCCCTGTCGCTTTGGGCTTTCCGAGGGGTTTAGGGTTTAGGGTTTAGGGTTTAGGTTCAGGGTTTAGGGTTCAGGGTTCAGGGTTCAGGGTTTAGGGTTTAGGGTTTAGGGTTTAGGGTTTAGGGTAGGACCGCCCTGTTGCTTTGGGTTTTTTGGGGGTGTTGTTTGGGCATATTCGGGATTGTGGTGTGTTTTGGTGGTGGTGGGGGGGGATGTAGGACTGGCTTCGGGGCTTTGGGTTTAGGGTGTGGGACCGCCCCAGGCTTGTTTGGGGCGCAGGGTTCAGGGTGTACCTGCACCCTGAGGAAGCATTCGAGGGGTATCTGACAAGGATACTTCGGGTGTTTCGGCTCGAACGCAAACCAAGCAGCCTGCTTGGCTGTTAGCACGCGCAAGCAACAACTCGCAATGGTCGCCTCCCTTGTATGATTCAAAGGGGGGGAGAGGGGGGGGGGCTTGGAACACCTTCCACCCCTAAACCCTAAACCCTAAACCCTCAGTCCTCAACCCAAAGCCCTCCTCCAAGGCCAAGCCACACTTCGAGCTTGCCCAGCTGCGCCGTGACGTCCAGCTGCAGCCTCTTCTCCTTAAGTGCAAAGGCAGGTTGAACCCAGAAAGGTGCCTTGGGAACCGGGAACCCCTAACCCCTAAACCCTAAACCCTGAACCCTGAACCCTAAACCCTAAACCCTAAACCCTTGTAAATGAACCCCTCGAAAGGAAGGCTTCTGTTGCTCCATGTACCCTAGCAGGGAGTAGAGTCTCACATGGTGTGTGACCCTGAGTTTCCCCCGTTCGCAAGCTCACAAATTTTAATGGAATTACAAGGGCGCACAAAAAGGGATTATAATAAGCGTCCGAAGGAAACTATTAATAAAAAAACAAAAGACCAACAAGTACACCATAAAAGCATTGATTGTGATCTTTCCCGGTGATCCATTATGAAGAAGCGTTTCAATCACAAGTTCATGCGTGTTGTTGGTCACATATTAAGTTCTCTCTCACCGGAAGCCCATATTTTCCTAGAGGCAGTAAAGAGAACACCAAGGTTAATAGAAAGAAGACAAGAACTATAGTCTGTATCTCTCTCTCACCGCGGCAATACCGTAACGATAAAGGGGAACGAAGACATTGCATTGGCGGCTCTATCTCTCTCTCTGTTCTCTGGGTCGCCAGTTATGTTATTAAATCCTGTAGACGCACCCCTATTCTCTTCGCCTGGCCGTTTGCATCACATTCCAAGGTTAAGAAGTGAGTGAACTAGTGAACGACACGTGCATGCGAATGAGCGGCTCGTCTGGGGCCCAAACTATACACAAGAAACCCTAAACCCTAAACCCTTGCCCTAAACCCTAAACCCTAAACCCTAGCCCTAAACCCTAAACCCTATACCCGGCCATTCTTCCATTCTTCGGCTTCCGAGAGGCGGTGAGCTCCTTGGCGCGCTTGGTGGCGGCCTGCATGGCCTTCGAGGTCTGGAATCTTGGGATAAGTTTTGGATCCGGGCTGAGGGGTTGATAGGGTTTAGGGTTTAGGGGTTTAGGGGTTTAGGGCTTTAGGGGTTTAGGGGTTTAGGGGTTTAGGGGTTTAGGGGTTTAGGGGTTCAGGGGTTTAGGGGTTTAGGGGTTTAGGGGTTTGGGGTTTAGGGGTTTAGGGTTTAGGGTTAGGGTTTAGGATTTAGGGATTTAGGGGTTTAGGGGTTTAGGGGCTTAGGGGTTTAGGGGTTTAGGGGTTTAGGGGTTTAGGGATTTAGGGTTTAGGGCTTGGGGGCTTCTAGGGGATCCGAAGTACGGGTCCTTCATTTGGGTCCCTTGTTGTATAACCCTTACGTACACTATGTGATAATCAGGGCCAATGCCTCGGATCCCTATAAACAAGGGTAAGGGACCACACGAAGTGCCCATGGTTCAAACCTTAGAGTTTAGGGGTTGGGATTGGGGTTTAGGGTTTAGGGTTTAGGGTTTAGGGTTTAGGGTTTAGGGTTTAGGGTTTAGGGTTTAGGGTTTAGGGTTTAGGGTTTAGGGTTTAGGGTTTAGGGTTTCAGGGGCTTCAAGAGGAAAAGAGCTGCAAGGTTTGTGGATTTGGGGTTTAGCTAGGAGGAGGGCCGTCGAGGCGTCGGGGAGACGGAACCTCGGAGACTTTCCCCCTTGACCCGAAGAAACCCCCAAAGTCGACCCCGGAACAAATAAGTGGAGGAGCTACCACTCGAAGGTTTAGGGTTTAGGGTTCAGGGTTCAGGGTTTAGGGTTTAGGGTTTGGGGTTTAGGCTCCCTGAGGATGCAAAGTGCGAACTAGCCGCAATTATTCTTGTTGCCTTCGTAAACGATCCACCGGGGCGAGCGTTGTGTTATTCGGAAAAGCTTGGTCTGGAAAAACGGAGGCAGACTGCTCAGTGATCTGAGAATATCCTCAACCCCGCAGCCGGGTAACGATAATCCTAAACACTTAAGCTCCTAAAGCCCTGCCCTACTCCCTAAGCACCTCAAACCCTCATAATGTAATCTGCTCAGCAACGATTTTAGGTTCGAGTTTGATAAACTGCTAAACGCTACAAACCTAACCCCCAAACTCCTAGAACCCCTGAGCCTCTGAACCCCTAGAATTAGAACCCCTCAAAACCTTAAACCCCCAAACTGCTAGCACCCCTGACCCTCTAAACCCCCTTAAACCCGTAAAACCCCAAACCCCTAGCACCCCTAGCACCCCTAAACCCTAAACCCCCAAAAAAAACCCAAGCGTTGGGCATCCTTGCTGTGAAACTTTTCCCAAGATGCCCTGGCCTCCGACTGGCCAACAGAGCTCGCGAGGGCACCGGCCCCCTGTGGAGGACAGCAACCAGGTTTGGGGTTTAGGGTTTAGGGTTTGGGGATTGTTTGGTGCAGGTTAAGAACACCTTCCCCCTCCCTTGTAGGATTCTTAATAGCCAACAAGCGGTAAGGCGCACCCCTTCTCGAAGTAGGGATGACGATAGCCACCGCTAATGTGTAACCTTTACAGGGTTTTCCGATAACCCTACTTATGAGTGCCCTAAACCCTAAACCCAAAGCCCTAAGCCCCAAACCTGAAATCCTACAACCCTAAACCCGAATCCCTAAACTCTAAACAGCATGAACCTTCAAGCAAAGGTTGGGCGCGCCCTGAACCCTATAGGCTTCCCACCGAAGCCCCCGCCTGGCCCTGCGCGGCATCCGCAGCCTCCCAAGAGAGGGGCGGGGGGGGAACTTCTCAGGGTCTCAGAATTCCAGGGCTTTCAGGGCTTACAGGTAGTAGAACAAGGCTTTACGGGGCTTCAGCGCTTTTGAGGATCTCGATGCGATAGAGCCACAAAAGGTGTGCAGTGCAGGGCAGTGCAGGGCCTGCGGACGGATCCGCTCTGCAGCGGGTGCGCTGCATGCTTGCCTACACACAGCCTCGGCCCCAAACCCCCGAAAGCCCAAGCAAGCGCCTCCTCGACAACCTCCTGCAGCTTCTCGGCAGCTGCCTCCTTTTTTGCAAGGCTCGAGGTTGAGGCTATCTCTTTTGGGCCGGTTATTGCGAGACAGCCTTGCTCGCTCCAGGGCCAGCAACAGGAGCCTAAATTCTCAATAATTGGGTCTTGCGAATCTTACTTAAAGCCAACAGCTGGACAATGTCCCAGCGCAAGGAAAACAAGCCACGCGGAAAGCCCCAAACCCTGACCCAAAGCCCTGAATCTTGAACCTCGGAGCACTGCCTGGCTTGGGGGCGCGAGCTCAGCGAAGACGTCCGGGAGGGCCGCGAGAACACTCACCTCGAGGGGACTCCAGCATCAGATATTCTGGAAGATATGGCAATTATGATAGAAAGTATGGTCGACAGAGTGAGAACGGCCATGGTAGCAGTAGTAGTACTAGTAATTATAGTAACAGCCTGTATTTAACATTGTATTTCAATTACGCACTTACTGCAGTAGAAACACTCTCAATAAGAAGGGCCATCGCAAGAATCACCCTAACCCCTAAACCCTAAACCCTAAACCCTAAACCCTAAACCCTGGACCCTAACAGCAAATTCAGCCTGGCCACTGCCTGCGGAGCTGCTGTGAGGATGAGGTCTCCGGTGGTCAACTTCACCTCTGCCTGCTCTAAGGGGCCCTCCCCCCCTCACAGAAAGAGTCTTGGTTTAGGGTTTAGGGTTTAGGGTTTAGGGTTTAGGGTTTAGGGTTTAGGGTTTAGGGTTTAGGGTTTAGGGTTTAGGGTTTAGGGTTTAGGGTTTAGGGTTTAGGGTTTTTGGGGGTGATACTCACAAAGTGACGTACAGGTCGTGACCGTACTCTGTGCCCAATTGCCACCTGACTGGGAGTGGTGTGGCAGAACCGCTTCCGTCGGATGAGCAATGCTCGCTCTTCTCCACTGTTCCTTCCCGGGTACCCTAGAACCTAAGCCCTAACATCAAACAACAAGCACATAGACACAAGGCACTGAGAGGAGCCTTCAAGGCGTCGTCATCCTCCTTGTGGTTGAGCTGGATGTCGATGGGCAAGGGCGAGATCACGTTGAACTCTTCCTGCGGAGCCGTTTCGGGTTCAGGGTTGAAGGAATGCTTGAATCAAAGCAGGGTTTTAGGATGTAGGGCTTGAATTAACTTCTGGAGCCTCAGGGAATCTCATGGGACTTGCAACTGCCATCTCAAGTCAAGTGAACTGGAGGTGAGACTCCTTGCCTGTGCCTGAATGTCCCAAAACACCTTAAACAAACACCATCAATGCCAGCACAAGCCCCTAAACCCACAAAGCCCGCTGCGCTCAGCAGTCCCGCTTGGTCGCCACCATCAGCATGGTGTCCTCTAAGGCAACACCGAGCCTGGCAGAGGTCAGCATTCAATCCCCAAGCCCCAAACCCCATGGCAGGGTGGGCGCTTAGGGGTTTCGGGCCAATGCCACAGCAAACATGCTGAAGAATCCTCTAAAGTCGCCTCCCCCCCCCCCCAATCAGTGTTTAGGGTTTAAGGTCCACCCCCAAACTTTCCAGGGTGAGTTTAGGGGTTTGGGGACCTCAGGGCGCTGAACGTTCGTAGCAGCCTTGGCATCTTCTGTGGCTCTTCGGGTCAGGGCTTTGGGGGCATTTTCGCTTTCTTGACAATGTCATGTCATGAACCCTTAGAACATCCTGCCCTGAACCCCAAGCACCCCCGAACCCTACACCCTCGACCCTGTACACGCTGTGTATATACATATATATATATATACATATATATATATATATCGATTTCTTCGTATGTTTTTTTATTTTATATGTACTAGTGCTACCGCCTATAAACCCAACCCCCTGCCTCACCGCCTTCATGGAGCAGACTTCCGGCGTCAACAGCGTGAGGGAACCGAGGTTCACCACCACCTCCCCCCCCCCCCTCCCCCCCGTGGATTTCGTTTAGGGTTTAGGGAGTTTAGGGCTTAGTGTGTTTAGGGTCTAGGGTTTCGGGCTTAGGGGCCTTCGGGGCTTACAAGCAATAGTCAAGCCATCTAAGGTCGGCAAGTCAGGAATCTAAAGCATCTTGAAGAGTGCTTTGGGAGGATCTAGGACTCTGGGAAGCTGCCACGTGTCCCCGACCTTGCCGATGTCCCGCACGGGCAGGTGGATCTTCGGAGAAGCCAGGCGGACATCGAAGTGCACCTGCCATCTTGCTTTGAAAAGATGCCATACGTGATAGTACTCACTGTATATACGGACGCGGCTTCAAGTCAGGCGGGCAAAGTCCGAGCCACGGCAGAAGGAGTCGCAAGCACGAGAAACAAGCGCACCTGGTCGGGAACCCGGTCATAGGCGGCGTCCGCATACCTCAGCACTTGGGAAGCCCACGGTGCAAGCACATACCAGCGACTATTCTGCACGATCCCCTGGTGGCCCTACGGCACACACCCGGAAGGCTCAAACTCAACCCGGCCCATTCAGACTCCAAGCAGCTGCCCGACGTCGCCCTCTTTGCCCAAGAGCTGCTGCACTGCTCCCTGCATCTTTGGGGAGGCCTGGCTTCTCGGTCGGCACCGGACGAGAAAAAGGGGGGGGGGGGGGGGGTTGCTCCTTTCTTCCTTGCACGGCGGCGCTATCCGCTATCTGCTATCCCATCTCTTCCGAGCCCGAGTCAAACGAAGAAGCCGTGCCCAGTTGCCTCCTGGCCGAGAATGCTTTTTGGGGAGCCGACGCCCGACATCGGCGTCTTCCTGGCGAAGTTGGCCGTTCGACGGCATGGTTGCCACAGGGTCGGACTAAAGCGAGTTGCCATGAGTCACTGAGAGCTGCCCGCGCTACTGGCAACCGCAAACCCCACGTGACCTCAAGACCTAAGAGGCCTCCCCTTCCCCAAATTGAACGTCCACGCCACGGTGTCTTTGCCACTTTCGGCGACGGCTCTGCAGCTGCTGCCGCAGGGGGCGGTGCCACGAAATCCAGAAGCTTGGGCACCATGCCTGGTGCGGGCATTCATGGCTTCGCACTGGATGTTGCGAGCTTAGTTTGTTTTTTGGGGAGGGGGGATACCAAAAAAAGACAAGGCCGCGGGGCTCATCGTTGTGTCCTGGAACCTTTAGCGATTTAGGGAAGCATGAGCCTTGAACCCTGCCTAACTCAGATCCCTTTAAGCAATTCCTACATCGAACCCCCTCGACTATCGTACTCTTACGGTGCCAATCCGTGCCAGCCGACTGGGGATGAAGAACACCTCCAGGGGCGCCGTGTGAAATAGGACGGACCTGGGTTGGGACACTGCGACTGCGCGTAGTAGATGATCCCAACGGGAAAGCTCCGGAGCAATAGAGGGCGGAGCTGAAGGGAAATAGCAGGGATGGCAGCATTGAGGTACCTTCAGTGGGTGTGGGGGAACAATACAATAGCGAGGCAAGAGGTGGGGCAAGTTGTATGCAAGCTTTGAGATGACTTGGGTGAACCTTCGCTTGCTCGGTTCTCCGTCCCAGATCCTCCCCTGCGGCCAGGTGGCAGTACGTTGCAGGTCTCCTCAAGCTTGTTCCTTAGGCACGGGCGATGGAAGCGACAAGGAGGACATACACACGCTGCCCTGCCTCCCAACAGCCCAGCCACAAGTGTTCTCAAAGACTATTCGCCAGCTTCCTCCAAACTTTCCGCAGAGCAAGAGAAGCCTCTGCACGACTTCAGTGCTGCACCAAGCAGCTCTCTGACACCCCGTGAACCCTGAGCTCAAATTTCTGCCGCCCCCGCGGCTCCAGAGCAAACTTGGCTGCGCCAGCACCCTCGGCTCCGGCATCCAGGATCCTCGGCCCGTTGGGCTTGGGGTTTGGGGTCCGGGTTTGGGGTTTAGGGAAGGAGCTGATGGCGTAGGGGGGTTTATGGCTTAAGGGGTGAGTCAGGGGTTGAAGTGTTGAAGGCTTGCATTCCGGTAGCTCAGATTAAATACAACAGAAGATGCTGGGCTTTCTGGGAGTGGGGATTTGGGGCAGGGGGGTTCCGAATGTTGCCTTGCCCTGTAGCCTCACAGTTCCGGCTGCTAGCTTCGAATTGTCAGACTTCAAGCATGCGAAGTCGTCTCTCATTTCCAGAGCAACTGAGCCACCGCCCTCAGCCAGAGCCTGTTCACTGATGGTACCTAGTGCTCGAGTTCGGCTTCTTCTACTGAACCCTATGACAGCAGACGCCATCAGTCTTTCATTGTACCCCTTCTTGCTCTGAGATGTATCCGCGAGCCCCCAAGGTTGCGGATTGCGGACCCCAGCGGCTTAATCACATCCTGGTTCAAGTGCGTGGCCTCCACACCACCAAGGCGACCTTAGGGATGGATGCCAAGTGCTTCGAAGCCCTAAGCCCTATATACACACACACACACACACACACATCATAGATACATGTGTGAACACATATAATATATATATATATAGATATAGATATAGATATAGATATAGATATAATTATATATATATATAAGTATATACAGTTATATATATATATATACAAACCCTAGCAAAAGAGGCGCCCCGCCTGCCACCTTCAGGTTGGCCGAGGACTTGCCGCGGTAGTCGAGGCCCGTGGCCACGGTCGCAGTCAGCGCCGTGCTGTGGACGAAGAGCCGCAGCAACTGAGGAAGTTTTGGGCTTAGGGTTTAGGGTTTAGGGTCTAGGGATTAGGGTTTAGGGCTGTAGGGTCTAGGGTTTAGGGTCTGGGGTGTAGGGTCTAGTGTTTAGGGTTGTGGGACTCGTCTGCGGGCTTTGTCTGCAAGTCAGCCAAGGATCCTAAACCTAAACCCTAAACTTCTTATCCTAAACCCTAAACCCTAAACCCCAAGCCCTAAACCCCAAGCCCAAAACCCTAAACAACAGTTCAGGATTGTTACCCCCAGCCTCGGTCCTCCCCAATAAACTTCTTATGACAAGAGCCCAATGCCCCTTCATTTGGGAATATACTTTACATGATACATAGGGATTGGGATGGCCTTCTTCTAACAGCCCTTCTTAGGGCCTAAGGCTTATAACAGGGGGTTACGATAATCCCTATTAAGGACTGTTAGTAGAAGGGGGAACATCCCAACAGAAAGATGCTAATATGGGGGTTTTCCGAAAATAGGGGTACCCATTCTTGGGGGTCCCGCTATTCTATTTGCGGTACAAAAGGGGGGGCCTTGAAAAGGGGACCCCTTATGCACCCCTTATATACCCTGTACAACCCAAGGGCCCATACATCAGAACCCTTTAAGGGCGCAAAGGACCATATTAAGGGCCCATGAAACTACCCTTACACCTAAACCCCCCAAACCCTAAACCCTAATCCACCCTCAACCCTATAACCCCTACCCCCTAATCCACCCTCAACCCTCAACCCAAAACCCTCAACCCTCAACCCTCAACCAAACCCTCAACCCAAAACCCTAAACCCAAAACCCTAACCCCTAACCCACCCTCAACCCTCAACCCTCAACCCTCAGCCCTAAACCCTCAACCCTCAACCCTCAACCCTAAACCCTCAACCCTCAACCCTCAGCCCCCCTTCAGAGGCCTCCGCATCCTCCTGGTCCTCCTTAGAGTCGTCGACAAGGCGCACGGCCAAGTCCCCAAAATGAACCTGCACAGGGCTTAGGGTTGTTTAGGGTTTAGGGTTTAGGGTTTAGGGTTTAGGGTTTAGGGTTTAGGGTTTAGGGTTTAGGGTTTGGGGTTTAGGGTTCAGGTTTAGGGTTTAGGGTTTAATTAGGATCTAGGGTTTGGGGTTTAGGGTGCGAAGACAGCTCCATTCCTATAAACCCTAAACTCTAAACCCCAAACCCTAAACCCCTCTTGGACCCTCCCCGACCTCTGCGAGGATGTTCTGTGGGGCCTCCACGGATTCGAACTCCGTGGCGTCTTGGAGATCCTGTTAAGAGAAAGAAGAAGGCTTCTAGGGCCTTAAGGGTTTGGGGTTGGGATTTTAGTACCCCCTATAATGATCCCTACTAAGGATTGTTAGTAGAAGGGGTAACATCCCAAGTTTGGGGTTTGGTTGCGGGTTTGAGGGGTAGTCCAGGGCATAAAATGGGGGTCAGGGTTCCTCAACGCCCACACGGACGCCGGGCGCCGCGGCGCAGCACATCTGCCCGAAGAAGATGCTCAAAAAGCCTGAGTCCAGGGTCGGGGCTGTAGGGTTTAGAGGGCTTGGAGGGTTTTGAGGGTTTACAGGGGTTACGAGTAGAGGGTTTAGAGGGTGTAGGGAACGTCGAGCAAGTCTCTGATGCCGCCCCCCCTCATATCTCACGCCCGAGGGCATGTCATGCTCGAGACGCAGCCCTCAAAACCCAATCGCCCAACCAGAAGCAACACTCAATCCTAAGCTCTAGCCCCCTAACCCCCTAAAACCCTTAAACCCCTAAACTCCTAAACTCCTAGGCCCTAAACCGCCTCCAACCTTTTCCACCCCCCTCCCCCAAAGACCCACCCCCAGGGTGCCTGGCTCCCGTCGCTGCCTCCGCTTCTCCGCCAGCTCCGCTGCGGCCAGCCGCTGGGCCGCCAGGGGCTCCACCGGGAGGGCATCCTGGGAGGGACGTCGGCTCTGGTGTTGGCATGTTTCCAGCCCCTTGGTGCTGGCAGCTCAAGGGTTTAGGGTTTAGGTTTTTTAGGGTTTAGGGTTTAGGGTTTAGGGTTTAGGGTTTTGGGTTTAGGGTTTAGGGTTTAGGGTTTAGGGTTTAGGGTCTAGGAGGATCTTCCCCCCTTGTGCCGGCAGCTCCTTAATGAGATTTTCATAGGGGGCGCGATAATCCCTCCGTAAGCCCTGAGTAAGCCATGATCCCAACTTGCCCCCTAAACCCTAAACCCCAAACCCCAAACCCTAAACCCTAAACCCTAAACCCTAAACCCTAAGCTGCTGCCGTGGCACTTCGAGGAGTCGCAGCCGCCTTCGTCGCTTACACTCAGGCAGTCAGACTCGCATGCTTCAGGGTTTCGAGGTTTCGGGGCCTTTCGGGGGGCAGCTGCTTTAGGGTTTAGGGTTTAGGGTTTAGGGTTTAGGGTTTAGGGTTTAGGGTTTAGGGTTTAGGGTTTAGGGTTTAGGGTTTAGGGTTTAGGGTTTAGGGTTTAGGGTTTAGGGCTAGGGTTTAGCGTTCAGGGTTTCAGGGGCCTTGAGGGCTTCAGGGCTTTAGGGGTTAGGGTTCAGGGTTTCAAGGTTTCAGGCGATTGTGGGTTTTAGGGTCTGGGGGGGTTCGGATTTCAAGTTCCAGGGTTGAGGCCTCAAATGGTTTATGGATTGAGGGGTTCAAGCTTTAGGGCACAGGGTAGTTGAAGGGTTTGAGGGTTTCAGGGGTTAGCGTTTATAGGCTCAAGAGTGCAACGCTTCCCTTGCTGCAATCGTCACAGCCGCAAGATTGGCTGGCACGAGGGAGCTCCACTCCCCCCCTAAAATGTGAGGCCCTCATCTTGGCATCAGGGTGCGGGCCCCTACTAGAGACCCTGAAACCCCACTCCCTCCGTTACCCTGAACCGCAAACCCTAAACCCTAAGCTCCGTAAACTCTGCACTTTGGGACTTGGGCCAAAGCCTGGTGACCAATGGCAATGCAGTGCGTCAACCTCTACACCCGCATCCCAAACCTTACCAGCTTTAAGACCTTAAACATTTTAGGGTTTAGGGTTTAGGGCCCTGAGCCCTAAGACGTAAACCCCAAACCTTAAGCCCGTGCCAACATGAGAGTTCAGGTCACCGCAAGTCGGATCGGCCTAAGCTCATCCTCATCCAGCGCCGGCTCGTCCGCGAGAGCGATCCTTCGTCGCCCCAGTGAATGCAGGGTTTAGGGTTGAGGATTTAGGGGGCCCATTCAATCTGGGCATCTGCCAAAGGTAGAGGACCCCCCCTCCATATGCACCCCAAAAGACGAGAGTCCTTACGAAGATAACCCCCTGAACCCTAAACACCAAACCCTAAAACCTTGCACGCCCTAAAACCATAGGACATCTTCGAGTACAGGTGTTGCAACCCCAAACCCCAAACCCGATGACCCTCAACTTGTACAAGCCCTAAACCCTAAACCGTATAAACATGTATAAACCCTACACCGCCACAACAGGGTTTGGGGTTTAGGGTTGAGGGTTTGGGGCCCTACACCCTAAAACCCTATAAACCCTACACCCCTATAAACCCTACGCCCTAAAATAGGGTTTAGGGTTTGGGGTTTGGGGTTTAGGGCCCCCTAATTAGTAGGGAAGCCCTGTCTGGATCACCCTCTGGTCATGCCAAGGGGGCCCCTGCTCGTGCAGCAGCCGCCGGAGGAAAAGCTGGCCATACTCGACTTTCAGGGCCTCCGGGGTTGAGGGGGTTTAGGGCTTAGGGTTTAGGGTTTAGGGTTTATGGGTTTAGGGTTTAGGGTTTAGGGTCTAAGGACCCACTGGGAGGTAGTTCTTGCATCGACGTGCAGCCTCTTCCATGAGCCCGGCGGCTTCTCCTTGGCTTCCGGGTTCACTGGGATCCTACTCAGGCTTGCTGTCAAGGAGCTTCAAAAGTCAGAAGCCAATGACGCGGACAGATGATATAGAGTAAATCGCATGACATGACTTCCTTCTATGAATACATGGGAAATGATATGTTTTGCTCATGATGGTGACATTATTGAAGCTTCTTGAGGACCGACTCGGTAAGGCCCCAAACCTCTGAGGGATTGCAATGACGTGTTGGGGGCAGTTCATCGTCACATCGAGTGCGAGGGTAGAGTGGACAAGCTGCGAAGGATACGACGCCGAACCGACCCGCAAGCTCTTCAAGCCAAACTCTCGGTCCCAAACCCCAAAAACCTAAAACGTCCTGAGTCCTGACGATATCGGACGCCACCTATGTCCTAAACGCGGAGCTCTGAGCCCTACAACCCTACAATCCTACAAATCCTAAGCGTGTCAGGCGGAGGATCCGAGCTCGGCCGGGATTAGCAGGGCCTTGAGCCGCGCGTCCTGCACAGGGCTCCCGGGATCAGCCGTCCAAGGCTCCCGCCAAAGGCAAACTTAGGGTTTCGGGTTCAGGGTTCAGGGTTCAGGGTTTAGGGTTTAGGGTTTAGGGTTTCCAAGGGTTTAGGGACGTTAGACTTGAAAATCGTAGAGGGAAGTTCCGCACTTCAGGGTTCCTGAAAATCGAAAAGAGCGTCGAAAGGCTAGGTGTTTAGGGACAAGCAGCTTCGACTCTAAACCCCTAACCCGAAAACCCACCTAGCTGCGGGAGAGACTTCCCCAGAACAGCTTGCGGGAACGGCCAAACAGGGCCCGGAACCGGATGGGCTTAGTCTGTAGGTTACCTGCTACACTAGCCGATACAGAATAACCTACTAACCTATCCCTAAACCGTAGAAAAAGGGGGGTTTGGGCTTGTTGGGGTCTTGGCCTCTGCAGCCAGGGCTTCTCCCGCTTGCATCAGCTGCTTTACCTGCAGAAGGCAACATATGCCTGGTAGCCCAGGAAGAATATTTCTTTAAAGGCACCCTTTTTGGGGTTGGTTGCTTCTTAAGGGAACCGAGAACAAAAAGAAAAAACCTTAAAGGGCACCACTGGGCTCCCCAGTATGGGAGCTTCCGGAAAAGGGCTCGGGCACCCTTTTTGTTGGGGGTTCCTTTTTAATAAGGACCAGAGTACTAGGGGTACCCCTAGGTGTTTCTCTTGGGGAAATACCCATATCACTTTGTTGGGGGGTCTTTGTGAAACCCATTAAGGGCTCAAAGGATTGTGGGGCGGTTTTGGGGTTTCGGGTTGAGGGGAAGACTGAGAACACAGGCAAAGGCAAACGGGGTCAGGGTTCCTTTTGGGGGGCATCCTGCATCTTCCCTTACGAAAGGTGGCGACACGGCGCACCCCAACTTGGAACATTTTCTCCCCTTGCCGCCCTGAACTCTAAACCCTCACCTTTGGGGTTTGGGGTCTAGGGTCTAGGGTTTAGGGGTTAGGGTTTAGGGTGTAGGGTTTAGGGTTTAGGGTTTAGGATTTAGGGTTTAGGGTTTAGGGTTTAGGGTTTAGGGTTTAGGGTTTGGGGTTTAGGGTTTAGGGCTCTGAACTCTGGCACCTGCGATCGAAGGAGCTGAACCTGCCAGCAGGAGCAGAGAGGCAAGGCTCCAGGGTCGAAGGGTCTAAAGGTCTAAAGGTTCAAAGGCTTCGGGCCCTAAACAGTAGCCCTCTAAGCTAAACCCTTTCGGGGCTGAGTAGCAGACATAGTAGGCACCCTAAAACCCAAGCTAAAACCACATAAACAACCCCGAATGAAAGCCCGAATTAAAACCTAACACCCTAGCTATCACCCTACTTAACTAATTAACACCCCCAAAAACCCTCTAAACTCTAAGACCCGACAACCCTAGAAACCCCAAAGAAAGACCCCCCCCCCCCCCCTAAACCCTAAACCCTAAACCCTAAGCCCCCCCAACCCTAAACCCTAAACCCCCCCCCCCACCTCGCTGGGCTTCGAGGGCAGGCCGAGGTCGAGCTCCAGGCAGATGCGCTGCTCCCGGGGGAGGTGCGCCAAATTCAGGCTGGCACCCGTCGGGCTCCTGGGGGGCCCCCGCAACCCTGCTTAAGGCCCTTTGGGGTTTAGGGTTTAGGGTTTAGGGTTTAGGGTTTAGGGTCTGAGGTTTAGGTTTAGGGTTTCATGGTCTTGGGTTTCGGGGACGTCATTATAGGAGGTCCGACGGAGACCAGAACTCCAGGTATGCCTTTCAACCAACTTCCAAACCACTCATTTAGTTTACCGCAGAGGACGTGTCAGATATTGTGCCACATAAAACCCTGCACACTGGACCCGAAACCCAGGACCCTACACCGTGTACACCCCTAAAACCTGCGTCATATACCCTAAACCCTAAAAAGCCAAAACCCTAGCGCTGGGTCCCCGGGCAGGACATAAGTCGCTGTCTTTGTTTCCCCCGGCTGGTAAAGCTGCACGGCGAAGCCCTCGATCCTGTGTGTAAAGGTAGGGTTCAGGGTTCAGGGTTTTTGGTGCAGGGATAAGGTCGTTTGGCATTCAGGGGGGGGGGTTCTCAGGCTTAAGGTGTGTAGGGTATGGAGCTTCAGATTCCAGACTAGGGGGCCTCTAGTCGGCTAGGTGGGCGCCGTTGAACCCCAAAGTATTCCCTAAATCTGATCCTCTTGAACCCAAAAAAGGGAACACGCATAATATCCCAAGGGCCTGCAGTCGCTTTTGGAAGGTTCGCAGGGAATGCTGCGAAGACGGGATGGCTCTCTCACCAGTGAATCCGGCAAGCTGCTAAATACAGAAACCCAAAACACGCACGATTAATTTCCACTCTTGGCAATACCTATACTTGTACTTGTACTTGTGGTTTCTAAAAGCAAACCAGGTGCATACCCAACTAATCGGCCAATGCGTTCCGATAACTCAGGCCCCTTCTTGGCAGGATCCCCCGCCTCACGACCTTGTACATGGAATCGTCAGCCTGAGACGCTCTTCCCGTAGCAAGGAGTTTAGGCCTTAAGGTTCAGGGGTTTAAGTCTAGGGCTTAGGGATGCTTAGGGTTTAAGGGGGGGGTTGGTTGCTATCTGGCCACCCAAGATCTCGTATCTCGGCACCTCACCGGGCCTGCAAGGTCCTGGTCCTGGTACCCAAATCTGCCACCAACAGCAACTAGCCATACCTTAAGACCCAAAAAGCCCCAAAACATCCTAAAGAAGAGCCCTACGAAACCACCTCCCCTGACTGGTCCAGGGGGCGATGTTGACCGTCTCACCCTTGATGGGCTCCTGTGCACTCTGAGACATCTCAGTTCTTCATCGGGAATGAGAGAAGTAGGACATTTTGAGGGATTTACTCTCATTTTCCCAAGCAACCTCAAACTCCAAAGCCCCCAAATTGTAACCTTAGGGCATAGGGGTTCAGGGTTCAGGGTTCAGGGTTCAGGGTTTAGGGTTTAGGGTTTAGGGTTTAGGGTTTAGGGGGCTGAGGGGTTTAGGGCAAAGGGCCTTGAAGGACTCATCTGTCGAGAGCACGGCCAGGCGCGGCAGCTCCTGCAATTCCGCTCAGAGGGAGTCTGGGCCAAATCCAAGATTCCGATAGCGCTGCGAGGGCCAGTTTAGGTGTGGGGTTTAGGGTTTAGGGTTTAGGGTTTAGGGTTTAGGGTTTAGGGTTTAGGGTTTAGGGTTTAGGGTTTAGGGTTTAAAGTTTAGGGTTTAGGGTTTAGGGTTTAGGGTTTAGGGTTTAGGGTTTAGGGTGAAGGGTTTAGGGTTTAGGGTTTAGGGTTTAGGGTTTAGAGTTCAGGGTTCAGGGTTCAGGGTTCAGGGTTCAGGGTTGGGCTTCGGGGTCCCTAAACCCTGAAACCCGAAAACCCTAAAACCCCAAAACCCTGAAACCCTAAAGCCCGCACCCCATCTCCCCACCCCGCTCCAGCTTCGCGCCGATGCCCAAAGCCTTGCTGCTAAAGCCGAAGGATACCTCGGAGCGACTCGGAGGGCGAAATGCGGTTTAGGGTTTAGGGTTTAGGGTTCAGGGTTCAGGGTTCAGGGTTCAGGGTTCAGGGTTTAGGGTTTAAGGTTTAGGGGTACCCCCCTTTCCTACCCCAAATAGAAGAGAATCCCCGCACAAAGGGACCCCCAAAAAGGGTACCCCTATTTTCTGAAACCACCAAATGAAGTTTTAGGGCCTTTTTGGGGCCCTTCGGGACTTAAGGTTTTTTTTTGGAGGGGCCAGGGGGCTTGTAGGATGCTTTATATAATGGGAACCGCAGCCCTAAACACTCTCCAACACCCCACCCAGCAGATCGAAGTTGGGATCGACTGCTTCATGCGGCCGGGCTTCGTCTTCGATTTTCACGGTCAGGTTGTTGATGAACCTCCAGCGGTCATTTGTTGGGGTGTTGCTGCAACTCCGGTTCCTTGCTTAGGGCTTCTAGTGGGAGTTGAGGTGCATCGGGTCCAGGGTCCCACCTGAGGCTTCGGGGCAACCCATGCCGCACTCAAGCCCACGGCGGAATAAACACATGCCAGCTGCAATGATGGAGTGCTGCTGTGCGCTTTTGGCCGGTCAAGTTGGAGGCCTCTGCGCTTCCCTGTTTTGCTGCTTCGCAGCTCTGGAGCAGCGCAGTAGAGCTCAATGAAATATGCAAGAGCACGACGGTTTCGACAAGATGCGGCCCTCAATCCAACGCCCCAAGACTCCCCAAACCCTAAACCCGAAACCCTAAACCCTAAACCATAAACCCTAAACCCTAAACCCTAAACCTCATCCGCGTGCGGGGCCTCCGCGCGAACTTCATCGCGAAGCCTTCGTCGGCGGAGGCGAGGTCCTCCGCGGCCTGAGGTGCTGCCCCCTGTGCTTTTAGGGTTTGGGGTTCAGGGTTCAGGGTTTAGGGTTTCGGGTTTGGGGGTTCAGGGTTTAGGGTTTAGGGGTTTAGGGTTGGAGGCTGAGGATGGCGGAAGATCGGTTCTGCGGGCTTTGGGTCGCAAGAGATTTTCTTAGGTCCCTCGTTCCCTCGTCAGACACCGAAGAGCTGAAAAGGGAGGCGAGTGTTTGTGCGTTCGTTCTCACCTTTCCGGCAACCTGGCTTAGGCTCTGGTGCTTGTAAGTGGGGCTAGAAGGCACCCCAAGCAAGGTTATAACCCGTGTAACTATAGCTACCCTACTTTTAACCCTACTACTTATAAGTAACCTACGGCACCCTAAACGAGGTTACGGCCAGTTGCAACTAGAGTTCCCCTACTTGTGAGCCTACTACCAACAAGTAACCAGATGAGGGTTTCCGAAAATTGGGGGTACCTGATTCGGTCATCTTTGGGGGGGGAACTACAATGTGGGGGTCTTTATTTGGGGGTCGTAAACTCCCAAATGAACCTCTCAAGGCTCCCTCCAAGACCAAGCCCCGAAGCCCCGCGACGCCTTCCGCCTCTGCTCGAGGAGGTTCTTCACCTGCCAAGGGTCTTAGGGTCTTAGTCTTAGGGTCTTAGGGTCTTCAAATCTTGGGGTCTTCGGGTCTTTGAGGTTTTGGGGGTGAGGGTCGTTGGGGTTAGGTTTGGGCGGCTGGAGATTTAGGGGGTTTGGAGGGAGTCCAAAAGGTCGGGGACTGGCAACAAGCGAAACTAGCATTTGGATGCATTTGGCTGTCAGTTCAAGGGTCAGAGGGAAATGGTCTCGAATCCACAGGAATGGCCCAAGCTTGAAGAAAATCCTTCACGACTGGCCTGGTCCATTCGAAGCTCTATGGCCTGCTGCTTCACCTGCCCAAGCGGGCATGGGGTTGTGGTACTTAGCTAGGGGTAAGGGAATGTTGAGCTCAATCCATGACATGCATGTGTATACATACATGTTTATCCCAGCGTATCCTAGTATATTCTGTTTGTGTTTTTGTAATTGTAACAGTTCATTTTGCATGCATTCGTTATGCATCATGTACCCCACTCCCATGTCTGTCCCCATATCCACGTTCCCGGCGTCAAGGACACCCCCTTCTTATCCCACTTCTGCTCTCTGCCACATAAAACGACCTAGACAAGCTGAAGCCTACATTCTTTCTTGCCTGCTAAACCCAAGGCCTATACCCTAAACCCGAAAATCCCAAACCCTAACCTAAACCTAAGCCAGGTCCCAGGACTCCCCAAACTCCCACTAGTGTTGCCACAGTTCATGATTTCCAGAAATAGTTACACCCCCTTTTCTTTTAGGGGCGGGGCTCCTTTTTTAAGGGGACCCGATCCTATTCGGGGTACAAAAGGTAGTATCACCTTTGGGGAGATGCCCAGATGCCTGTCAACCCGACGCTCAGAACCGTCGCGGCATCTACAAACCCTGCCCTGGGGCGTTTTCGGCCTCAAAGCGCCGGAAGAAGGACATGAATTGAACCAGACCCTAAGACCAGAATCCAGGGTGAGGGTTAGGGGTTAGGGCTTAGGGTTTAGAGCTTAGGGCTTAGGGCTTAGGGCTTAGGGCTTAGGGCTCCCCCCGACCCACCGCAGCCGAAGTCTCCACCCCGCATCTCACCTCGCGCATGGACTTGATGAGCTCCTCCTTGGTGCGGCCATCCGCGATCTGGTCCACCTCGACTGCAGTACTTTGGGCTTCACTTACTTCAAGTAGGGTTTAGGGTTTAGGGTTTAGGGCTTAGGGCTTAGGGTTTAGGGTTTAGGGTTTAGGGATTAGGGTTTAGGGTTTAGGGTTTTGGGTTTAGGGTTTAGGCTTAGGGTTTAGGGTTTAGGGTTTAGGGTTTAGGGTTTAGGGCTTAGGGCTTAGGGTTTAGGGTTTAGGTACGACATATATCCCCAAAATGTTACCCTTCAAGGGATTATACCGGGCACAAAATTCTCCCTCATTCCCGACTATGAACCAGTAGCGGTTGAAAGCGTTCTTTGGCAGCTCTCATATTGGGGGCCCTTTTGGGCTCCGCGTTACATCCCCCCAGCTTGCTCTTTAAAGGGACTCTTCAGGGTACCCCCTCATTCCCGACTAAGAACCAGTAAGCTTAGGGCTGAATCTCTGTTTCTCATCCTGCGGAAAGGACCTTAACGTATTTGGCATTAACTCCTTGCCTAGGCAGGCATTCGGAACTTGGCTGGAAATTTCATAAACCCTACCTAAACCCTAAACCCTAGCCCTGAACCCTAAACATCACAACCTGCACTCAAAATCTTGCTGCCGCCTCAATGTGGACGCCGCGGACCTGTCGAGGCTGTGTGCTTCGCTGCTGCTGCGCGCGTTTCGTCATAAATACAAGCGGTGTTTACCCACTCTGTCCATGGGCCTTGCTGGCCTTTGGAATCTTGTCCAATGGCGGAGGGCCGAACTACCGAATTTGGCCGGCTTCAAATTTAAATACATGCGGTTTAGGGTTTAGGGTCTAGGGGACAGTCCATTGTTGAGGGTGCTCCCAACAGGGTCCAAGGTTCTCCCCAACAAGCCCGCAGTGTCTTCGGGTGTTTGGAGTTCACTCTCTCGGAGCAGCGGACTGGTTTGACCGTTGCTCTCATGAGGACCCAAGAGCCCTCCATCCTAACCCCGGTTGGGCATCAGCTCTATGTGACACTGGGCCTTCGGGAAACCTTGAAAACTGCACACATTAACCCCTAAACCTAAACCCTAAACCCCTGAACCCTTTAAGCTTATGGGATCTGGAGCAACTCCAAGGTGCAGGGACGGTGTAACTACCATTAGAAACTAAGGTGCACCTACGGCCTTTATGCAGGGGTACCGGGGATCCTGGCATGGGGCTAATTACACATAAGGATTCGGGGATTCTGCTTACGGAGGGCTCCCTGAAACCCCAAAACCCCAGAACCCTGCAACCTTATAAGTTTTGCCACGCCTCGCCTCTAGGGCAATCTTGCCAGACGCCAGGCTGGACCACGGAATCTGTAGCCTACGACACAGGGGGCCTAGGGTTTAGGGTTCAGGGTTCTGGGTTTCGGGTTGGGGTCCGTACTTCTCTTAGTAGGGCATGATGGAATTTGGTTCCTCATGATACCCCTAGACCCTCTAAGGGATTGACACGGGTACCTCATTCCCTCATTCGTCATTCCCTTCCAGGGGCCAGGAAGCATGATTGAGCAGGGCTTCGAAATAGGGCTTCAAAGCCAGCAGAGCAATTTTAGCGTTTCTTCGGCTTCTGCCCCTGTCGAAGGGTGTAGGGCTTGGGGTTCAAAGCTGGAGGAGGATGGGGCAGAGGAACGGTATTCCAGAACAAGATCCCCTACTATCCAAACTCGCAGCCGCTCCGTTCCGGTCAAGTGCCCGTAACATGACTTAGAACCCCCTAAACCCTAAATCCAAAAAACCCTAAACCCTATGATTGACTATTCACCCTCCACCCTTCGCATCCGTCCGCACCTGATCAACTGGAGGTAGCCCCGCTGCACGCTGAACCCGGGCACGCCGAGAAGCGCAAGCACCTGAATGGGTCCCGAAAGGACTTCTTTTGCTCCCCCCTCCAACCCAAAACTCTACACCTTTAGGGCTTCGGGTTTATAGGGTGAAGGGCTTTGGGTTCCCTACTTGAGCGGGCTTCGTCGAACGTGCAGTGTCTTTTCAAAACGGGCGGCAGATCGGTGAGACACTCTTGAATCCTTGAAAAGCATCGCCAGCACAAGCCACAGCAGTGGGAACAGGGCTGTCCAAGCAGGGCATCCAAAGAGTCCACCGCAAGTCGTGAGGAGGCAAGCACCGCATGATGAGATCCAGATCATGGGGGTTGGTTCGGTCACACATATACTGCCGGACTTGAGAAGCCAAATCCCTGAGCACCTCCTCTGCCGACTGATTGGGTCCCATGTCAACGAAGATGACATCACTACGACTCTCATCATACAGCTTGTCGTACTTTTCGTTCAAGGAGAGCAGATATTCGCGATCAATGCTTGACTCGAAAATTCTCCCTTCTTCTTCAGCACGGGTCTTGATGCGCTTCAAGGCTTCATCAATTGACAGTCTGAAGGTACAAGGCAAGAGTAGGATGGCTCGTGGAATCTTATACGCAACTGGAAATCTCTTTGAAAGTATTCATACAAGTGATCAGACAAAACCCCTGCTCCCGCAAACCTTCGCAGAATACATTGGCTGCTCCAAGCCTCTCTCAATGAAGGTGTGTGCCTCTCGACATTCTGCAATGCTGGTATGGTGCTGCCAAATCATATTCCCCAAACGGTCACCAGCAGAGTGCTTTCCAAAGTCATCTTCAGAGCAAGTTTCAGGGTTCAACTCACCGTAGAGGTCGTCGGGACCGACCATGACTTGTCTGCATTCCGCTTGGCTTGGGGCGGGTCTTGGCCGGGGAAGGGCGCTTGGGCGCTTGGTGCTTGGCCCAGGCACGGCGGGGTGTTGGCCCGAAGGGCCATTGGCCCGAAGGGCCCTTTGGCCCGGGGGGCCCTTGGCCCGGGGAACCCTTGCCCCGGGGGGCCCTTGGCCATTCAGCGAGGGCCATCAGTGCGTTCACGAGAAATGCCTTCCCACATCCAGGCTTGCCAACATCCATCAGAAAAACCAAGGTCCGCCGATGTTTCGGCTCGTCAAAAGCATTCTGGGTGGGGTCAAGAGCCTCGGGTTCTGGGCGTTGGGTTCCTGTTTCAAGGTTTGAGTTCAAGGCATCCTCTTCAGTACGGTTTTTCAGGCTGTGGGGAACCTTTTGAAGCAACCATGTCGCCCCATCCAGCCACTTCTGACAAGCCCTGTAGATGCCAGATCTGAGCCAAATGAGCCGTGCCAGGAAGGTCTTGGAAAAAGGCCTGGCCGGAGAACGGCGCATCCGGGGACGTTGAGCATACTCCCGGAACAAGTTGTACAACAATCTGCGCTTGGTCTCATCGGACATACGGCGCAAAAGACGGAGGATCAACTCCGCGCACCGCAGCTCCTGGCTTCTGGTGAGTGTCGTCGACGGGAATTTGCTGCTGGGACGCGTAACTATCCACTCGCGCTTGAGCTTTGCAGGGCAGCTGCCCGGCTGCTGTTTTCCATGGGAAGCCTTTACCACTTCATTGGCAACCCACCGGACCATTTCCATCAGCTCGCGATCCTCAGAAGGCAGGAATTGTGCCAGCTTTTCTGTGAACAAGCCCGCGTCTTCGACTACTTTTCCACGTTCCGAAGCGGTGAAAATCAACAGGTCCCGATTGGCCAAAGAAGGGAGTGAAAATCTCATTAGCTTCATGACCCTATCCAGTCGTGTGTTCCCTCCCCGATTCACAGACATTGCAGATGTCACGGACCGAACTGCCTCCATGAGACTTCCACCGCGACTTCCTTCAACAGGAGGTGCCGGAGGTGTCTGACACATGTCGAGGGTGACGATGACAAGCTCGACGTCAGGGCGTACTTTTTCAAGGACGTCGCTAAGCTTGTATTTACGAGTCTCCCCATTGGAGTCTACAGGAATCAGAAAGACTTCGGAGTCTGTTGCCTCCCCGTGTCCAGAGAAGTGCAGCCACACACAGTCAGCCTCCTTCTTTAACCAATTGGCGACCGCCTCCTCCATGTCATTTCTGTTCAAATCGCAACGTTTCTGGACATCTCGGAAGCGCCCTTTGGACAGCTCAAGTGCAATAGCGTCTGCATCAGCTTTGCACCTCTTCAACTTCTCGTACACCAAGGTGTGCTCATACTCTTCATTTCCAATCACCAGCGCCCTTCCCGATTGGACAAACTTGCGCTCAGGCAACATTTAGCGGCAGTCCGAGCCTAAAGGGTTCTACGTGGCATACCTGTTCGTTGGAAAGCTAGATACCGCAGATCCACAATACATGGTGACTGTGCTTGTGCAGCTTCTCCATGACATGGTGTTCGGGGCCAAGAGCAAGCAGGCGTGCGCGCGTGTGAAAAGTCAGGTGGGGGGACGGGCCCATGGTGATTTTCTTGTGTATATATATATATATATACAAGTACACATGTACTAATTTGCTGCCGTCTTGCACTACGGCTACCAGCATACAGACCAAGTGTTCCGAGCATGTCAACACGAAAACGGGTCCTTTGTTTGCTAACTGACAACGGTTGCACATGCAATGACGCGGGAGTTCTACACGACCAGACCGAAGTGACTCCAACCACAACCTTGGGGTTCAGAGGTCAGCTTCGGGTGTCCGACCCGCCTCGGGCTTGACTTTGAGCTCACGAAGCTCGATGCAGCCGTTGTAGATGCCTTGCTTGGAACTCTGAATGCTAAGCCGAGGCTATATAACTAACCAGTATATCTGTGTATGTAGATGTATTCATGTTTATTTGTCGTTATTGTACACCTGTGCAGAATGGAAAACATAACTACCATAACTACAACATGCTTCTCAAAACTGCATAAACATACCCTTGTTCAGAGCTCGTTGGGGAATCGGAAGATCTGAGGGATTCTCGAAGACACCCTTTTAACCCTAAAGCACTTCAAATCACAAAATCGTGAGCCCTAGACCCTCCAAACTCTAAACCCCAAGCCCTAAAACTTCTAAAACCCTAAAACCCTAATACCCTAAAGCCCTAAGACCCTATAACTCTAAAGCCGTCTCCCGAACCCTCACGCGGCCTCTGTGCAGGGACCCGAGGTTGATACCCTCCAAGTAGGGGTTCAGGCACCTCTGCTTCGGCGGCAGCTGCTGTGCTGGGGTTTAGGGTTTAGGGTTTAGGGTTTTGGGTTTAGGGTTTAGGGTTTAGGGTTTAGGGTTGCTGGAGGGGGGCGGGAGGGAGGGTTTAGGGTTTAGGGCTCATAGGGTTCCGGGTTTAGGGCTAAGGGGAATTTAGGTTTTTGGTTTTGGGGGGTTGCTCTCAACTGTGTGTCGAGTGTGTCCTTCTCGTTGGGGGGGCGGGGGGCGGAAGGCCGCAACCCTAAACCCTGAATCCTAAACCCTAAACCCTCAACCCTAAACCCTAATCCGATTTTTTGCCGGGAAGCTGTAGAATCAGCTGCTCCAAGGCTTCCTGCCCGAACCGCCGATGGGATTGCGCACCCGAGTCGGGTTTGGGGGGGTTTTAGGGTTTGAGGAGTTTTTGGGTGTAGGAGTTAGGGTTGAGGGTTTGGGGTGTAGGGTTTAGGGTTTGAGGAATTATGCGTTCAAGCTTTAGGGTTTCGGGGCTTATAGGGCTCTGTAAGGTTTTGTTCACGGGGGTTGGAGGGGTTAGGGTTAGGTTAGGGGGCCCCCATTTTTTTCGGCGGCGGTTAGGGCACGAGGAAAGTGCCGACAGCAAGGCTGTATGAGTGCTTTTTTTTTTTCGGGTTTAGGGCGAAACTGCTTCCATGTACCTCGCAGTTCTTGGGCCTTCTACCAAGAGCTATTCGGAGGGCCTGGGCCAAACCCTAAACCCAAGAACCCTAAGCTCCGAACCCTCCCCCCTTTCTCGTGTTCCTTGCTTCAATTGTGCAACTGCTGGAGCCAGCCCTGAAAAGCACTTAAGTCCTTAGAACCTTCAACCCCTTCAACCCTTGCAAGATTAAGCTATCATATTGAAGCCCTTCAGCGCTACAGCTCAACACGAAAAGGCCGCAAAGAGCCGGCGTTTGCAGAAGCTTGTCAAGCAAGTTCCCCAAACCCTAAGCCCTAAACCCTAAAACCCTACAACCCTGAACCCTAAACCCTGACCCCAAACCCTAAACCCTAAACCCTAAACCCTCCTTGTCTTCTGGCCGGAGGGTTTGGGGTTCCTTCTGCGGGGCTCAGTTTTGGGTTCAGGGGGTTTAGGATGGGTTTAGGGTTTAGGGTTTAGGGTTCAGGGTTGAGGGTTCAGGGGTTCTAGGGCCATTTTTCGGGCTTCAGGGCAGCGGCTCCTGGAACATGGCAGGCTCTTGCTGCGCGTTGACCAGGATCCGTCGGACTAAATCTCTGCTAAGTTTCTGTTCGAGCCAGGTGCCAGAGGCGAGAAGGGGTGAAGCGGCGCCATCTTTGGCTCGGGGATCCCCCTCTAGTCAGGACCCAGCGACTGTTGGAAGGGTCCCCAAACCCTAAACCCTAAACCTTAAACCCGAAACCCTAAACCTAAAGGCAAGGCTTCTGGACCAAGATGTGTTTTGTTAGGGTCGTCACCTTCTTCTCTCCCCCAACCCTGCACCCCTGTGGAGCTCCCTCCCCTCTCGCTGTCCCATCTCTCACCTCCCTGTCAAACGGTCAAAAGTACTGTTCAGGGAGATGGGGTTACACGGTCCGCCTCTACGCCAGAATGAGGGAGCACACGGTTTTTGTCCAATAAACCTTACACCATGAACCCTAAACCCCAAACCCTAAACCCCAAGCCCCAAACCCCAAACCCCAACCCCAAACCCTAAACCCTAAACCCCCAACCCGAAAACCCCACCCTCCCCCCCTTTGCAGGGGCCCCCGGCGCGGCCGCGCGCCACTGCGGCGCGGAAGGCACCCAGGCCTTGGCTCAGGCGCCGGCGCGCGGCCCAGCGGCGGAGGGGAACCTGAAGGGCGACGTCTTTAGGTTTTTTTGGGGGTTGTTTTTGGGGTTTTCTTGGGGTTTAGGGATTAGATCTGGGCTTTGGGGTTCGTAGGGGTTTTTGGGATTTGGGTGTTTTTTTATATGGGTTTGGGGTTTACGGCAGGATTTGTTAGGCTTTCTTTGGGCCTCCACGGGTCGCGGGTGTTGGGCTTAGCGGGCAGGCTGGAAGGGCGTTGTTGGAGTCTTTGGGGGTGCCGAGTTTGCCGTGTCTGGATATGTAGACAAAGGTTTAGGGGTTATTGTTTCGGGCTGGCTTAGAGTGCCGGCGCAGCACAGAGGTCTCGGAACCACGAACCCCAAGCCATACGTCGAGCGAAGGGTTCTTGTGCCCAACCTTCCGCGACCCTTCCGCCGAGCCTGAATAGTGGAATTCGGAATCAGTGCTACCCGCTAAGTATGAAGGGACAACCTCAGATTAACTCTGACCTGCTGGAGCCTTGTCATCTCCACTGTAGGAGCAAATACCGTTTTAACAGTTCACTAGAGGGCACTTCAGGGCAGCTTTGAACGGCTTTCGTTCCGAACACCTGCAGCTTTTTGAGGCGGTGCCGGCTGGCAGAGTTTGATGGTACGACGCGCTGGAGTGCATGGCTAAGCCATGCCGCCAGCGGCTTATTGCTAACTTCGCTAAAGGCCCAAAGTTGGGACTGCATGCAGCCAGCAAGAGGAAGCATGTTTGAGTATATCAAGGTTTCCGAAAACTTTTGGGGTACAGTAACTCAGTAGGGGGGGGGGGGGGCACCTATTTCGGGAAATACCGGCAGGGTTTAGCAGTCCCTACGGGGTTAGCAGTCCCTAGGTGCGGTGATGAGGTTTGGTTCAGGCTTTTCTGGGGTCTTCTTCAGGAACGCACATGAAGTCACCATAATCACCCAAACCCTAAAAATCCTACACCCTAAAATCCTAAACCCTACGGGGGGCATCGGAAGCACCCAAACTGGCTGCGCAGAAACCAAGGTCGGGCCTCCTACCGCCATCCTCGCCCCTGTTCTTGAGAGGGCTCCGAATGGCCGCGACATTACCCCAAGTTACCGACGTCCTACTCTGTGTATGTCAGCTACGGATTATTCTGAATGGCTTAAGAACCTATAGCCTTCGAAAAAGTCGCTGTTCAGCTAACCCCTACACCCTAAACTCCCTAAACTCCCTAAACTCCCTAAACCCCAAACTCTAAACCTCAAACTTAAACCCTACACTCTGCGCTCTGCACCCTGGCCCTAGTCGTAGTCTTCACCCAGCGGTGGGGCGTCATCAGCCACGGGCAAGACCACGACACCATTGGAGGGCTTGAACTCCGAGAGGCCTCCGACGGATCTTGGGAACGCTTAGGGGTTTAGGGTTTAGGGGTTTAGGGGTTTAGGGGTTTAGGGGTTTAGGGGTTTAGGGGTTTAGGGGTTTAGGGGTTTAGGGGTTTAGGGGTTTAGGGGTTTAGGGGTTTAGGGTTTAGGGTTTAGGGTTTAGGGTTTAGGGAAACATAGAGGCTTAAACATAAGGGTGTTTTCGGTACCCTTTTTGGGGGCCCTTCTTAAGGGGATTGTATTCTATTTTTTGTGGCATAAAAGGGGTACCCCTAGTTTGGGGAAATATTCATGATGCGGGACCGGATGCAGCAATACTCATTGAGAACTTAGCAGCAGCTGAACCCATCACAGAAAAAAAAAAAAAAAAAAAAAACGACCATAAACACTCACCAGCGAATGATGCAATGCAAATTCGGCCGTAGCAAGCCATGTTCACCACCATCATCGTCGAGGGCCTTGCTTGTCCTGCACCCGGAAGGTGAAAGGCTGCTCCATGTCCAGCCTTTGGTGAGCGATGCTCTTGGGGCTCTGGCCTTCGGGGCTACCGGGGGGGGGCGAAGCCTCGAAATGCCCGACTGAAACCCGGTAAGCCTCACGGAGTTTGTCGGGTAATTGTCCTATTAGCTGCGAAATTTCAAATCACGCCGTGTCGGCTCTGGCGATCTAAACCCTAAACCCTAAACCATCCCTAAACCCCAAACCCTCAACCCTAGACCCTCACCCTAGACCCGCAACCTGGAACCCTAAACCCTAAACCCCGAAACCCCAAAACCCTAAACCCTCCCAAAGAGGCCCAAAGGCAGGGTGTTGAGCTGGTCGATCTTCTCGCAGATCCGGGCCAGCTCCTCCTCGCTCACAGCGCCACCCATGCGGCGGTTCTTCTGTACCTTTGGGGGGTTTAGGGTTTAGGGTTTAGGGTTTAGGGTTTAGGGTTTAGGGTTTAGGGTTTCGGGGGTGGGCTGCTGGGGGACTTACCGGGGCCAAAGACTTTTCAATCAATCCGGAAACTCCAAAGAGCCCGGACGGCTTGCAGACAGACTTTCAACCGGGTTGGGGCTAAGCCCTAACCCCTAAGAAGTTCAGCCGGCTGTCATGATCACCCAGGTTGAAGACGGCCGATGCGATCCTCGGAAAGTCACGCGGCATGGCGAGTGGGATTCCCCGCACGCAATGTAAGGAGGGTCTACCTAGACCCATCGTTGTAGTGCCTCTTTGTTTGTTCTTCCTCTTTGAAACCTTCTTAAGGGTCTACTGTAAAAGTCGAGAATGTGCCATGTGTTTGGGAGGGCTTGCAGGTCTGAAACCCTATGCGGGGTGTGAGCGCTCCCGGTTCTAGGGTTGAGGGGTGAGGGGCCTCCCTGAGCCACAGCAACACCCTACTCGATCCGCCTAGAACAACCCTATCAAAAAAAAACATGAAGAAGACTACCAATCATGAACACTAATCGCATCCCTAAGATGCCATGATTACTCGTAAGCCTAATCATACCCCGAGCCCCAAAACTGCAGCCACGGCTCACGTTGTAAACCGTGTCAACACATCGCCGGCTCCTCGGCTGAAAAAGAAACTCGATCTCCGGGATCTCCACCTGCGGATGCTGGTTTCAAGGCATTTGGGTTTAGGGCTTAGGGCTTTTTAAACCCTATAAACCCAGAACCCTAAACGCAGCACCCTAAAGCCCTGTGCGTTACGGCCTTAGCCTTCTGCAGCGTGGCGAGATGCTCGGAAATGGCATAGGGGAGACAGCTGATCTAGGCTGGGTTTCTAGGGGCTGCTACAACCTTACGAAATAGGTGTCACCCTGCTGCTGCACCCCTACCTTGAAACCTCCAAAAAGGACCGGGCATCCTGAAGCCACACACACACCTTACTCTTCGTAGCCTTTCTATGAACACCAAGGTTTTACAAACCCTAAACGCTACTTTCCCCAAACCCTAAACCCTACTATAACCCTAAACCCTAAACCTTGGGTTTCTGCAGCTCAGGCCCATCGAGCCGTTGAACCCTGACTCAGCAGCGCGGCCTGTGCTCGCGGTCCCAGCAGCACAACCCGCCACAAGTCGTCGCGCTCCTCCAGGTGTCGCTATACTCCCTTAGAAACCATCAAAGAATATGCCAATGGTATATAAAACCCAAGTAAGGGCATAATTCCTACGGATGCTCTAGGTAGCGTAAGCTGCTGCGGTGCAGGGGCTTTCAGACCCCAAGGCCCGAAACCCTCAACCCTCCAATCCTCCGACCCCAAGCCCGGCTTGGGGTTCAGAGGTTGGGGTATAGGCTCACGGTTTGAAGGGTTCCCCTCTTAGGGCCTCGTATCATCCCTCTGAGAACACACCCCCCCCCCCCCCCCCCCCTTGCGCCCCTAAGAAGCTGAGGCGAGGGCAAACCCTAATCCCTGAAAACCTGCGCCCTGAAGCCTGCCCCTGGCCTAGAACGAAAAGCCCAAAGCCCGTCAATCCCAAGAACACCCAAAGAAACAAGCCTGAGTCTGAGCCGACGCCCAAAAAAACAAACCCTAAGCCCCCAAACCTATGGCTGACACCCTCAAAGCAGCCCCAAAAGCCCTGCGCGCCTAAGCCCTGCGCCCTGCACCGAAGCTGAAAAACTTCGAGGCCCCAAGGTCCCCAAGGTCCCCAAAACCGCTCAAAGAATCTAAAGAAACGTCAGCCCCAACACACCCCAAAGCCCTGAACCCTAAACCCCGAACCCTAAACCCCAAACCCTAAACCCCAAACCCTAAACCCTAAACCCTAAACCCTGAACCCCACAATGGCAGTCCGAGGCTGTGAAGGTGAGGGACTGGCCCATGCCCGGCCTCGGCTCGTGTTTTTGGAGGGTGGTTGGGAGGGGGGGATGGTTTTAGGGTTTAGGGTTTAGGGTTGAGGGTTTAGGGTTGAGGGTTGAGGGTTTAGGGTTTAGGGTTGAGGGTTGAGGGTTGAGGGGGGTGGGGGGGGGGGGTTGGGGGTTTTGGGGTTTAGAAGTTTACGGTTTTGGGGGTTTAGGCTTGAGGGGCTTGGGGGGACTTCGGGTCTCAGAAGTGTTGGGTCTGTATTCTGTTTGGGTTTAGGGGGTTGTCGGTGTACATTGTGGGGTTTAGGGCATTCATTCCCTTATACAGCCATAAAGCCCTCAAGCCTACCCTAAATCCTTACATCCTAAACTCTAAACGCGAATGCGCTTGAGGAGTCCGTCACAACCCCTCAGCCCCTTCACAAAGCCCCCAAAAGAGTTTTACTAGGCACCTCCCATCCAGGGCGCCCCTTGCTGAAACCTCCTGAGAGCCCAACCCTGCTTGAAGCCCCTGCTTTGCCACAGATCAGAGGACGGCTGAAGCCTCTGCTACCCCCTGGGGTCCTTTTTGGTTAGCTTGCTGGCGCCTAGAAGCCATCGGCAGTGGAGCCGCATCTCGCAAGTTGAGAGAGAGACTAACACCAAGGAAGCCCCACTTGTTAGAAGGGTTTAGGAGGAACCCTAGAAGAGAATAGTTCCGGTGGGGGGGGGTGATAATGGGGAGCCCCTGGACCTAAAGAAAAGGCGGACTCCGGCGCGGGTACACTGACAGACACCTAAACCCTCCACCCCATACACCCCTACACCCCTAAACCCCTAAACCCCTAAACCCTCTATCCCCTTAACCCCTTAACCCCTTACCGAGTCACCGGAGATCCTCCTCTTTGGGGACCGGTCGCATGAGGACGCGGATCTCTGAGTCCTCTGGGATGCAAGGATTGCGGGCTTGGGGTTTGGGGCCTCCAAAAGGAGCTTGCGATTCCAATATCCCAAGCCCTATGCCCCAAGCCCTACAAGGAAACCCTAAACTCGGGCTCTAAAGCCTTATGTCAGCAGGGGTTTAGAGGGTTTGTGGGATTTGTAAGGCTTATGGGGTTGAAAGGGGTTGGAGGGTTTGTAGGGTTTACAGGGTTCCGAGGTTTTAGAGTGTTTAGAGGGCGTATAGGATTTTAGCAGATTGCGGAGGAATCAGGGTTTTCAAGGCAGTTGCGGAACACCTGTACACAGCCCAACAATTAGGGCCAGGTCTCTGAAATTCAGTGTACAAGTATCCCTAAACCCTAAACCCTAAACCCTAAGCCCTAAACCCTAAACTCCTTTCTCAAGGCACCTCACATGTAAGCCGTGTTGAAACAGGGGCCCGAAAAAGACCATAAACCCCAATCTCGTCCTGACGCCCGAAGCACCGGCTCACGCAAAAAGCCCTGCATCCTTCTGCGCCCTAAACCCTAAACCCTCAACCCTAAACCCCAAACCCTAAACCCCAAACCCTAAACCCTAAACCCCAAACCCTAAACCCCAAACCCTAAACCCTAAACCCCCAAAAGCCCGGCAGGAGCCTTCTCCTCGGCATCCTCGGCAGGTCTCTGCACCTCGAAATGGGGCCTCGGCTCAATTCACCCGGAGAGGTTTGGGGCCTTTAGGGTTTGGGGTATAGGGTTCAGGGTTTAGGGTTTAAGGAAATTACAGGTTCAAGGGTTATATGGTCTATAGAGCCACAAAGGCCCTCAACCACTTTGGGGCCTCCATCCACATCCGGGCAAGGAGCAACGCCTCCAGAAACTCTGCCAGAGGACCGCCCAGGGCCTTCGCTGAAAATTTGTCATCAGTTCGGGGGAGGCCCCTTGGTTCTGAGCACTTGGAAGCACAAGTACATGATTGTACTTAGTATATGTACTTCCGCCCACCTGTAACCATATTAGAGGACGAAGGGGTTCTTTTGTTTGGGCTGTAACTTCAGTCGAACCTCCAAGTGGCTAAACCCTTCACCCTTGGCATCCCTGACACCGAGAGTGATTGGGGGTGCGGCCGGCCTCTTCCAGCTCGTCCTCATCCTCGTAGCCCAAGCTCACGCAGAGGTTGTACGTGATGGCCGGCAAGGCCACAGCGTAGTCTTCCCCTGAACCCATTGTCTTTTCTGGGGCATGACGGCATCCTAGACTCATGACAACCACACAGAGAGCTTGCCCTACAGGACCCATGGCGGATCGGATCGCAATTGCAAAAGTTCGCATGAGCTTGCCGACGAGCAGCGGACGCCAGCATGAATGGCCTGGAAGATGTCTTCTAGCTCATTCACAAACTGGGCCATCTCCTGCGCGACCAAGGGTTCAGGGCCAAGTCTCTCCGGCTTGAGATTCGAGCCCGTCGACCCCACGTGCATCCACCCAAGACGCCCTGCGCCTGGTGTCCCATGTCGATGCGGAAAGGCTCCTTCCCAGGCTCCGCGCCAGGGCTTTCCTGGGGTGTACACAGGTCATATAAAACATTGTGGACAAAACGTAATATGATATATGGAAATGTGATTTAGTATAATCGCTTCCCCCTTTTACTTAAGACCAACCTAATAATAAAAACACTTTCCGGCAAAACCCCCTAAATCCAAAAAACCTATTTAAAGCCCATTTTGAATTTGGGGGGGAGGGGGGGGGTCAGGCCTCCAATAAACCCCTCAACACCACTAAAACCCTCAGAGGGTTTAGGGTTTGGGGTCTAGGGTTAAGGGTTTAGGGTTCTCTCTCTTTCTCTTCCTCTCTTTCAGTTTACGCCACACTTAAGTAATTGATTACTTGAGTAACCCTGAAGTCTAACTAATTATGACATTTCGATAAAAACCTCCCCCTAATTATAAACACACATTTCGAGCTTTTATTGGGGGGGGGGCCCTTTTGATATTGGGGGGAAGGGATTATATTTGATCATGTAAAGTATATACTACATGATATAAATAGCATACAAAGTACAAATACAAAAAGTATGATATGCAATATGATACATAAGATAGTATCAACAGACCGGTGCCCGCACTGTGATGTCAGGAAATGGCCACTTGAATCAACCCATAAGGGCAGGCCCTTTGATGATGGGTTCGGAGGGGTGGCAAGAGGAAGCAACCCCCTCCCCCCCTCCCCCCCTCCCGCCCCTCCCCCCCCCCCCCCCCCTCCCCCCCCCCCCCTCCCCTCCCCCCCCCCTCCCCCCCCACCCCCCCCTCCCCCCCCCCCCTCCCCCCCCCTCCCCCCCCCCCTCCCCCCCTCCCCCCTCCCCCCCCCTCCCCCCCCTCCCCCCCCCTCCCCCCCCCTCCCCCCCCCCAAAAAAAAAAAACAATGAGGCAAGCGGCTTGCTTGCATAGCGGGCAGGAGGACTTACGAAGCAGCCACTCCGAGACGCAAGCGTGGTGGAACCTGGGACGGCTTGGATGGGTCCCACAAGTGCAGCTAATGAAGTGCACGAAAACCTGAAATGTTTGCTGATGTCTGCTGTCTATACTCTGTCATTGGGGTTTAGAGGGTAAGGTAAGGTTTATGGGGTCCTGAAGTTTATAGAGCTCAACTTCTTACAGGGCTTTCACCCATCGTGAGAAACACACACCCCAGCTCTAAGCGGAGAGCCTGTGTCCGCAGGAGAGCTTCTGCAGCTCGCAGGACTCGTGCATGGGTTGAAAGCAAATGGCGCAATCCTCGGCGCAGGGCAGGCTTTTTTCAGGACATGCGGCCGAGGAGGCTTGTCCCTCCACCCTCCCCCTAAACCGTCAGAACCTTAAACTTTAAACTTTAAACTTCTTTAAACCTTAAACCCCCCCCCGACCCCAATCCCAATCACCCCAAGGGCACCCGGTGATAAAGCCGGGCTTCCTGCGTCTCCTCCGGCGACGCCGCCAGTGTGGCGACCAGCGGCGCAGCCGGCGCCATCGCGTCCGCCATGCTCCCCGCCCCGGTGCTCGCAACGCTTGGAGGGTTGCAAGGGGTTGAGGGGCTCAGGGCTTCGGGCAGCAGGGCCAGCCTTGCGAAATATTGTGCACGGCGCTGAGGGGGACGGACTCCTTTGGAGCATCAAAGGCAAAGCAGATGAAAGCCCGGCGCATCCGTGAAAATGTCCACACGCCCCTTCCCCCCTTAAGCCCCTGAAACTAACCCCCAAATAGTCCACAACCCGACTTCGGCAAAAAAAACTCAACCCAAGAGGGCATACGCATCTTAGCACCGCACGATGCGCCAGGCGAGGAGCAGGCGCCGAAGAATGGCACGACGAACCAGCGCCGCGGTCTTCGAGCACCTCTGCGTTCGCGGCATTCCACAAGGGCTGACAGGGTTCAAGGTTTGGGGCGGATATAGCCTACAGGGTTCAAGGCTTACAGGGGCGATTGGGTTTTTTGCGGGGGGAGGGGGGCGGGGCGACAGAAGATACACCACAAAAGGAGCCCCCCTCCCTGGCGCCCAGACAGGGTCTTGTGGCAGAGCCGCTGGCCCTGATTTGACGCGGGCTTGGCAGAATGTGATCAAGCCGGGGCACAAAGTTCAAGGCTGAAGAATCTGCAAGAATCCAACCAAAAACAACAAATGTAACAAAAACAAATGTAACAAGCAGGGGAAAGGGGAGTGTGTGAACAAAACGAACATATACGAGTAGAAAACACGTGCTTACAAAAAAATGTCCCTGACGCCTGCAACTTGCAAAAGCCGAGATCCCAACTCTTCGATCCAGCCGCGCAGCAGCCCTGCCTGGACAGAACACCCCCTAATCCAAACCCTAAACCCCAAACCCCAAACCCTAAACCCTAAACCCCTAAACCCAGGCCCCAACCCGTAACATCCGCAGCGTGGGCTGATCCAAAGCACGCTTGCCAAGTGGAGCCGACCTCGAATACACATCGAGTGTACCCCTGAACCTGAAAGTACAAAACCCTATCAACCCTAATCCGAGTGCCGGGCCACGACTTGCCTGCTGGCTCCGCGAGCCTCGCGGTTTTGAAGGGAAACCCCGCGTTGAGGGCTTCGGATTCGAAGTTTACCGGGTTTTATTTTGAGGGGTTATTCGGGATTCTGGAGCTGATAGTGTTTGCATGGGTTTCATACGGGTGTATATATGGAATGTATATTGGGGGGTGTACAAGGGATTATGAAGCCTATGGGTTGTTTAAGGTGGGTGGGGGCTGGATGACAACACAGAATGCCGCAGGGTCCTTTGCCAGGAACCGCCATCGGCGCAGCAGGCAGGAGAGGCGAGTCTTCCTTTGCGGAAGCGGTTCAAACCCTAGAAACCCCACACCGTGCGCCATGAACGAACAGACTGGCACCAAACAATGTCAATATTTCAACCCTAAACCCTAAACCCTAAACCCTAAACCCTAAACCCAGTGTTCAATGCCCAAACTCCCCTGCAACACGAAAACGCGCGCCTGGAGCTCGTCCAGAAGAGCTGCCACTGCCGGAGGGAGGACCTGCCCAAAAGCCATCAACCGGGTTTAGGGTTTAGGGTTTAAGGTTTAGGGTTTATTAGGGTTTAGGGTTTAGGGCTCACCACAAAAAGGGAGGGTTTCTAGGGCCTGGGATTTCTTGTAGGTTGCAGAATGCAAACTTCATTCCAGAAGCCCCAGGAGCGAATCCCTGTGCTGAAGCTGAAGCCAACAACACGAACATGAACACGGCCCGAAGAGCGGTGCAAGTTCCTGACCTGATCAGCACTAAATTCGAGATTTCTACCCAACCTCCAGCAACAGTCCCTAAACCCCACTACCCGGAACCTTGATTCCCCAGCCCGGAACCTGTGCGCCTTAGCCACCTCCTTGAGCTGATCTCGCAGCTCCAGGCACGGAGGCTGAGGCGCAGCCGCCTCGTTCGAGCCTCGAGTTCGCAGAGCTTAGGGGTTTGGGATGGTTTGGGTTGCTTAGGGTTGCTTAGGGTTTGGGGCTTGGGGTTTAAGGGCCCTGGGAGGTTGGGTTTTTGTAGTCTTTCGGGGTTGTCCCGAGCTTCGTTTTGACTCCGAGGCCGGCACTCCCTTCACCGCAGCAAGCCAGGCTCCCGCTGCACTCTGGGCGCAGGCGCGGCTCTGCCGCGCGATGCGGGCCTTGCACAGGGGGTGGTGAGCTTGGGCGCTTGATCTTCGGTCTTTGCCAGAGTAGGGTGGGCCGAGGGTTCGGAAGTCCGGCATCCTTCGTCATGGCCGGCCAGGACACTCTTACAGCGCTCTCACGGACACTTTGGTGAAAGGTAAGGTGGGGTGGCGCCCTGAATAAGATGAGAAGAACTGCGAGGCCGACTTGCGAAAAAAGCTGTCTCAAAGAAGCGACAATTGGGCCGAGCAAAGGATGCTCCACTACCAACATACATACACGCGCTAATAAGCTATATACAAAGAATAGTATACATCAATGTTTATGAACATTGATCATCAAAACCTATGATTCTGATTATGATTATGAATATGATGATGAGCGTTACAAACAAATAAGCTCTGTTTTACAGCAGGCTGAGGATTCACCGTGGGGGCTGTAGGGCTCCCAGCACTCTGTCGCCACAGCCGCAGAGCAGCGCGACCCAAGCGATTTTGCTGGAAAGAACCTGGTCGAATGAGAGTTGGAGGTTCAGGGTGACGAAGCTTCGGGTGAGGAAGCAGCCTGTTCGCCTAGCGCGAAAAACCCTGCCCTCCACAATGCCCCCCCACCTTCTTAGCCCACCAAGTAAGCCAAAGGAGTCGGTGTTCATGGTTTCTTAAAGGCAAAGCCCAGCAACAGGCTGCCCGATGGCGCCAGCCACGGCGCCATGACGCGAAGGCCTCCGAGGGACTTTCAGAAGGTCTCGGCCTGCCTCGCCTTGCTGCCGTTTTGTGGTTTTTTGCAGCAAAGTTTGCGGGGTCTAGGAGGCTAGGGCTCATATAGGATATAAAGCATTCATATCAACATTCATCTTCATATCTCTTCATATTCAGAGGTATGAATACATGTTGTGAAACATATGTACATACATACATACATACATACATACATACATACATACATACATACATACATACATATGTATTTATTGATTTATTTATATGTATGTTAATATTTGTATTTAGAGGTGATTTATATTACTTATGTGTGTATATATATATGTATATTGATTTACACATATACATATATATATATGCATCTTAGGGCATAGGGCATCCCACTCCCTGCGTTGAAAGCCGGCCTTTCGAGCTCGGGAGGCCCCGCGCAGCTCCTTCAAAGAGTCGGAGGCATCGCGGAGACCTAAGTTGGGGCTTAGGGTTGAGGGTTTGGGGTCTAGGGTTAAGGGTTTAGGGTTTGGGGTTCAGGGTTTAGGGTTTAGGGTTTGGGGTTAGGGTTTCGGGTTTCGGGGGAACGTATTCTGAAGGCTTGAAAGCTTGAAAGGCTCTGGTGCCTGGCTAAGGCTTCTAAGGGCATTTAGGTAGCGGATCGCCCACAAGGGCTGTAGGCTCAATGATTTGTCCCTCATAAAACAAACCCATACATATCTCTATACACATCATCATCATCATCATACATACATACATACATACATACATACATACATACATACATACATACATACATACATACATACATACATACATACATACATACATACATACATACATACATACATACATATTTTGTGAGCTGACATGAGTGCATATGCATCTTCTGCTCTGTGATGCATTAGGACTCGGCAGACCACCTTGTAGTTTTCCTTTGCATGTAGAGTTTTGCAATTCGTAACAATGCCAATTTTTTGGCTCAAGTACCGAGCTTGTGCCTTTGAGCACGGTAGAGTCGTACAGTAGCTCCTAGGTTGCTGTGCGGTCCGACCGGACGCACTCAGGCGTAGCTGCACAAGTGCTTGGACTCACGAAGTCGTAAAACAGCGTGACCGGGCTGTGATTGCATTGGCTTAGTGCAAGTCCAGTGCTGGTCGACTTCACAATTGGGGGCTGTTCTGGGAAACGTACAGCTCTTGTGCCTACGGCCCGAGTGGGCAAGCATTGCTTTGCTTGTCTGTCGCGGTCCGTGACCTGGACGCGTGGACTGTGTGCCACGCTTGCGGCCTGTTAACCAAGGCGCGGCGCTTCGCGTGCCACGCCTGCGGCCTGCTAACCAAGGCGCGGCTTTTCGCCTTGTGTTGCGGCAATGTCCGCAGAGGTTGCAGGTCAGGCTGAGGGCGTCACCCTCCTCGAAGCTATCGAGGGTGGAGACGTTCCCTATCCCGAGCGGATGAGCTACGTCGCTTGGCTTAAGTGGCGTAGGGAGACTGGCAGCCGTCCATTGTCCAAGCGGGATGGGGTCAGCACTACGCCAGAGCAAGAGGCGGCTCTCTGGCGGAAAGTCATGAAGTTCCTCCATGACGCCGAAGAGGAGGACGAGGATGAAGAGGAAGAAGAAGAGGACTCCGAGCTAGTCCCTGAGGCCTCGGGCGCTGGAGGCGACAGTCCGCCGCGGGTGGACGTCAGCGCCGCGGCTAGGGAGCTGGCCATGGTCCCTACCACTGCTGCCCATGTCCCTGCTACGGCACCAGGGTCCCGCCCGGCGGGACCGTCCGGTCCGCCGTCGACAGCAGGTTCAGTGCCAGGCACCGCAGAGGGCTTGCAGGCGGAGCTGCGCGCGATTTTCCGTCCAGACCAAGAACCGGTCGCGGACTACTTGACGCGCGTTTCGCGGATTGTCCTCGCGCTGAAAGCGCATGGAGTCACGGTGAGCTCCCGTGACCTTGACGCCTTAAGCACCAAAGCCACCCTCCTTGCGGATGAGTTCTCCAAGATAGGCGGGGACTGGCATCCTACGAAGATGGTCCGTCGGCTGCGGACCAGGTTCTCGGTCGCGGCTTTGCGCGGTGGCGAGGACCCCATAGACGCAGAGGAGATTCAGCGCGAAATCCAATGCATCGGGGAGCTTATCCTCGCGTTAGGGGGAAAAGAAAGCTCGAGCCAAGAGAAGGTTTGGAGCTCCCCGTCCGATGTGCCAGTTGAAGCCGTGGGGCCGCGTTCCCCAGGGCTCCCACAGCCTGCGACTGCAAGTGGGTTGGGGGTAGGATTGGACCGTGGAGGTTTGCACACTGCTGAGGTTGCAGGTGGTCCTTCCGCGGCCCGTGTCCTGGGCGCGACGGACGGCGATTCCCCTTTGCGCGCGAAGCTTGCTGCGCTAGAGATGGAGATAGAAGCCCTGAAGCGAGGTTCAGACGGCGGAGGTTCGCAGACCGGGTCCCAACACCCGGCGGGCGATCTCGCCGCCGCACTCGCCGCCCAAACTGAGGCGCTGAAAGAAGCGTTAGCGCAGAGGGGCGGGCAAAGCTCCATAACTACGGTCAAAACTGACCTCACGTGGCCGACGCTGACCGACGACAAGTCGGACGCGCGAGACGTTGTCCTGTTCTACGAGGAGTTCGAGGACGTCTGCGCGCTGGCCAACAACTGTCGCGGTATGAGTGCGCGCGAAAAGCTGTTAGCGCTACGCGGGCGCTGCCGCGGCTCGCGCATGAAGACGTACACGAACGCGTACCGCGCAGCGTGGAAATCGGGAGAGGTTCTCTCAGATCCACAGGCGGTGTATGACCGCATCAAGAACAAACACTTGATGTTCGGGGAATCGCGGGAGGAAAGAGAAGTCCGCGTGGATGGTGAGCACGCCTCTCTCGCTAAGGGTAAGCTCACAGGCCACCAATTCGAGCCTTTGTTTGAGGCCTCGATCGCGGACCTTGAGGCAGTAGGTCTCGGGAAGACCCCTCGAGAGTTGTATCTCTCATACCTCCGCAAGATGCCCCCTTATCTCCAAAAGGAGATCCGGAACGACAAAAGGTTGTGGCCTGGCGACCCCAAGGATGGCGGGTTGCGAGGACCGCAGACTTGGGAGGAGAGCCACAAAGTCGTTCTGGAGTACGAGCAGAGAGAAGCAGCGCACAGGGCTGTTTCCCACTCTGTGTACACTGCCACCGGTTCGCAGAGCGCGGACCCGGCGGTCGCGCTGGCTGAGGCTCAGAAGGAGATTAAGAGTCTCAAGGCCGCTGCGAAGGCTGCTGCGAAAGGAGCAGCTGCCGCGGCCAAAGCTGGCGCGGACCAGACGTATGCTGCTACGTCGAAGGGAGCTGGCAAAGGAGCGGACAAGAAGATCTGCTTCCACTTTCGCGATCATGGGAATTGCCCGAAAGGGGATGCCTGCCCGTACAGCCACGACAAGGAGCTTCGCAGAAAAGCTCTCGCGGCCAAGAAGGGTGACCAAACCTTTGCCACTGCGAAAGGTAAAGGCAAAGGGAAGGGAGGTGGCAAAGCAAAAGCCAACGCAAAGCCTAAGGCTGCGGCCAAAGGCGCGGCAAAGCCACCAGGCACTGTTTGCCCCTTTTTCTCCAAGAATGGGTCGTGCAAGAAAGGAGCCAGCTGCGACATGGTCCACAACCTGACGACCTCAGGAGGGACGCCGGCCTTGCCTGCCAACTGGGCCCCGCCCTCCGGTGCTTCCATGTCTAACCCCTTCGCCGCGTTCAGTGTCCAGATAGGCAGCTCAGGCGTCCAGGCAGGCGTCTCAGGAGCCGCAGGACACGCCGCGGTGCAGCAGCACGCGCTTCCGTTAAGCAAGGGCGGGCGGGACAAGTTCGCCACCTTGGACGATCTGCCGAAGGACTGGTGGAACCTGGCGGACAACGAGCCAGGAGGCTACCAGTACAGAACGGTGGTCCAGGTCCTCGACCGCAAAGTCGAGTGCATGCTTGACGGTTGCGCCGGCGCAAACCACGTGACTGAGGAACTCGTGGTAGGCATGATGAACCGGGCTGCAGAGCTTGGGATCGGCACTGAGGATCCTGGCTTTCCGGTCGTGAGACTTGAGAAGTGGGTCCACCCCGAATATGTGCATGGAATCGCATCGGGGGCCCCAGTTCCTTTGAAAGGGGCAGCAGTCTTGCGCGTCACGCTGCTGGAAGGCAAGACGGCGGACGATTGTCGCCCCAACACCGAGATTTTTGTGCGATGTAAAATCGCAGCCAGGGGCACGTCCGATTGGCACGGACTTATCCTTGGCGGCAGAGCGCTGGACTGCGCCGGAAGGATGGGCTTGGGACTCAGGCCGGGTCCCGACTTTCATGTCCTCGACACGCTGGGAATCAGGATGCCCAGATGTGAGGATCACAGTAGGACTCGGAAGGACAGGGCCTATGCCTTTGAAGCGCGGTTGTCAAGCCTGGACGACGCGTCATGCACCGAGCCTGGGGGCGGAAGTCGTGGGCTCCTCCGCTATGACGGGGAAGAGCCGCTCGAGCTCTCGCCAGGTGATGGGGTGCTGGTGCCAGTCGTGCGGGAGTCAGGAGTCTCCGCAGAGGGATCCCTGTCCGAGGTTGTGCTTCCGGTTGAGTGTGGGGTTGAGGCTGTGCCAGGTCTCTGGCCCACAGGAGAGGGTAAAGGGTTTGTTTTGCTTGCAGCCCAAGAGTGTGATCACTCTCTCCAGCCAGGCGAGGTTGTTGCGGAAGTGCGTTCCGGCCTCGTCAGCACTGCGGCTTGTGGTTGTGGCGCGATTGAGACGGTGTTCGAGTCAGAGCCGTCTCCGCAGGCATGTGCGGATTGTGGGGTCGCCGTTGCTTCGGTTGACCATGACCCGTGCTTTGCTTGCGGGTCCGCGTCCAGGGCCGCGGCAAGAAGCTTCCAAGGTTGTTCCTCGTGTGCGCGGTCCTTTGGGCGGCTGCGTACCGGCGCCAGGATCGGTGTGCTATCGGTCCTTGCTGCGGTGACTGTTCTCGCTTCGGTGTGGGGCGGGAGCGGCCCGGTTGGGCGCCCTGTTGAGGAGCCTGGAGTGCTTACTTGCTTGGACCACCTTCCAAGCGTCGACAGCTGGCGGGAGGCGCCAGGTGGTTACGCGTCTGTGTGGGGTAGGCGCCCTGCGCAGAAGGACCTTAGGACCGCGGCGGTCGAGAAGGCGCCTTACGAAACGTGCTTGCTTCAGCGCGCAGGCGAGGCGTGGCGTTTTTGGGACACGAGGGATTTGCGTGTGGCGGAAAGCGTTGCGTGCAGCGATGAGGTTCCCGTCACCGAACGCCTCGCGGTCTTTAGGACGCGCAAGGGGCCACGCTGGGACGCTGGGCTGGCTGGCGTGAGGGATCGGCCACGGCTGAAAGAGGCGCAAGTGATGCTGCGCGCCCAGCAGACGCGGTCGACACGGCGCGCTGCCCGAGCTATCATATCGTGGAGAGCTGGGACATCGATAAGATGATCGAGGAGCCTCCAACGGACTATTATTATGAGCAGCTCGCGGCAGATATGCGCGCCCGGCACCCTAAGGCGTGCCCGCACCTCCTCGACCACCTCGTTTCCTTAGAGGGTTTCCTAGATAAGTCAATCTTGTTTGGGTTCTCGTTTGGGATCAGTAAGGCCGAAGTTTGTGTCTCCAAAGGTAAGCTCCTAGGACACAACATTGGGCGGGACGGGAGTTCGCCTGCCGAAGAGCGTTGTCAGGCGGTGATTGACTTTCCCCCGCTCTGGGAGAAGCTTCACATTCAGCATTTTTGGGTTGCGCAAATTGGTTGCGCGGCTACCTGCCTGTTGAGTATGGGCACGCAGCCAAGATTTTAGGGCAGTGGCAGAAGCCAGGCGCCGTCTTTCCTGAAGGCGGGCTGGGCTCAGCCGCCACCGAGGGTTGCAAAGCCTTTAAAGCGATTAAGCGCATGATGCAGAACCGCATCAATTTGGCTACCTTCGATGAGGCCTCTGCTGCGGATGGGTCGTGTCCCCTTGAGCAGATCGCGGATGCGTCGGGCATCGCGGTAGGGGGCAGCGTCGTGCAGACGACGCGTGACTTGAGTCAGCTCAAAGTGCTTATGACGCACTCAAAGAGCTTGACCCCCGCGCAGCAAAACTGGCCGCCCTTGATACAGGAGGCGTTTGCCCAGCTCGAGGTAAAGCGGGCGACACGCCGCATGTTTGGCTCTATTCGGACTCTGTGTTGGACAGATCATGCCAACCTTACCCGAGCGCAAACGTCGGACATCGGAATGGATCCGAAACTCGTCCGGTGGGTGGCGGAAATCCTTATGGATGGGTCCGAAATAAGGAGCCTTAGCGGTCGCTCAGCGACGCTGGGTGACAGTTTTAGCCGCAATCCCAAAGATCGGGATGCGCTCCTTGCGGCGAGGACGAAAGATCTCGAGGGCCTTTCGGGCCAACTCCGAGGTTTCGACCTGGACCAGTACCTCGGAGAGGGTACCCAGAGCTTCCATTCTTGCTTAATTAATTTAACGATGAATTTTAAGGAAAATTCTTGCTTAATTAGAAAAAAATTTAAAAAAGAATTTCCAAAAACCATGTCCGAAATTATGGATTAAATTTGGGGCCCCACCCCCATATGTGCGCATATACACACACACACACCACAACACACAACACCACAACACACAACTCACAACACACAACACACAACACATGCACAACACACAACACACAACACACAACACACAACACACAACACACAACACACAACACACAACACACAACACACAACACACACAACACACACAACACACACAACACACACAACACACAACACGTGCACAAGACACAACACACAACACACAACACACAGTTAACACACAACACACAACACACAACACACAGCACCTAGCACACAACACATGCATGCACTGAAACACACAACACGCGCATGCACTTAACACACATATCACACTTAACACACTTAACACACAACACGTGCACTTCATGCACACACAACACACCTAGCACACTTAAATTTGCACACAACACAACTTGCACACAGCACATGCACCCTGCGAATCTTACCTGATGCTGGGCCCTTTTCCTTCGAAGGGGCCATGTATCGATCTCTATAGAGCTGGACTTCTGCCAGCCTTACCCAATGCATTTGCACCAGAACCTTTCTGGCCAAACCAAATCGTAGGCTCTGAAATCGTTCTCGCTCAGAAAGCCCTTGATGTGGAAGCAAACACAATGAAGGCACATGCTTCCTCCCTCGAGCAACTCGACTCGGGCACGTGTAACCTCGAATCTTTCGCCCCACAGCTTCGAGAGCTCCAAGATCAACTTTTCCATCTCCTTCTTCTTTTCGGGGCTCCGATCCATGGTATGAGGTGATCTAAAACAAAAATAAATATTCTATGATTCGAGCCAAAACTCTGTCAGGCACTTAACACATGAGAAGAAATTATAAGCTCGATCGCAAATGCTGCTGCAGCCCCATGGATCATGCTGAATCTTGCAGGTGCAGTGGTTTTTTTTGTCCTCTGGCTGCATGCAAGCAATTATCCGAGAAGTCGTCTGCCCAGGGCAGAAAGATGACCGAATTAACTGTCGATCCTAGGGCACGGCTCGCGGGCTCATGCGACTAGTCACTCCTCCTTTTGAACCACTGCCACCACCAGGTTCCATGAGAATTCACCCAGCACCAGGCCCACCGAAAGTGGCTTAGCTGGGCACCTTGCTCTGCATTTTCAGTCTCGCCACCCCCGGCGGTGGATCGAACTTCATCACGGGAGCCAACTCGTCGCTTCTTTGAAGGGGACTCGTCCATGATGGTGCTGAGTCAGGTGATCGAGGGAGAGGGGGCCGGACTCAGCAAAAAAAAACGCAAGCCACAATGCTCGACCATGCACAAAGATCGTATATATATATATAGTTATTTATTTTGCTCATGCACCCTTGCACAAGCAACATGCAAAATGCTCGCAAAAGGGTGCTGTTGATTTTTCTCGCAAGGCCAGGTCTGCCAGCGAAGGTACCTTGTTCTGTGCAGCAAACTTTGTGAGCACTGTCTTCGACAAGCCCAAAGCCACATGCTTGCCTCCTCTTCGCACAGACATCCTCCCCAGGCTCCCGCCCCAGTCCTCATCATCATACGTCCAATACAGACTCGGAGCAGACTGGGTGCTTTCACACATGTGTTGCCACAAATGAAATTTGGGTTTGTATCTCCAGCGATGCTCAAGTAAACAAAGGTCTTCCAGTGCAGTGTACAATAGCAAAAAACTCTTGCAACTGTCTGCCAAAACCTTGGGGTCGAAGTTTTCGGTCGATAACTGGGAGTAGCAGATCTGGATCTGCTTGGCTGCTAGCCGGCAGGTGCCCTCCTCCGAGGAGGGTGGATAACCAGAAAAAAGTCGCTCAGTGATGTCCACAGACCAGGGAATCAGGTATCTGATCTCGGCAGCTTTGCCTCTAAGTTTGGGGCTCTTCCTGGCTTCCTTTCGGATCATGAGCTTGGTTATGGTGTTAAACTGGTTGGGCGTCTGGTTCTCGGTGTACCACTGCTTGATATCTCGCCAGAGGCTGGCCACTCGCTGCTCCTCCGAGGAGCCTGGCATGTGTTTCGAAACGAGAAAACAGCAATTGCCCAGAAAATCGGCTGCGACCCCCAAGTCGCACGAGTGGAGCCAGTCCACCTCGAAGGTGGCCAAACTTATGCCTGGGGCAGCCATGATGGGACTCACTGCACCAGACTTGTCCAGCATGTGCTCTTGGAGTTCCAAAAAGGACCAAGGGTGATCTCTCCAGGGTGCTGAAGACGAGCATGACCGGATTTCCTGCAGCGAACATTTGCATTTGAAACAACATCTTCCTGCAGCATTCCAGCTTGGGAGCTTAAACACCTGCTTGTACATCGCCCAGTCCCCACGGACCTCTGCAAGGATCCCCTGTGCCAGCAAAGGCCTCCCAGCCATCTTCCGGCGCCACGATGACTTAAAAGGTTGCCCCTGGAAATCCACCTCTGGAAAGATTCCTTCTCGCATGCAATGAAAACTGTGAGCAAAAATAGCCATCAAATCGTCCACAGTCCTGCCATCCTTGCAGCAAAAACTCTTGTAGATGCATGTCAGGGGCAGTCTGAAGGTTTGCACAAATGTCTCGTTGATCAAAGGGTTGAGGCTGAAGCACTCCAAACTCTCACTCCGGTCATATCTGACAGGAACACCGTCACACCAAAGCCCCCAGGCCACCAAAGCCTCTGGATCGAGAGTTAAGGCCTCCACTGAGGAGGCAACCCTCTCACGAACATCCCGCCTCAAACTCTGCCAATCCAGCAATCGCTGTCGGGCCTCGGGGCTTCCGTTCCATCTCAGCAAGCACCAGTGGATCTCATGAGGGAGATAAACTGCAATGGGTTTTTTGCAGACATTGTGAGTGTGGGGGTCGTACATTGTTATGTCTGCAATATAGGGTTTCGGCCAGGCAGAACCTCGTACCAGCTTCCTGAGAAGGTTGCGATGGATGTTTTTGTCCTCCGAGACAACCAGGTCGTTAACATGCCTGGCCTGGGCATCTGCAGCATCCTGGAAGATGCCCCTAGCCCTGGCAGCTGATATCGAGCCACTGAGGAAGAGATCTGAGATGTTGGACCTGAGGTTCCTCTCTCCCCGTCGCTTCTTGGAAGCAGCTCTGGCTGATTTGGACAACATCCATTGCTAGCTATCTCGACTGCAAAAGGATTTTAAAGTAGCAGTCCAATTTATAATGCATGTACTGGATCGCAGTGGCAGGCAGGCAATATAACATGCAGTCGGCGATATGTCATGCATGCAGTAACATGCAGCTGCAAGGGCCTCGATCCTTTTAATTTGCTGTCGCTTATGGTCGATCTACATGGGCCCCGTGCTGCATGAGTCAAAACTGAAGCCGGCCCAAAACAAACGGTGCTTGGAGATCTATACCTACAGGCAAACATTCAGGCGAGCACGAAAGGCCTTCAGCCCATCGCAGTGAACCTGAGCCTTGGCACAGGTGGCCTTCATATCCTCCGTGTGCTCTAGCCACTGCTCAGCGGTGGCATCGGGGTTCTTCTCCAGGCTGGCCAGCACAGACAGCTGCTTCCGGGCTTTCTGCTCCACGAACTCCTGGGCCTGCATCTGATGCTTCTCCCCCTCCTTCAAGAGGCCCTCCATCTCGGGCTTGTTGAGGGTCTTGCCCAGGCACAGTGCATCCTTCAGCTGGCCAATTTCCTTTTCCATCTTCTCCTTGCCCGACTTCAGGACCCTGCCCTGGTTCTTGCCATCAATCCTCTCGGGGAATTCGATCTTCACATCGCAGGATCCCGTGGCCTTGTCCAGCACTGCCTTAAGGCCAGACTGCTTCAGGGAAGCATGCTGTTCAAGCTTGCTGCTTTTCACTGTGGCATTTGTGTCCCGTTGCTGTGTCTTCACATAGTAGTACATTGTAAGCTCAGGGACATCAGCATCTTTCTGGATCAATTCACAAGGATCCTTCGCTGCAGCATCAGCCAAGCCGTTGGCTTCCCAGCACTTCTTGAGAAGGGCCTGCAGCACGGGCTCTGCTCGCTTTTCTGGTAGATTTCCATTCACCACGAAGCCATTGAGCCCGAGGATCTCATCTCTGGTCATGAAACCTTTCTTGTTTTCGCAGAGCTCCTGCTCCTGCTGCTCGCTGCTCTCGATGTACGAGGCGACCCAGGCGAGGTTCTTGATGCCACCTTCGTCCATGTAGCGCGCAATGAGCTTGTGCTTGCCGTCAGAATCCTGGCTGTGATAGGCCTCACCAGGACTGTTATTACTATGCATGGGTTATTAAAAGTCGATCAATTATAATCTAAATAAATATATATATATATATATATTTATTTATTTATTTCGATCTATATATATGGATATATAGATATATATATATATATATATTCGTATTTTATAAATTAATTAAGTCCATGATCAGTATATTAATCATTATGTATATTAATAATATATTATGTATATATATATATATAGATGTATACGTACTAGTATATCGATCTATATATATACATGCATATATACTTAAGTTTATAATAGATCATACTATATATAGTATCGATCGATATATACCGATATATATATATATATATATATCGATTTATATTATATATATAAATACATGCATGCATATAATTCTTATATATATATATAGATATAGATATATATATATATATACGACATATATATTTGTATTATTCTATATAATCATGTATATATATATATGTATACATCCATATCTTTTCATTCATAATATATATATATATATATACAATTTAAGTGTGTATATATATATATACAAAAGTATCTATATATATATATATATATATGTATTATAAATATTATATATGTTATTATATATATATATAATAATAATAATATATATGCAGATAGTATATATGTTTATATTAATTATACATACACACATGTATACATATACATCGATCGTGCAACACCACTGGGCCTCCAAGAGCTGCTGGGCACTGCTGGTCTGGGGATCCTTGGGGTTGTTGGCCTTGTACTTAATGCCAGTCAGGAAACCACTGATCTGGCCCTTGTTCACTGATGCCGAAGTGTTCCTTGCCTTTTTCGGGCTCTTCAGCTGCTGCTTGACTGGCTTCTTGGCTGCCGGCTTCGTCTTGGCTGCCGTTGCTTTCGCCATGGCTGCCAGCCAGCTACACGGGCGAAAGAACCTAAATGGGACGTTTTTGGTTTGCAGCGAAATGCTAGCGGGGCAGTTGAGTGGTGCACCAGGGCCCCCAGGGTTAAAAAAGGTTAAAAACCTTAACCTTTTTTAACCTTGTTTTAAAAGGCAACATACTCGACAGGAGCGGTTAAAAAAGGTTAAGATTTTTAACCTTTTTTAACCCCACTTCCCCGGGCCAGGGCTCCCAACACATCAAAATTCATGAGTTATATACCTATAGGGTTCAGGGACCTGTTTAGGGTTTGGGCTTGAAGGGTTTCGGCTTTAGGGTTTAGGTTTTTGGGAACCCTAAACCCTAACCCTGAGCCCTAAACCCTGAGCCCTAAACCCTAAACCTTAAACCCTAAACCCTAAAGCCTATGTATATATATATATAAGTATATATATATATATATGTATATGGTGTCCTCCTCCGAGGAGGACAAGATTAAGTATTATATATATATATATTATATCATATATATATTATATATATATCTATATACATATATATATATATACATATATCTATATATATATATATATATATTTTTTTTTATTTATATATATATGGTGTCCTCCTCCGAGGAGGACACGAAATATATATATATATATATATAGATCTGAAACATGCATATATCTAAGTTAACGGTGTCCTCCACCAAGGAGGACACGGCCCCGAAACCTGAACTATACAAAGATCAGCACAGTGTCCTTCGGCACCATCCTCTTAGGGTTTAGGGTTTAGGGTTTAGGGTTAACGGTTTAGGGTTTAGGGTTTGGGGTTTGGGGTTTGGGGTTTTGAGGTTTAGGGTTTAGGGTTTAGGGTTTAGGGTTTAGGGTTTAGGGTTTAGGGTTCCGGGTTAACCTTAATAGTTTATAATATTATATATCTATAATGTATATATATTATTATATATATATATATATGTATATATATGTATATATATGTATATATGTTTATATATACATAAATACATATATACATATAAATAATTAAATATATAAATATAAATTATATATATATATAAGTATATATATATATGTATGGTGTCCTCCTCCGAGGAGGACACCATATGTATATACATATATATATGTTAAGCTAGTATTATATATTATATATATATAATATATATTATATATATATATCTATATACATATATATATATATATATTTAATTAAAATTATATATGGTGTCCTCCTCCGAGGAGGACACGAAAAATATATATATATATATATATATATAGATATAGATATATAGATCTGAAACATGCATATGTCTAAGTTAACGGTGTCCTCCACCAAGGAGGACACGGCCCCGAAACCTGAACTATATATATATAGATCAGCACAGTGTCCTTCGGCACCATCCTCTTCTCAGCAAGTCCTCCTCCGAGGAGGACACAATGTGTGACCTCAAATTGCTGGCATTGGATCGATTTCTACAAACATGACAGGCATATTGATATCGATGCAGCCAGGATCGCAGTCTACACTATAATTAAGGTGTTGTGTGCTGCACGTCATATGCACTTATCTCGTTCAGACACAGCTAGTGTTTCTCGATCTGAGCTCCAGGCAGCACGTGCTGGCTCCGGCTGGGCAGAACCTGCAAGGCACAGTGCATGCATGCATGCCGGAGAACACAGGCTTGCACAGGGCGACACCGAAAGCCCAGCATGCACGGACCCTGTCGATCTTTTTGCATGCAGCCATATGCATGGAAGAGCACCATGGATCCCGGGCGAGCCACACGATCGAGCTGTGAAGTGGCTAAAATGCTGGGATCGATCTATATATACACGGGCCGAGCAGCAAGGGGTCGGTCGAAATGCTTATGCATAAAAGCTCAGAAACTATATATAGGAATCAACTTCTGTCTTTGTACACATATATATATATATGTATATCTCTCGATTAATTCTATATATCTATAGATCGATCTACATGCACTCAAAAACCATACAGATTTACCATGCCGACCCCTGTGCTTCGGCTTCGAGGCGCCTGTCCCTGTCGGCTGCATTCGGAGCTTCTGACCCCACCCAGCGACCTGTGGACTTCAGCTCTGCAATCTGCTCTTTGAGCCACAAGACCCTCGCTCGGCCTTTGTTCTTCTTGCGACTCTTGCGAGTGATCTTGCACGACACCTCCTGGATCTCGTCGTCGTCCACATGATCACCGGCCTTGTCCCCCTGGGCATCGGTCTCCTTCTCGAGATCCTTCTGGGCCTCCTCCTCGACCACCGGGGCCTCCTTCTCCTTCTCGCCCTCCTTGTCGCCTCCGGGGCCTTGTCCGGGGCAGGGCCAGCACCCAGGTCCTCGGTGACTTGCTCTGCAGCAGGCACCTCGAGGATCAACTGCTCTAACTTAGGGCTGGTGTATAGGGTTTAGGGTCGATCCTATAAAAAAAACTTAAGCGATATAATATAGGGTTTAAAGTTATATAACTGGGTTTGGATTTAGGGTTCCCTTTCTTTATGCAGTCGATCCCATGGCAGGCCTCCTTGCCGGGATCCGAGATCGGCACCACACTTGCCTCGCTTGCTCGAGATCGGGGCCGCTTCTTGGGCCAAGCAACCAGAAGGGACTCGGATGCCCTCTTGCTCACCTTGACCGGCCCTGCCACCCCGGCCGCCTCGTCGGAGTCGCTCGCCTCCTCCTCAGAGGAGGAGGACTCGAGCTCTTGCTTGATTTTGGTGATCTCTTTCTCCAGGAGCTTCTCCTGGACGACCGCGGCTGTGGTGCTCTTGGTCCAGTCGGACCAGCTCCAGTCTCGCTTGGGGCGATCGCCGCCCTGCTTGCCCCTGTGCCAGGGGCCTTCTTTGGGCCTCTCCAACCGCATATAATAATGCGAACAACAGGTATTGACGCAGCCTGTTTTGCGAATGTATGTGTCGTAATGGCAGTAGTTGCATTCACGAAGGTCTGTAATGCAAGGTCTGGAGGATCCCCATGCCAATTCGGAGATGTTTGCCATGACACCACCTGGGCCGGGCTGCAGAAGGTTCACTTAGGATATCGCTCGATCTCGAGCACGAAAAGAGCTTTAAGCTGGCTGTGCATGCCAAGTGCTGCAAGGCTTCGCATCTATAGCGGGCACTGCATGCAAGCACATGCTCTGCAGACCTGACGATCTATGCATGCATGCAGGATCGACTTGTGCATTGCTGCCTCCTGCAAGGAGGCCCTCCTTCCCAGGAGGCTGCATGCGTGCACGGACCGCTCGCCTGCCGTGCATGCATGCAGAGAATCGCAATTTATAAGGCCCGGGCTGCATGCAGCAAAAGGTCGACTTTCTGGAAACTCTCGATCGTACTCTCTAATAGCAAACAAGTAAGATCGATGCATGCAACGGCCTCCATTCCATGGCTGCACATGCACTGTCGGCATGCAGGGTGCATATAGGGTGTCGACCTGCAGGGTTGCTGTTCAAAAGGGTTTAGGCCGGGCTTCGGGCCCGGTTTAGGCGCTAGGATTAAAATTTGGGGTATATGGTTTAGGGCCAGGGCTAATTTAAGTTTAGGGTTTAGGGTTTAGGGTTTAGGGTTTAGGGTTTAGGGGAAAATATTTATACAGCATATATATATATATATGTTTGGGTCGTTAGATACACATGCCTCGATCCATGCAACCATGTTTGAGCAATGCACTCACGTCATGCAGCACAGCATGCATACAAGGTTGCTGCATGTAGTGTTCTGCAGAAAAAACTCAAATGCAATTCGCCCGTGACAACAAACTTGTTTCGCACGATCCAGCATGATGTGCACACGTGAAAATCAAAGTTTTTCAATTTGAGTGAAACTCGAACACAGGCTATACAATTTACCGGCGATGCACCTCGATCTGGCACCATGCACGAACAAGATTCTATATACCAAAATTCATCCTGCAGACAAAGCTTTCTGAAGAGCAGCCTTGCAGTCTGCCTCCAACAGCTTCTGCTCCATCAGCTGCTTGCAAATCGGCTCAGCCTTCTTGTAGCTCGTGTCTTTGTCGAAAGATGACTTGGCCACACACAGCTGTCGTCTCCGGATGTCCTTCCGGCCTCGCCAATACTTGCAGATGGCAATCTCGTTCTTCGGAGCCTTGTAGTACATGGCAGCATAGCGATGCACTTTGCCCGACCCTTGCTCCGGCTCCGGCACCTCCTGCTCCGGCACCTGCTGCTCGCGATCCTGTTGCACGAGCTCACCCCCTGGATGTGCTTCCGCTTGCTGCTGCTCATCTGCATCGTCACGATGGTTGTCCTCGTCCTCCTCCTCTACAGGAGGCGGCAAGCTGACAGGAGCTGCAGCCGGCCTTTTCTTCGAAGACTGCTTAGCAGCAGCAGCCTTGCTGGCAGCCTTCTTAGCTGCAGCGGGCTTCCTCAGGACAGGTTCACCCTGCCTCTTAAGTTTCCCCTCCATGGATTTCTTCCAGAGGAGAATAGGCACTTCTGTCTTCTCGGGCTTGTTCGTCCCATAAGCTGCATACATGAAACCGTCGGTGCCTTCTGTCATGTCGGCTTCGTAGAGCCTACCTTTTTCGGTCCTCACCATGCAAGCCCTGTTCGCATCGTAGGCCCCGAGGCTCGGCTTGCCTGAAAGCTTTCGAGGCTGAGGGGCAGAAGCTTTCGCCTTGCTCTTGGCACTGCTGCTGGGCACCTCCTCCGAGGAGGAAATCTCCATTGCAGCTGGTGCATTTGGCGATTCGTCATCTGAAACACCAACTGGCGGGACAAGAGCATTTGCCTTGGCCGGCACTGCTGGCAAGCCATAGGAGGCTGCCAAGGCACCGAGCTCGCTCTCAAGACAAGCACCTCCAGAGGAGCTGGCTGTTGATCCAGTGGACAGGCGGGAGCCAGAGCCTGAGGCACTCTCCTTTTGCTTCTTCAAAAACGTCCCTTGCTCAAGAGACCTCCTGGGCCCGGCCAGCACCATGACCAACCTTCTCAAAGCATCCGGCTTGAGCTTCTTACCATTCAGTACCTG